AAGCAATTGTATACGTTGCAACCTTAGGAATTGTTTGGCCGGAGACAATGCGAAAATCATGTTTATATCATCTATTAAAGAGCAGATATGTGAACTACAACAGTAACAAAGCAAACGAAAATGAAAATCAACTATGTCACATATCAATAGTTGATGTTATTGTCAGTTATGTCATCATTCGAGTATGTAGTTTTTTTGTATAGGAGCATACATGATCGTTGATCAACAAACGTGGATCCACGCCTGCGTTGGAGAAATAGCTTTTGTTGTTATTGTAAAGATGTGAGCTTTGGGGAAGCGAATAACCTGAAAGGAAATCCGTTGTTGGACACAACTTGGTGCTCTTAGTGGATTTATTTCACTGGATTATTAATTGCATCAAAAAGAGACAGTCCCAGTCTGCAAATGCCAAAATATTGAGAAAGGGTCCAACTCAAAATATTGAGAAAGGGTCCAACTCAAAATATTGAGAAAGGGTCTAGTTCAAGTTATTGAGAAAGGGTCCAACTCAAAATATTGAGTCATTGTTTGATTGCATGGGTTACAATCACTTACATGTACCACTATAACTTAGGGCAGACATCGCTATCCAGTAGCTTGGTTTGGATGAACTTATTGCCATTCACTGAAAGTTTGTATTTCAGCAGAAAAAGTCCCATTGAACTTTAGATAGTTATAGAGAAATAGGATCTAGGTTTGTAAGAATTTTAACCCATTTGATTCACTGAAATATATCTGGGATGGCTTCATAAACAGATGTGGGTCCAGGGGTGGGGGGCAGGGCAGGGGGGGTTGGGGGTTCCCCCCCCTCCTTTGCTCAGCTACATAAAAGAATTGTAAATGAAGTAAAATGAATTTGAGTTTAACATCCTATTGAAGGAAAATAAAAAAATTGTAAAACAACACTTTTAAGAGAAAGGTGTCACAGTTGTGTGCTTTATCCTTTATCATCAGATGGTGGGATTGGATGCGCATTAAAGCGCGAGATAATGATATAGGCATATGTGATATCACAATTAACGCTTTGCATCAATGAAATTGAATCACAATGTCATCGTATTAAATCATAATAATAATTGATGTCAAACGGGGTGTTATATTTCTCTTTCAAAAGCTCAGTGTGTATGAGAATACGCCAAAATGACAATAGAGACCATGTATTTCTATTTCTCAAAAAAAATTCAAGGCGGGTGGGTTTTATGGGGGAGAGAACCCCCGGACCCTACCTTCCCAAAATACATTGTCACAGGTAGCGGGCAAACCCCCTCCTGCAAAAATTCCTGGATCCGCCCCTGTTTAAGTAAGGTCCATCTGAAAGTCAATTTCTAAAATCACAATTTATCATAGAGATGTTAATATCTTTATGGGTGGCACGGACAACTTTCCAGAGAGGGAGTGTACAATTGGTGTCAAACCGCCATCAATTTAATGTACCAGGTATTTTGGTCAATGTAGCGACAGAGTTCATTGTTATTCAAAGACACTATACAAATTACTTTCCGAGTTGTGAATACCATAGGTTACTCTGTTCATATGTGTAAGAAAGAATTTGACTGTTGTTGTTTCTTTTGAAGAACCATGCTTGGTTGAAAGGCTCATCTATGTGTGAATGTTATCTAAAATCGGTATGTCAATCTAGAAGTCAGATTGCTGATAAATGTGTAAGATTAATGTCTTGTAGAGAAATGTTTTACACATTATGTTGAGTATGATAATCAAATGTTAACAATAAGGTGATATATGATATATCTTTGTTAATAAAGATAGAGTATAACATCATAGTGTGTGTTTACATAATTAAAAAACACCTTTTTATTTTTTTTATTTGGCTTGGTATGTAAACTTTCTATCTATAACCTATGTTATCGCTTTGTCATAGAATTAGGTTTAACGCCACGTCAGCACTTTACCTTACTTTTTAGACTAAGGTAAGATTAGTTTGTATGTGTGCACTATGTGTATAATAAACCAGAGATTGTTGTCCCAAATAATCAGGCCCCGGGTTCCCAAAACATTCTCAGACATAAGGATTTATTAAAAACTGTTCACCTTATTTTAACTAAAATATAGCCCCTTATAAAATACAAGTATCAAATACATCAATAACAATCTATATGCAAAGATACCTTTATTTCTCATAAACAGTGATTAAAAGTTGAGTAAATTCTTAACTTAAGTCTGAGAATGCTTTGTGAACTTTGTGCCAGGCCTTCAGATTACAGTTTTAATTGTACATGACAAAATGTAAGGCTCTACTGAACTATCGCCTGACATTTTGAACTTTGTGCCAGACATGTAGAAAAAAATATCAATAAAACAAGATAAATCGGTGCCGGACAAACTGACAGGCACTAGAGGGATTGTGCCTGACAGAGTCTGAATTTGTGCCGGACAATGTCTGTGACAGATGTCTTATTTCTAGGCTTGGATATTATAGACCTCAGTGTGACAGTTCACCGACACTCTTTGAGATTCCAGCTGTCAATCATTTTTTAACCTGTGCAACCTAAGCTTAAATATTAACATAACCTCAGATTTTCATTCCATCTATATGACTAGATATTTACTTCTGTTATCAGCTCCTCTGGTGATAGCTGAAGCAGTGACTTCACTTGTGTGCTTTTTCTTTTAATGGTACGAAAAACCAAGGTCTATCTGTGTACATCATTGGCGTGCTGGTAAAGAACCAATGAGAGTGTTAATTGAAAAGGAGAAGACCCAAACACCACTGTCTGAGAAAAACTTCCAACCTTGTTTTGCAAATGTAATTTATAGAAACAAAAGATACCACATATTTGTCTCATATTGACCAAAGTATTGCGTTGACTAGAAATTGTATCCAAAGGACCTTTGAAAACATCTATAGTAGTTGTGAGCTTTGTATTAAATGTCATGAATTTGAACTTAAAATCCCGGTGAAAAAGAAATTTGAAATATGATGTCATCGTTTTGATATTAACAAGCCCACCCAGTTTAAAAAAAATAAATCTGTAGTTATCTATGACATATACCTCCTTACCCATAAAAAAAAGACTCACTACCAAGTACATCTTCTTTATTATCTTGTTGAATGTGAGAGTTGAGAGTGTCTGATTGTATCAATAATCTAGCACTATTAAAAAAACAGGAGGCAGGGATGAATGTTTACCATCAATTAACTACTTCCACTGATACTGTTCCTTACACATGTAAATATACATTTAAAAAAATCTTATTACAAAGACTCCAAATTTGGCTTTGTGTCAAATGTATACCTTTGGTGATAATTTATGTCTGACAAAGTCTGTAACAGGTGCTCCATGTCCAGGCTTACAAATAAAATTTCTGATTATTTTTATACAGAATCCAGGAAGGACTGTGCAAAAATGTTTTATCTGCACTGTGTACCGTCCTTACATATATTATTAATATTTTGTCTTTTTATTTTCATTCTGTTTTTAATACCCCACTTTATCATACCACAGTAGTTTTTGTGCAGTGGTGGGATTTACTGACAAAACCTGGTTGTTGCTGCACTGGCTTGAATTGGCAGGTCACTTGTATTCATATATATATGCGGGCATTATTATCAATATATTTGGAGCTTTTTTTCCAGATCAGATTCCTTTCAAACATTATGCCATTCTCATAATTGTAGTTGTCACAATCATTGTCAACATGAAATGTTAAACTCAATTATATTGTCACTATTAGTTGTACAATCTCTTTGACTGTTGTATTCTGAATTTAATTTTAAATTACTAGTCATTCTTTTTTTTTTTTGTTCTCTTTTATATTATACATGATTTACCAGCATTTATATATGGCCTATATTTGTTTGTTTTTTTTTCCTCCCTGAGAATTTATGTTTTTTTTTGTAAATGGGTTAATCTACCTGATTTTTGCATGTTAATTCACCACCAAGCTAAGTTTTCATCACAGCTTCAAATTATATATATTGCAATTAGATGCCCAACAACAAATGACCTGTACATACATGGTCATACGATGCTATTGAACTTGCCCGTAGGTTGTAACATTGTGAAATTCATACAACTGGAGCCCAGAAAAATTGGGGGGGGGGGGGGGGAAGACGACTAACATTTGTTACATCTGTAGTGAGTGGAAAATGAATGACCCATAAATCCCCCACGAAATCATCCAGACAACTCTTCCCCTTGTATCGAAACCTTGCCTCTTGCCTTATTATGTTAAACCACTTGACCAACTGGTCCCCCTCAGATATGATGGAATCAGAGCACATGACTTACAAATCTTGGTTTAGTAGGTTATAAATATGTTTTATATGTAATGGTAGATGTATGTGAAGGATGAAGTCGAACACTCCATGAATTGATCAAAATTTTTGGGCACCAATGCATATGAAGCTAACAAAACGGAATTGGTTGAAAGATACACACTTTGAATTCCCCCCCCCCCCCAAAAGGCATCTTTGACCCAGTAAGCAAAGGTCCTTTGGTCCTAATATTCAATAACGAAATAAAACATTAAAACTGTCATGAAAAGGTGGATCAGTGAGGTGTGTTGGCTCAAGCAACCAGGAGGTCTAGGCTTTGATCCATTTGTAGGCCGAGACAGTTTATCAGGGTTTTGCAGGATGGTTTCCCTGGTCAGTAGGGTAGGATGAAGGGCCTCGCAATGAAATGCATCTAGTCGTTTGGATGAAGCGAAAAGCCAAGGTCCACTGATATACTCAGTGATGGGAGTGTAAAAGAAGCCTTGACGGTCAGCATTCATTGAAGAGTGGGTACTGTACTTAAGAGAGCCTTAAGAGAACCCTTGATCATGAGTAGTTTGAAAACATCAATAGTAGTTTGAAAACATCAATGTCTGGGCCAAATAAATCTGAATAATGTACTGCATGGAGAATTATAGTCGTCTTCATTGGCCTGGTTGATGCAGCAAGGTATGGTATTTAACCCCATTTATTTTATTTTTTTCAATGATGAAAAGGCTAATATAATTTGTAATAACACTTTTTCTTGATTTTATGTTTTCAGAGATTTAAGATTTAACAAAATAAAGAGTATACCAGTTGGAACATTTAGAAATTTAAACAGACTAACAACACTGTAAGTATTACTTTCTTTTATTAAAGTAGCAATATTGGTATTAATTTATAAAACCAATATTGTTAAAAAACCCCAAATTACAAATTCTTGTGTGTGGTAGTGTCAGAATTTATGTATATTAACAATGACAATATGGAGGAGTGTATTGTGGGAATCGGTCATCTTGTTTGTATAAACCAGGAGTTTTACCCGGGTAGAGTCGTAACCTATGATTATACATGTAGTCACTTTAGATATGTCATATGGTACTCAACTTTCAGAAGTTAACTCCTAACCAACAGAGTTGTCATACATCCTTGACAAGTCCCATGGACAAGGAACCGAACCAAACCAAGAACAGATTCAATCTTCGACAAGGGTTTGTGTAGGTCGACCATATAAATAGGATTATGATGGAAAATTTACTCTTGTTCATTTATCCTGCCAGTATGAGACTGTTTATCATTCATTAGTAATTTTCACATGTCTCTCAGATGTAGATATAATGTTTGAGTGGGAGGTTGTTGTAAGTAAGTCATTCACTTAATATTACTCAATGACCTTGTCACTTCACATCATAAGGGAAATGGATCAGACTGTTTGACTTGCTAAACGTGTAATACAACAAAATGTGTAAGTCATTAAACCATTTAAAACCTGAAGGTATATTAATATATTTAGACATATATCACACACAACTTTATTGTACACCAATCTTATATCTCAGACAAGTTTACATCTGTTCTCCAGCATGTAAGTTCAAAGTAGAAGTAGGCCTGTCTATTGTCTTAAATATCAACTAATAGTTCAATCTGATTAAAACACAGATCTTATTTCGTTTCGTTTTTTGTAGTTTAAAACTTCGTTTTACTTGTTTTTACTACACTAGGATCTGGAAGAGTTGTTATATTACCGGCGTTTTGGCTGAAGTGAGGGATAAGGCAATGCATGGAACTATGGGTAAACCACTAGAAACATCAACGCTAATTGATTAATCAATGTCTCATGTCATAGGGTCAAAAGCCGTTCATACGACCCCTGACACAATGTACCAGTACAACCGGTCAGATCTTCGTGTAGTGTAGGCCATCAAAAGTATAAAAAAACGAAACGAAATATAGGACTCCCACTTCAAAATTTTGAAAGCGGTGAATTGATAGAGTATTTTGTTTATCTCTGAGTGACCAGGAATTTTTTGTGATCAAGTTTTAGCATTTAAATCTGCATTATTAAACCCATTTTAGCATTATCTTATTTGTAAAACAATTGTTACTGTTAATGTTTTCACACAAAATTTAGAAATTTGACTGTGTTAATTACTTCTTATTGTCCAGTATTGCTTTAAGGTGTTCAGGATTTCTGAAAGAGGGGGCCACAAAACTTTGGTTAGTTATAAATTAAGGTAAAGATAAATGTTGTTATAAAACATTGAAACATTAAATACATTGACACTGAGTAAGGGAATGTATAGCATTTTTATTTAAAAAAAAAAAAATTAAGAAAATGTATAACATTTTGACTTCATAAAATAAATGTTGTTATAAAACATTGAAACATTAAATACATTGACACTGAGTAAGGGAATGTATAGCATTTTTATTTTAAAAAAAAAAAATTAAGAAAATGTATAACATTTTGACTTCATAAAAACATTTCAGTGTTCTTGAAATTTCTAAAATAATTTTATTACAATTTCCTGAATTAAAAAGCATACATTTTTAAGTTGACTGTAAGATCTAAATGGTCATATGTATAATTGAATTATAACAATTGGATAAAATAATTATTTTATCAAATGAATCAGGCACTAAGATTATTAAATTTGTTTTTCAATTCCATCTTTACTAAAAGTGCAGTGGTCTGTTGTTGTCTGCTGTCAATTCTTTAGAGTTCACTGAATACAGCCTTTACATAAAGTTCACTGAATACAGCCTTATTTCGAAATCTAGATGTATCAGCTAGTGCAGTTCAAAACAACACCAATTGTGTACAAAACAACCCAGTTCACATTATATGCTGATATTTTAGACAGGGAGAGTTAAATTGGAGTAAAAGTATAAAAGTAGAGTCCAGAAAAAGAAAGACCTATTAAATATTATGTCTAGACTAGTCTATGTTGTGACTGGAAGTGATATTTGAATATTGAGGAGCAGAACTAATACTGTCTTGTCTACAAAACACAATTTTCCTTTTGATCCTAAACTACAATGTTCATTGTAACTTTATTTTGGGACTGAAATAACTTAGTTTGTGTAGTAGAGTGGAGGTCAAACTCGCTAATCATTTTTGTCCATCCCCTATGCACAAGTGAAGTTAGGCCATAAATAAAGCAGTTTGTGTTTAGTGGAGGTTACCCTGTGGTGTTTATTTCTCCCCAATATAACCCTTGATTTAGCTTTCTCCCTCACATATGTATTTCTCATGTACAATACTTTGTGGAGACAGTACCTGTCTGTTCTACTTTGGTAAATTACGTGTTAGAAGAATGGGATTGTCTACACGATTCATAGGAACCTATTACACTACGTTACCTACTAGAGACACAGTAACATACTTATATATTACTTATACCTGGCATGATACATCGTCCGCTATACAAAAAGGTGAGACAAATCCTTCATCGTCAACATGTTAAAACTTGAGATACAGTCATCATTAGACATTGATAAATAAACTTGATATGCCCATAGACAGCTTTCTCCTACTAACTATGGATAGTAACAAGCAACCAATGATCCTGATACTGTGTTTGACAGAAGGGTTTTATCGTTATTTTCTTTAACGGTACTTATTGTCATTAAAAACATTAGTGAACCAATTAACACATGATAATGTTGATGTGGATCTGTTTCTATTGTAAAGGATCTTCACACAGGGGTGTTTTGTACTCTATCAAATATACATTGTTTGACATCAATCCAGACATCTTTCAAATAAAAGATATAATTTGATGGTGAATAACCAAAATTTCTTGGCACACAGACTGTCTGAATAATATACAGAGCTTTTGAAATGAAGTGCCAAAGTGTCTTGAAAGAACAAAAAGTCAGTAGTGTTCTCCTTATGAGTCTTTACCAATTCCACTAATCTCAACACAAAGACTAGGGTAATACAACAAATTTGCGAAGAAAAGTTCCTGAAAATTCTTTTGCCGTGAATATGAAATACAGAGATCAAGAACACATGCAGTGATGATACCCACAATAATGAGGAAGGATGATGTCACCCTTAAAAAGGGAGCATTTTTAGAATATCTTTTGTTTCATAAAGACATCGACTTGTTATTGCCACTGTTACGAAAGCTTGTAAATGATTTTTATACGCCCACATTGAAATGTGGTCGTATATTGTCGTCGTCCCCGTCCGTCTGTCCGTCCGGCGGTCCGGGCCGTCGGTCCGGCGTCCACAATTGCTTGTGGACGCTCTAGAGGCTAAAGTTAATATCCGATTGACTTCAAATTTATACACAGTGTTTAAGGTCATGTGATGAAGAAGCCTATTGATTTTCAGCGATTTCCGATAATTACTGCCAGAGTTATGGCCCTTGATCACTTCAAAAAATCTTGTGGACGCTTTAGAGGTCAGAGTTAATATCCGATTGACTTTAAATTTATACACAGTGTTTAAGGTCATGAGACGAAGAAGCCTATTGATTTTCAGCAATTTCCGATAATTACTTCCAGAGTTATGGCCCTTGATCAATTCAAAAAATCTTATGGATGCTCTAGAGGTCAAAGTTAATATCCGATTGACTTTAAATTTATACACAGTGTTTAAGGTCATGAGACGATGAAGCCTATTGATTTTCAGCGATTTCCGATAATTACTGCCAGAGTTATGGCCCTTGATCACTTTGAAAAATCTTGTGGACGCTCTAGAGGCTAAAGTTAATATCCGATTGAGTTTAAATTTATACACAGTGTTAAAGGTCATGAGACGAAGATTTTCGATAATTACTGCCAGAGTTATGGCCCTTGATCACTTCAAAAAATCTTGTAAATGCTCTAGAGGCTAAAGTTAATATCCGATTGACTTTAAATTGATACAGAGTGTTTGAGGTCATGAGAGGAAGAATCATATTGATTTTCAACGATTTCCGATAATTACTGCCAAAGTTATGGCCCTTGATCACTTTTAAAAACATTGTGACCCTCTAGAAGCTAAAGTTATCATCCGATTGACTTCAGATTCATACAAAGAGTTTAAGGTCTTGAGACAAACAAGTATATTGATTTGCAATGAATTTTTATGACTTGAACAGCTAAATCCATGATGTTAAAGTTTCCTATACTAAACGTTAGCATGGGGCAAAACTTTATAAAAACCAAACCAATTCTAATGGTTTTCTGATAATTACTTAATGAGTTGTTACTCTTAATCAGATTTTAATGTATTATAAATGTTTCATTACCGAAAAAGTAAAAATATGTGACAATTCTTGTTGACTGCCCGGACGATTTAGCTGCTGTGGGCGTATGTTTCGTTGCCTGGCAACCTATCTTTTCAAACTTGCTGTAATTACTTGGCTAGTCATTAAAAGGAACCCATATCTAAATTCAGAGTTGCACTTTTTAACATGTGTAACAAACTAATGATCATTAGTCTGACCGTTTATTCAGCATATGAACCAATTAAAATGTGCAACTTTTGCCCCCCTTGTCAGTGATACAGGACGGAGAACCTGACAAGGACAGCTGTCTAGTCATTCGGATGGGACGAAAACCAAGGTCCCGTGTACACATAGGTGTAAAAGATCCCTTGACAGTTGGAATTTGATATAAATGTAGGCCGTAGTGCCGCTTTCCGGGCAAAATTTCACTCATAGCACACTGTATGGTGTATGCCCGTCTTCATGAGCCCAGTTCGGGGCAGAACAGTAGGAAATTAAACCCCATTTCATTTCATTTCATTTGTCCTGCATCACTTATTACAGAGTTATTGTCCCTTTTACCAAAAATATTGTCCCTTTTAGCAAAACATTTTAAACACTGTACAGATCAGTTCTTGAGATGGAATTATTGCCTTATTGATATTCATCACAACATGCTCAGATGTCCTTGCCTCCATATGCTCAGATGTCCTTGCCTCCATTCACAAAGCTGGTGGTGGGCATATTTTCATATTGCCTTCAACCACTTTGTTTATTATTCAAAATATCTGTTTATCAAGCAAATACATGGGTTAATTGTGTCAGTGTGCGCTATACATGTAGGTAGGTGTAGTAGAATAAATTTAATTTCTACTGCAGATATAAAAAGGTATAAAAATGTTTATCATATATTCCTTTCAGTCTGAAAAAAATATTAGATCTCCTCAACCAACCAGATAACACCCTGATTTTAAACCGTGATCTTCCTTTCACCCATATTGTACAAATCACACATTATTATAAGAGATCAAAGAACAGACATATTATTTAACACTTCAAAGGGAGACATGTTTTGTTGAGATATACAAATTACATGTTTCGTGTTCTATTAAGACATGTCTGATCTTTTATTAAACATTTCTTGATCTTCAGACAAATTTCTTCTCAGCCAGACATAAGCGGTTTAAAAGGACATAACCTCTTTGAGTGGTGTATGGAAAATGAAATGGGCAATTTCATTAATTTTGATCATAATGTTTGTTTTTCATTAAAGGTTTTGGAACAATTTTGATATCAGGTTGCCCTATTTTATTAGCCTAAATCTAATACTTGTTTTCTGAAATGTGGAATACAGGTAGTTACAGATACTGAATGATATTTGTGTCTGGTCAACATATTCAATCAACAATCTAGGGTAGTTGTATCGTCTAATAGTGTGCGCATCGAACAGGTCTGTCATTGAGGGGTGTGGTTTTGATCACACACTTGTACATGACAAGAAGTAAGGTGTCTGCCCACACTTGTACATGACAGCTAAAGACCCCATATGCACAAGCAAATGATTGAAATAAAATTGTACCATTTTTTAGTCCCAAAATGACCTAGTTTCTGTTAAGTGGACGTATAAGCCTATTTCTGTCTCTTTGTCTCAATCTTCATTCCTTAATTAATTTGGTACATTTGAATTTTTTCTCAATTTTGCCGTCCCATCCGAACGACTAGATGTTGTTCTTTGTCAGCCCTCTGTCCTGCACCACTAACAAGGGGGAACCACACCGGAAAATCCTAATAAACTTTCTCAGCGATCACTGGGATCAAATCTGGGTTTTCCCGGTCAGCAAGGGTTAGGAGCCACCATGTCTCTCTGTAATCATGTGAAATTACATATTTACAAAAATAGAGTGGAACATTCTATATCCATATATACGGTACTGTATCGGGTGGGGGACAAAGTGGGACAAATGTGGGGCCTCCACATTTTGGGTTGAGTACACGATGAAAAGTTCCATTGGATGATCGAGAGATTCTTGTGTTAATCTCCCAGATTATACCTCAGAATGCACCAGATCAAATATATTTTGCACACTTTGATTAATTCAGGCTCTCTCCTTAACTTGTCTTGGGCCCCCATAAGGTTAATCCGGCCATGTGTCAATACAAAAGCGTTGAGATATAACCGATGTTGTGGTCAAATTAAAAGTTAAAAAAAACATACAATAAATGCTTATGCATAGGCCTTCCCCTACAAAAATAAAAGTGTAATCATACTGGTATATCAATAATCAAAGAATGAAACGCATTAAAACCACTTGTAACGGCAACCAAATTCAGTGCTTGATCTTGACCTAAATCAAAGTAGTCTCCTTTCTTTAGAACATGTTTTTATCTTCCGAAAAAGTTCTGATAAACAAACATGGGCAAATTAAATGAACTGTAAATGAAATTCTATACCTACATGTTGGTTTTATCATGTATGCATCTTTAAAAACATACATAGAAACATTTGTATAAAAAATATTTATGTCATGTTTATAGTTGACATTCCTTTTGTTTATTGTATGTATAATGTACATGGGTAATAGGCTGGGAGTTAGAATAATGGGAATAGAAACTCCTTTCATAGTTTTATCCTCCTTTATTCTTATGTGCCCACAATTTAATATGCAGAAAATATCAGAAAGTAAGCACAAAAGTCAATCAGTTGATGAATACCGTACTTGTCAGAATCACTACAACTTGTTATGGGAGCAGGAAACTTAATAGCAGGAGCTATATGGCATGGGAGCCATGGTCAGTACTGTGCTGGTTCACTTACCAGGAAATCCAAGATTCAATTCAGGTGTTCCCTGGGATTTTGCTGTGGGATTTCCACTTGTTACTGGTGCAGGATAGAGGGCCTGGCAAAGAACAGTGTCTGGTCTTTCAGTTGGGTAAAAAAAACCAACAAGGTCCTGTGTATTGTGTTGATAGACATTAGACCCGATTTTATTCCATTCCATTGTCAACAGTTAATACTTTGTTGACTTGCCTTTCTAACAATGTCAGTAAACAATGATATTTTTGTTTGGTTCTTGCAATGTCTGTGTAGTTTGTCTTGTCTGCAGATTTGCCTTATCAGTTTTGTTTGTGTGTAGTGCTGTCCTGATGCACTTACTATTATCCGCAAAAAGGAGGACAAAAAGGCCTGTTTAAGAGAGTAAGCTTCTACTCCCTTCATTTCTTTTCCAATTATAACATGTTCCTTTTGTTTATTGGAATAACCCAACCACTTGTAAAAACTGCTGTTCAAACCCACAAAACTCAACTTGAACATTCCAATCATTCTCAAGTAAATAAAGCTAGTACAAGATTGCATTGATTCACCTACTGTACCTATTCATAAAGACCTATATAATACATACATGTATATACACAAACTATAATTATGTTTGATAAACTTCTATTTTGTCTGGGAAGAATAGGGTCTCAATAGAAGGCAATATTACATGTACTTGAATATATAGCAAATTATTTCTTTAAAAAGGTTCAATGCCAGTGCAGCATTTTAATTTGATGAAAACTTTTATTACATCCTTTTGATATGAGTGATAATCGGGCTTGTGGTAAATTTAAAGCAATTCAAGAACAGTTTATTTGTCCAATTTGATGTCTATTTTAATTTTGTCTTTTACTCAGTTCCTAATGAATTTCACTAATTAAATTAATTAAATCGTATCATAAGATAAGAAAATGCATCATTGAATTTGTCATCCACTGATATTAGCAGACTGTTTATTTGGCCCATTAGGCCATCCACCCAAAAGGCTTATGTCGTCACTTCAGTCCACCGTTTGCCTAAAGTAAACAATTACTGGTAGCCATATTTGACTTCTTTTCCTGGAGTGCTTTCTGTATTTCAATGAAATTTAGTAGGTATGTTGCCAGTGCCATGTTTATTCAGATTTGTTAAAATGAAATTGCTTGTCCTTGTAGGACACAACCTTAAAACGCTCATAGGACATAACCGTAAAGCGCTCATAGGACATTACCGTAAAGCGCTCATAGAACATAACCGTAAAGCGCTCATAGGACATAGCCATAAAATGCTCATAGGACATAACCGGAAAGTGCTCATAGGACATAACCGTAAATCACTCATAGGACATAACTATAAAACGCTCATAGGGCATAACTGGAAAGCGCTCATAGGACATAACCGTAAAGTGCTCATAGGACATAACCGAAAAGCACTCATAGGACATAACCATAAAACGCTCATAGGACATAACTATAAAACACTCATGGGACATAACTGGAAAGAGCTTATAGGACATAACCGTAAAGTGCTCATAGGACATAACCGTAAAATGCTCATAGGAAATAACCACAAATCGCTCATAGGACATAACCATAATGACGTGCTCATAGGACATAACTGTAAAGTTTTCATAGGACATAACCTTAAATGAATCAGTCAGAGTTTAGTGAGTGGACAGAATTTTTCTCCTCACTGTCTAAACTTTTTAAAACTATTTTCTTTTCCAGATTATTGAATAATAATGAAATAGAAAAATTAGAAGAAGGATCTTTTATGGGATTAAATGAAGTTAAATATATGTAAGTATAAAACAAGATTAATTAATGAGAAAAACCCAACTGTTTTAATTGTCTGATATATTACTAAAATCATAATATACATGTATGCTGTTCTCATGACATTGTCCGTTTTAAGATACTGGTGATGTTTTAACAACAGGTTGGTTTAATTACATTGCTAAATTATGATGTTGGTTGTCAAGCTGCATGAATAAACATCCTTGAACTTACCAAATTTTATTTATTATTTATGTTGAAATAATTTGTTGTTATTATGAATACCCCATATTGTATAATCTGCGTCTGATTTTAAGGGATATAAAACCTTTCACATCTACTTTCAATTAGATTAGAAATTTTTTTTCTTCTGATTTTTACACTACGTTTGTAATCTAACCAACTGTCTTATCATCTGTATCATCTGACAATTATATTACAAATGGTTAGAAACCCTAAAACCACCAAGAATTATTCTCATATATACAACTGGCGGTAGTTTTTTCTTTTATGTCCATAGCAGTTATATCTCATAACAACCTGTCATGACGTCATCATAGGTTGATATATTCGTTCATATCAACCGCTGATGACGTCATGAGTGGTTGATATTTCATATCAACCGCTAATGACGTCATCTCAGGTCGATATAGTCAGCTCATATCAACCGCTGATGACATAGATGATCGAAATAAAACAAAAAACATAGAAATAAATTTTTATTCTTTTGACCATTAAAAATTGTTATGGTACAGTTTGTAACATTCTGGGCCGAAATAGACGGCGTACTTATCGACATATTTAAATCGATTACCCATACTCCATGTCTAAGATATCTTTCAGAATTTTCTTTCCGTCCACACACTCCTAGACTTGAAAAATATTTATCGCTCAAGAGTTCATTTATATAGTATTTTAAAACAGCCGGTCAAATCCTTCTCTGAACATACTGAAAACCTCCAATATGGGTTCACTGTCAGAATTCTTGGAAAACAATGCCTCTTGGTCCAAATTTTCTGCAGGCTTTGGATAGATCCTCGTCGATATTTGCATTCACATCTATTCCATCGTCAATATGTTGGCTAAAAAGGATTGATTATTCTTCTGACTTCGTATTACTATCCATTTTGTTTTTGCTTTCAATTCAATAGTCCAAAATGGCGACGTATAAACAAAAACATGCACGTAATTGCACGTGATTACTTCGGTAATTTTCGCTATTTGGCGGAAACTATCGAGCAATTATCCAATCGTTGTTGCCTTTTAATGGAAGAGCCCATTAAATTTAAGGGTGAAATGGCGTTGTATATGTCGGATATAAACCTACTCTCCCTCGGATTGATATGGTAGAGAACGCTTGGGCTTCGGGTAGGTTAATATCCTATACATATACACTTTCACATAATTCATCACAGTGTACAGCCAAGTATACAAATACAGACAATTTGATTTGTTCAGAATTCTAGGTGATCTGAACAATGTTTTGAAAATAAAATATGTCAGATAAAATAAAATGAAGTATAATTGATTTTAATCTGGTTAGAAACCATCTTTAAGATGGTTTATTTGAGGGAGCTTGCTTCAAAGTTTTACAAGTCAGTCCTTTATTCTGCATTTTATTAATTCCATATTATTTTGATCATTCTTTGTACAGACAAAACCTACAAGTATAGCAGTGTTTATATCTGTCGTAATTCTCAAAACACCTCATATCATGGCTGTAAATAGATTGACAGGTAAATCTACTCCTGGTCAATTTCATAGTCAGTCAGATCAGATTGGCTAGTATGTCTGAAATTAGAATCCTATTTCAATCCCTAAGCGTTGATTTGAAATTGCCTTGCTATATGTAATATACATATTAGGATATACACATACATAATTAACTCAAACCATCAATAGTTGAGAATAGTGCAGCAGATGGTTTATCTTATAACCGTGTGAGCTCGATTCTCCAGAGATTTTAAACCAGCTTACATATCACTTTCTTATTTCTTAGTATAGATATTCATATCTAAATTACTCTTGAAATATCGTTATCTTCAATAATTCTACTTTGTGGTGTTAGTCTTACCAACGGTTGTTGTCTGAATGTTTGACATCCTACATCTGGGAAATGGCAGTTCATATTGTAGGCACTACAATGTCATGCCTAGAAATCAGTCCATTGGTGTTTAAAGGGTTAAAGGTGTTGTACAGTAAATGTAAACAACATAAAGGAAAGAAGCGAAACTAAAATCTAATATTAATTAGATTTCTTATTAAACATGCATTATGCAAGAGCAAAATCTGCTTATTACAAGTCTTTCTTTAGGCCTGAAATTAGACATTAGACATTAATTAACTTATCCAGACCATAATAAACTCTCAATGTCAAGGCTAGCCTTCGATGTTGGCTGGATTAGATTCCTATATGCCGCTAACAGCCATTAATAATTAAATAAAAAAAAGTGGATAATCGAGACTATGCTGTTTATATTAATGATTTTAGTAATGATGACCGAGACTATGCAAAAATTTCACCTGCTTCTTTCTCGGCTTATAGTGGATCAATTTGACTGAAATTTTCAGCAAATTACCTTTACACTATCTAGTTTTTAACTATTATAGCGAGAACTGCCATCTCTTTATCTTATCTCACATAATGTATCTTTAACTATGTGAAGAATACATTTCTCTCAGTGTTTTTGTTCAATTTAAATAAGGAAACGTGTATTCATATTTTTATTTTTTTTTGTTTTCGAATAGACTTAGTTTCATGCATATTGTGTACATATTCTAATTACACATTGTTTATAATTTGATAATTGCAGATATTTATATAAAAATAAAATTAGAAATATTGGAGAGAAAACATTTAGAGATACTCCAAAGATAGAACAATTGTAAGTATAACTATTATTATTTTATTTTAACTTATATATCACTATTAGTGGTTATATGACAGCACAAATCCTAATAAATGAGAAAATTATACTATACATTAACATATAATAAGGACTGTTGGAGACAGTGAGGATATTCATTCAGTAATTTCTTTGATGTGTACAGGACCAGATTTAATGGTGATGGGCATAAGGTACTTGTCACAGACACAAATTATTACTCAGACTCTATAATGTATACTTTGTGTGATAATTTATGTCGGACAATGTCTGTGACAGCTGTGCTTTATGTCCAGGCTTTCTGAAAAGAGTGGGTGAGGGTGAGGGGACTTCTATATTTGTATTTGGCTATTATTTTTAAGCAAATCGTAACAAAATGAAATTTTCTTAATATTTAATTTAAAGTCCTTAAGGATCAATATAAATTGAAAATGTTTTAAAGTCATTATTCAGTCTGTATGAAATTGATATACTCTACATTATTCAAATTGGTTAAACAAAGAAGCCTATAGTAATTTCTGTTAATTACTTCTAGAGTTATGTTCCTTGTTTCATTGTGTAGCATCTTGTGAATGCCACAATAACAAAAGTTATCATCCAATCAGTTTGAAATTAGTGTGTTATTAAAATTAGTGAAATGAAGAACTCTTTTGAATTCCTGATAATTCTGATTATAGAGTTATTACCGTTGATTATGCCATAGAACCTTTTCAACATGACATTGATAATATACAGTATAATGAATTTGTTTGTATGTACCTAATGATTACCTTTTGTGGATTGCCCAGACGACTTAGCTGTTGTGACTTTGTGTTTCATTGCCTGGCAACCTATCTTTTAGGAAGGTATTCTGTAGAAAATTAAAACCCATTTAATTTCAAACTTTTCAATAGTATTTTTAGAATATCTCTTAACAGAATATCGTAACTATATAGACTCAATATTTACAGATTGTTTTATTTCAAATGGAGAACTCTTTAACCAAATGGGATAATTAGTAACTATGCCAGAAAAACAGAAAAAAATCACACAGCCAATGATTTTAAAACATTGTTTCGTTTGTGGTAATATAAAATGAAATAGGGTTAACGTCCTACATGTACTTTTCTCCACCTACAAGGTTAACGAAGACGGGTGTTACAGATAAATATTTATTTAACTTTTGAGATGAATGTAATATAGGAATATTCAAATGGCTATGAAAAAATAAATGTTCAATTACACTGTAGATCATTTATGACCTTTTAGAAAAGAAATCTTGAAATATTAACATGAAGTGTTGATAAATAATATAATGATGCGAAATTTGAAAAAAAACATCCCCCCAAAAGTTGTATGGCAACAATTTTTGACATGAGGTCATATATGGAACATCTGGTATAAGTAATGTTTTTATCTATATTTGTGTTAGTTGATAAACGAACAGGCAACTTTACAATTACATCATGGGGCCACTCCTGTTACCAATAGATTTGGTGTGTAGTTTGTCACAGGTTAACATATGGAATCTCACGATTGTTGATTCATAGGGTAAAAATCTGCCTCCCTTCCTATCTTAATGTAGAAAAACATGCCATGTCAGCTTGACTTATAAAGAATATTAATAAATCAGATGATTCTGAGCCTGTAAATCATATTTTTAGGTTAATATTAAGTTTCCGGTTATTTTGATTTATTCCATTAGCATTGAATGGGATTGATAACAAATTTGAATTTTTATGCCCATGAATGTAGGAGTGATTTTCATATTGAGAAGAATTTAGTAAAATTGATAACTTACTATATTCTAGCCATGTACATCACACTATATCCTACAGTCCCCCCACATAGCTCAAATACAGTGTTTGAAAACTCAAATTCATAATTTATATTTTTACATCAGACACGATGTTATGGAGTATAATTACTGTTTAAACATACATTATGCAAGAGCTAAATCTGTCTATTTCAGGTCTTTCTTTAGGCCTGAAATGTTATCTAAATTATTAATTAGACATTAATTAACTTATCCAGACCATAATCAACTCTCGATGTCACCGCTAGCCTGAGATATTTACTGGATTAGAACCCAGTCTGCTGCTTCTGATTAAATCAAAAAATGGATAATCGAGACTATGTTTTTTATTTTACTGACTTTAGTAATGTAGATCGAGGCGAGGCCGAAAGTTCAATCGCTGAATTCTTGGTTCACAGTGGATCAATTTGACTGAAATTTTCAGCAAATTTCCTTTACATTATCTAGTTTTTAACTATTATAGTGAGAACAGCCAGCTCGTTATCTAATCTCCCATAATGTAATTTTAATTCCCTAGTCTTTATCAGGCAAATGATACAAAAGACCTTGAAGAAGACCTAAATTTATTAATGTAAAACTCACAGGGTGGTGATAACTGGAAATTTGATAAATTGACCCTTTGGACCTACACCTGTATCTCCATATCGGTCATCATTAACTACAGTACTCATCAAATCTCGGGTTATCATCTCAATGTTATCGAAAGGGGAAGACCACCAAAAGTTTTTTGAATAAGGTGTGCTTCCTTTGTTATGAAATTGACTTAACAGCTAAAAGGATTCAAATACGATCCAAACTTTCTGAAATTTGTAAGAGTTGTTTAGCTCATATTTGATGACTTAGCTGCTAACAGGCACAGCTTTTGATGTCTAAAATCATTTTGCTTAAATTGTTTGAAGGGCACCTGTAAATCTGCATCCCCTTTCCTCTCTGTTTTACTCCCAGGTCTGATTGATGCATCATTTAAATAATGATCAGACAAAAATAAAATCAGTGATCTAAATTTGATTTAGGAAACTATGGGTTGCATTCATCTGTTAATTAAATCAATCAAACTTACATCTCCTTTCCATAATTAATTTAATTTATTTCAACTTGAAACAATCAGCCACTTATAGATTTATTTATAAGATATGAATTATCAACATTCAGTAGTTACTTCTGTAAAATAGCTAAGGAGATCTTAAGTTAATGACAGGAAATCTATTTGCACCCATCCCATGTGATAAAAGAAAGATTGTTAAAGTTATTTTAAAAATGGGATCAGATAGTCTATTTTATGCCATCTGATGTAGAATGATAGTGGGCGGAGTGAGCACGGAGTGGCATGTTTTAGTCATAACCTTTGGTCTATTGGTTAATGCACATCATTCAGAAATGTTTCATTCATGAAACATATGATTCACAGCAAAAAAGACCAGTTTGGATCTAAATTCCAATAATTCTTGTTGAAAGAAGATATAAATCTAAAGTTCTTTCCTTATTTTTTACACTCACAGCTAGGATTTCTAAGGTTTCAATCCCCGCACTGAACAAGATAACCCTTTGGAACTTTTAAAAGGTCTCTAGCCTAATCAATTGAAAAGAATGAAACAAGGAGGTCCTGTGTACACATTTATAGTGCAGGCAGCAACTGAGTGTATTTTGTTATCACAACTTTATCTAAAAAGTTGAATAATTTGGACTTCTTTCATCTGGCTCCGTAAGTCGATCAATGACCTCATGATATTTCATTACACAGGTTTCTGAACACCTAACATAATGTGATATCCTGACTTCCTTTTAGCAATCATGTCTCTGTATTATACAGAATTTTTGTGCTATATTAAGTTTACCTTCCACTATCCTACCAGTACCCTGTTGTCGCTGGGTAGACTGAAATAAAGTGGTTTTTCAAGGACACAGCTAGAGTGGGGAATCGAAGATGCAACTGTGCGATTGCTAATCATTGTGCCATATTCCTGTATGTGCTTATTCATTTTTATAGTTTACCCAATATGGCAAATCATGTATACATTGTCTGAATATTGTATGCCATTCCATTCAATGCTATTCAATCTTCACTTTATTCAATTATTAACTGAGTTTGGCTAGCTAAATGTAAGAGTGTATTTGCTTGTATTTTCAGATATCTTCATAATAATATTCTGGAACGATTACCGAAGGGTATATTTAAAGGTTTATCAAGTTTAAGGAGATTGTAAGTATATTAATTGGCATTTGTTAATGTTTAGTGGAGATTCCACTCATTTATAATTCTATATATCCACTTTAACATATGATATGTTGAAATAGCAGACTTATTTGACTATTATCGTTGTTATTAATGAGAAGTCTAATCTAGCAGATTTTTGATTATAATACCAGACTAGGATATGCTATGGAAAACAACATGCCATTTCTTATCTCATGCATTAAAAACATCAACAAATTCTTCATTAACTGATGGTGGGAAGATTGTTAATAAGCTGTGTTTGTTTATATTTACTGTATGTCTCGATATGAGATATCCAGTTCTGTGCAGGTCGTTTATATTAGTGGCATTAATTAGCCCAAGTTTAATTTGGCTAGTACAAAATGGGTGAAATTAAGGAACTTAAACATAAACTAAAATTTGTTTTCAGTCCCTATATGAGATATCAAGTTCTGTGCAGGCCGTTAACATTAGTGGCATTATTTACTGTAGTCCCTGTTTAATTTGGCTAGTGCAAAATGGTTGAAATTAAATAACAGAAACTAAAATTTACTTTCTTTCCCCATATGAGATATTGCGTTATGTACAGGTCGTTAACTTTTTCATTAATGGCATTAATTAGTCTAAGTTTTATCTGGCTAGTACAAAATGGATGAAATTAAAATCAGGCAACATGTAGGGAACTCAAATTTAAAAGATTTTGCACCGAATAAGGGAAAAGTCATTTAATTAGATACTTGTATTGCATTTAATTAACTGTATCTGTTCTGTGAACTTATTAACTTCTGCATTAGTACCGTTAATTAGTTTTAGTTTAGTCACTAGTATAAAATGTTAGAATTAACTAATCACATGGAGGGAAAATAAAATAACATCATGATAAATATTAAGAAAAAAGTCAATTAGATGTTGAATGTAACGTACTGTATCTGTTTTTGTGTTATTGTTAGGTATCAGGTTCAGAGCATTTCTTAACTTCTGCATTAGCACCATTAATTTGACTAGTACAAATTAAAATTAAGATATCACTTGGAGAGAAGCTTGAAAAAATCAGAAATATGTTCATGATATCTAGTAGATATTGCACATAATTTACTGTATAAATTTATAGTATGTTAGATATCTGGTCTGGTGAACTTTGTTAACGAGTACCATTAATTAATCTAGTATATGAAATCGTTAAAATTAAAATAACACTTAGAGGAAACTAAAAAAAGATAGATATTAGAAAAAAGTCAGTAATATTACTGGTACAAAATGGTTAGAATTAAAATATCAAAAGCTAAAACTTAAAAAAAATAAAGATGGGTATCAGAAAAAGTTAGTTCTTGCTTTTCAGGTTTTTTGCGTTCGACTGTAAATTAGTCTTGGTTTAATTTGGCAAGTACGGAGTGATAAAATTCAAAGTGTCACATGTGGAGAAGCTTTAAAATAAGATCTTAATTAAAATTATAAAGTCTATAAAGATATGGCATATAATTTCATTAAATTATAAAGTCTGTAAAGATATTGCATATGATTTCATTAAATTTTGAGCTTATGATTCATTACTATATGTACATTTCTCACTCAATCTAGTAAACTTTTCTAATTTAAAAAAACAAAAACAAACAAAACTTGATTTTATATAGTCAATTAACATCAAATCTGAATTATTTTTCATTAGTCTGATGAAAATTTGATCTATTGCCCATCCCCCTTTAGCCCCTAGATCTGTTTATTCACAGTAGATTAGTGTGATGGATGCTAGCTGACTCCCAGATTTGGGGACCTGGCAAGTAACAGCGTGATGTTATGTGTACAAAGAAGCCATGACAGGCGGAATTAAATGAAGAGCAGGCAGAATGCTGCTGTCCATTCAAAATATTCCTCATAGCACACTGCATGGTGTATGCCCGTCTTCACGAGCCCAGTTGGTGCAGAAATGTAGACCACTAAACCCCATTTTCATTTTTCATCCCCACCGTCCCAAAACCTGCACCACCCTTCAGAATAGAAAATTAAATAAATTAATCGGCTATATCAGAATTCCTCAACCTTTCTTGGCAAAAATTGTGTTAATGATAACCTATTTTTGATCCTGCTCTCAGATTATCAAGTCATGTCTTTGAAATCTTGTTGCCTACAGCATGCATTTTGGTGTGAATTAGTTGGCTGATTTTATAAGAAATGGAATTGATAGCAGATCGAGTCTGTTTGCCATTACTGATAGAAAAACATTGTTGTTTATTTCAGACGTTTAGACTCCAATGCATTGGTATGTGATTGTCAGTTGATGTGGTTAGCCAACATGCTGAAGGAGAAACATGGTTATACGCAAGCTGCAGCCACCTGTCAGTTTCCTGAGAAACTTCAAGGCAGATCTTTGATGAGTATATCACAAGATGACTTCCATTGTAGTAAGTGTAATGGGCGATATAACATACTCATTGTTTAAAGTCAAACGTACTTGAAAATACCTGCATGGAACACATCAATACCCGTTTGTTAAGTGTACACCCATTAATATTAAATGGGTTTTTTTTATGCTTGTATTTAATGCGGACATATATTATCATCACCCAGATCCATCTGTCTACACTTCCTTTTTGATGTGGTGGTGTTGGTGGTGGGGGGGGAATGGTCTAACAAGGTCAGTCAGTGAGTCAAGTGATGTGGTTTTGATCACTCGCTTGTACTTGACAAGGAGTAGGGTCGCCTGCCCAACCCACCTTGTTGGATTTTCTCTCGATCTGCTTTCCTTCTACTACTCAAGACCCCTACATGCATTGAATTATTGAAATTGATATTGTACCATATGTTAGTCCTGAAATGACCTGACTTGTGGCGAGTGGATGTTAAACTGTAGTGGTGGTGTGGTTATGGTGTTGGACTCGAAACAGAATGTCTCAGGTTCAAATCCTGGAGTGGGTGGAGATTATTCTTCCTCTCAAATTGCAGAAATAAGTGTGAGGGTATATTATTGTCTGAACCATTATAAATTTTAAACAGATTTCATCCATTAGGCTGACCTTAAAAATATCTTTGTTTCGCCTAACGCGACCGACTAACTAAAACCACCCCCGACTTAAATTATTTTATTGCACTTTTCCGCTATCTTTTTATTTTATTTTGTGTGTCAACCTGAAATATATCACGAGAGTTATTTCCCTTTACTATGGCTATGGTTTGATTCATTATTGAAACTGGTTGATCAAGACGAAAGCGTCATAGGTGTCGCTTCTCAACAAAATGGTTGCAGACGAAAGCACGTCCATTCCCACGAAATGATTCTGCCTCTATGTCTGTGGGGCGTCGTTTTAAACATGACGACGATATTTTCAATATCCGTTTTCGAGAAAAATAAAGGCACAACCCGCACGATCGTTAAAAACGTGTTGAGGGAGTTTCAAACGTGAGTTTGTCGCAATTTGTGTGCGAGTTGTGCATCAAGAAAAATCCCGATGTCATTGATTTGTTTGCCAATAAGAAGACGAATGTTTGCACATGGAAAATTATCAAGCTGTCAAATTAGCTCTTAAAAAAAAAATCTGAAAAAAACCCCGACCTACCGACCCTTCTCCTCGATTGTGGGTCGGGTTTGGTGAAACAAAGATATTTTTAAGGTCAGCCTTATGAACAAACTACTTAACTTTGGTTATCACAAACTTACCTGTGTGTTTGAAATCATATCCTGTTAAATAGAATCCATTGTATAATTGAATATCCCAAAGAATAAAAAAGGAATCTGTTTAAAATTTATGACAGTTCAGACAGTAGGTTGAATTTACTGTAATATTGATTATTTGACCATGACATATTTTGAGAAATTACAAGAGTTCTGAAGTATTTACAGTACATTTCAATCAATGAGATATGTATTATGATTTGTAGAGGGACCTCAATTTGTAATGGAACCAAGAGATGTTGATGTAACATTTGGTAATACAGCTTATTTTACATGTCGTGCAGAAGGTTCTCCTGATCCAGAAATAGTTTGGCTTCATAACCAGTAAGTTGAGTTTTTTTCTGTATCATGTGTTCTTGTTATTAAGTTAGCTGCAATCTGAAATAGATTTTATCTGTCAACATGTTAAAAACGGCAATACTATATACCAGAAAACACCGGAAAACTACCGGAAAACACCATGTTATACTGAATACTGGAAAACTCCAGAAAAACACTAAATACCGGAAAACACCCTAAATAGGTAACCTAGAGCCTGTTCCTCTATTTGCGGGGAGTTAGGGTTAGGGTTAGGTTTTTCCAGTGTTTTCCAGAGGACCAGCCGTGGGTTAGGTTAGGTTTTTCCAGTGTTTTGTAGATGACCAGACTCCGAGTTACCTATTTAGGGTGTTTTCCGGTATTTAGTGTTTTTCCGGTGTTTTCCGATATTCAGTATAACCTGGTGTTTTCTGGTAATTTTCTGGTTGTTTTCCGGTGTTTTCCGGTATATAGTATAGCCCTGTTTAAGATCCTCTGATAGGTTAGGTTTTTCCAGTGTTTTCCAGAGGACCAGCCGTGGGTTAGGTTAGGTTTTTCCGGTGTTTTGTAGATGACCAGACTCCGAGTTACCTATTTAGTGTGTTTTCCGGTATTTAGTGTTTTTCCGGTGTTTTCCGATATTCAGTATAACCTGGTGTTTTCCGGTAGTTTTCCGGTTGTTTTCCGGTATATAGTATAGCCCTGTTTAAGATCCTCTGATAGTTAGAAATTGAAAGAAGAGTAGGCTGTCGTGTCACTGTCCAGGTAAAATTTGCCCTTAATACATTGCATGGTGTATATCTGACTTCATTAGCCAAGTTGATACAAAACATTACACCCCATTTACATATGTTACATATATTTACACATTGTTTAAGTTTTTATTACGTTATTTTATTGATGTGGTAATATAGCTTCCATACCAAACTGTGAACAATTACTGCCGAGTTGCAAACACTGTCTGGATTCTTTCCAATTCACCCATGATATCTTTTAGGAAACTGAAGTTCATTGTTGCAGGCTGAAACCATTCTAATTTTTTTTCCTGTTTCATATGTTGCACATGTCGGGTAAAAGAGTGTAATGCTCTTTTATTTGATGAACCTATTAAAATTATATGGTATATGTAATGTTTTGTTCAAATAAGTCTTGTTACATCTCTTCTATTGAGATCAATTAACAAATTTTAAAGAGACTATCAATTTGATCTTAAAAATGAATGTAACGGTACCAGTAATTGATTTTATACAAGATAATAAAATTATCTTAGACTGATACACAAAAACACATAATTATGGAAAAACAGCTACTTATTTATTTGGGTAATGTCTCGAAGAGTATTCTCTCAACGTTATCAAGCTAATGTGTTTTTGTGTATTGATCTATCCAGTTACTAAATGCCTCTAAAAGATTATCTTAGACTGGTGTAATAAAAGGTGCCAATCCTGATTACATGACAATATCTAATTTTTAACATCTTAATCCATGCTAAAGTGTATGTAAATTGATTATTTAACATTTGATTAAGAAAGTAAAGCTAAAATATGGATTTAGTTGGATTAAAAAGAGTGACATCATTTGCAAAGGATACAAATGTTGCAAAATTCTTCATATCTTAGTCAGCGGCTCATTGAGTAAGTCGTTGGCACGCTAACCTGTGTGTTCAATCCCTGCATTGCCTGAGAAAGTTCATCATGATTTTCCGAGGTGGTTCCTCCTTGACAGTGGTGCAGGACTGAGGGCTTTGCAATGGACAACATATAGTCGTTTGGATGGAACAAAAAGCTGAGGTGCCGTGTACACATTCGCGTGCATGTTAAAGATCCCTTGGCAGTTGAACTTTGCTATAAGAGTAGGTCGTAGCGCCGCTGTTGGTAAAATTCCATCATGGCACGCTGTATGGCGTATGCCCGTCTTCATTCCCAGTCGGAGAGAACAGTATGACATTAAACCCCATTTCATTTCATATCTTAGTAAATACTTTTAGACTGATATTTGTTTTGAAGATCTAACTTACACAATGTAGCAGTTTGCAAGGGATTAAAAAATTTTCAATTGAAGATCAGCGCCTTTGTTGAAAATCTGAACACTGGGCTATATAGAGTAGACTTTTTTTCTCCAGTGCTGAACTCCTTGAAAACCACTTTAGACTATAATGTGTACAAATCATAGGAATCTCTATCACAGATTTGTTTCAGGTTTTGTATAGTCAAATCCATCAGATGGAAAATTTTGTAGTTTACCAATGTGCAAATGCATCTTTAATCAAAACTAGATTTATGCAATGTGTGGATGTATCTTTCAACTACAATGTAAAAATGTGGCTTCCATTAAACTTAGTAATTGTTTCCATAGAAGTGTTTTGATTGTTGTGATTTATTTTCATGTGTTTTAATTACTAAATGTGACTTAATGTATGCAGGGCGTCACAGTGGCTCAGTGAGTAAGACGTTGGCTCGTCCTGTGTTCGATCCCTACATTGACCGAGAAAGTTCATCAGGATTTTCAGGTGTGGTTCTCCTTTGTCAGAGGTGTAGGAAGGAGAGCCTGACAAGGGACATATACACATTGGTGTGTACTTAAAAATAACCCTTGACAGTTGGAATTCAATATAGGAGTAGGCTGTAATGCTGCTGTTTTAGTTAGCCCATCAGTAGGATGTTAAACCCCATTTGATTTAATGTATGTAGTATATATTTTTATCTTTTAGAAATGAGATAGATGTCGAGAGAAATGATAGATATAGTATGTTACAAGACGGAACTTTAATGATTCAAGATACACAAGGATCGGATCAAGGAGTGTATGAATGTATAGCTAGAAATATTGCAGGCGAAATAAAGACCAACAGAGTTGAACTTAGGTACTTTGGAGAGCCTGGTAAGCTCTAGATAATAGAACATCATAGATAATGACATCTTAACACATAATTGTTTTCCCAACTTGGCCTGATAAGATACGCATGATTTTTTAACCCTGATTTTCATTTGTCATTGGTAATTCCTGCGGAGACAAGATGTAAAGTATTAGGAAGGAAATCCAAGTTATCCACTCATGTACATGTTATGCTTTAAAGGAAAAATTCTTTACTCCATATATCATTGCACATAATTGTTTGTTATTCTCAAAATGGTAGAAGTATTGTGTTAACGTTAAACTCCCTTCCTTTACATCATTACACTTGCCTAATTGTCGTAAACATTTGTTATGTCCTTTGAAATTTGTAAAACACGTTGCCCCATGATCAGTAATAGCTTTGTTTCAATTTTGTGTACAATCTAATTTGAATATCCCAGAAGTAGATGTATATTTGAATCATGTCAAACTAAAAACTTCCCATCACATTACTGCCTCTTCAAAGTCTGATATTTTTGTCTAGTGAACAGGTTACAGGGTTAACTTGTTATAACGATGACATTTTAACAAATATACTAAAGGGCTTTATTAATTTATATGATACAAGAGAGAGCTTGATTTAATGCTTCACTGTATGTTGTTCAGAAGTTGAATAATGTTGGTCAGTTTAAAAAAAACTTGGTCGTCCAAACTGGTCAGCTAATATTTGCTGGCTTGATTTATCTTAGGACATGCACATTTCAATATTGAGTCACTTACCTGACTGCTGTTTTGAAACTACTCGGTAGCATATATATAGCCAATAAGCTGAATGCCAATAGCTCTCCCAGGCTCATTGAAATATTGAAATTCTTGAAAGAACAACTCACAACACCTGTGAAAACACTCTCGCAAGTTTCTGTACACTAAATCTTTCTCATATTCTGACTTTCATCTCTTTAACAAAGCAATGTCGGTTATATAGTAATCTAATTATGTCACATGTATATTGCTTATTGTGTTTAATACAAGGAATATGATCTTTTTGATTTATATAAAAACAATAATTTAGTGTCTGAGATACTGCAATTATCACAAAGTATATAGTAGTGGAAATTGAACAGGCTAATATAAAAAGGGGGAAAAAAGAACTGGATAAAGAAGAATTTTATAAGAAATGAAAACTGAGAATATTTGATAAGAAATTGTAGATGGTTGTATCCAGTGCTCCTTGTATATAAACCATATACACGTTATCTCCTGATTTGGTTACTGTATAAATGAGTCTGATTAAGCAAGACTATTTAGGGCGTAATTGTTTGTGAATTATTTTTGTGAATCCGTCAGATATTAATGATCCAAATCTACACAATAAACACAGGTATTGTAGTGAATGGTGTCATGCAGGTGGCAGAGTATGATTACTCTACCTAGAACAACTTGAAATAGCAAGCCAGGTATAATCATAAAATCTAAAGTATTTTGAAAAAAATAGCAAGTCAGATATTATCATAATTCTAAAGAATTAAATACAAGAGTGTTTTGTAAAAGAAATAAAACAGAATTTTAAATTTGAACAATCTATGAATCACTGCCTTGATGATGGAATCATTCTATAGACAAGAAAAGATATATAAATAAATTATTAGCATTCTTTGAATAAGCATCATCATCAACAGTAAAATCTGCTCACATACATAGGCTGTTTGCCAGAGTTTTTTTGTTTCATTAAGAGGTATAATGCTTTAAAGAAACTTACGTTATAAAATACTCAGACAGTTCTAAGTAACACAATTACTGAAGAAATGTGAATAAGTTCCAATAAATAGTAAGGATGGGGTGCTTGAGTGCTCTTAATCATGCACTTTAGATCGTAAGGTTGACATTGGGTCAAGTAGTGTTGGTTCGATCCTAAGCTTTTACATAATACAAGACCCCTAACTGCAAATGAATTATTGAAATAAAATTATATGTTTGTCCCGAAATGACCTGGTTTGTGTCAAGTGGTGGTTACCCTACTCTCTCCACGATGGTTATACAAGGGTATATCTTGTATTTTAATGTTATTATTAGGTGTACAGCTGCTACGGGGAGGGGATGTTTGATCGAGTGGTCTAATGCGTGCACTTTAGACCATAATGTCTGTCATTGAGTCAAGTGGTGTGGTTTATCCTTGGACCTCCAGTTTTCTCCCACTGCTAAAGACCCCTAAGTGCAAGCATATTATTGAATTAGAATTCCAACATATCTTCGGTGAAGTGTCAAAAGGGTGTATCTCAGGAAATTAGTCAAGTACACTTTTTTTGCATTTTTAAAATCTCCCAATTAATATGTACATTTCTGTCTAAGCTGTGTATCTCTACTCAATTAGAACTGTTTTGGGTATCATGTGTCCAAATGTTGTATCTTGATTTGTGGAAATTTTGAAATTCAAAAGTTTCTATTTCTTAATCTTTAGAAATTCTTCGATACACCCTTTTGACACTTCACCACCGATATGTCAGTTCCCAAATGACCTAGTTTGTGTCAAGTGCACTTTTAACCCAATTTCTCTCTACACTAAATAAGGAAAGATACAAGGGTATCTTTTACTTTGATGTTTTTTTAGTGAGTGTACTTTTTGTTGCCTGGCATCTCTTCTTTTAGGCTAGTTGCTAGAGGAAAAAATATGGCATAATGTTGAATGCAATTGAACTATAATTAGATCTTATCTAACCACTTCTTTAACAATTCTCTATTCTCTTTGAAGTCTTAATGTCAGACACTCTGTGATTGGTTAAAATCATTCATGAACAAGATGAAGTGTCTGTTCATTGGCTAGATGATAGGTCAGGTCAGGTTGTTGTACGATAGACATAAAAATGACCTTTCTTTTATGATTTAATCACACCCGAAATATTATGATATATGTGACAAGTTCGGACCAATTTAATTTTCTGAGTCACATTTCCAATTTTAACAATGAACTGCGGGCCATTAAACATTAATATGCTGTCTGCTAGAAATAATTTACACAGGGAAAGAAGTAAAAGAACACAGTGTGTGGTATTTTATATATAAAGGGCTAGATAGCGAATAAGTGAAAGTAATCAGAAAAAAAGGGCAGCTCGAATTTCAAAGCACAAGTGAAAATGAGTCAGTTCAAGTTAGATTCATTCTTGTCACAGGGTGGTTCGGGGGCCGAATGGTTTAACGTGTGTGCGTTAGATCGGAAGGCTTCTCATTGAGTCAAGTGGAGTGGTTTTGATTCTCTCCTTGTACATGACGAGGAACAGGGTCGCCTGTCCAACATGTGGGTTTTCTCTGGTTCCTTCCACAGCTAAAGACCCCTACGTGCAAGCAAACTATTCAAATGAAATTGAACCATATGTTTTGGTATGACAATATCGTTACGATACATATCATTATTTTCATTGTACATTAGAGCCTGAAATGAATACCGATAGTGATATTTTTCAAGGTAACTAAATTCAGCCATGCCCCTTTAATATAAAACGTTTGATTATTTACTATGTATAAAATATCCATATAGAGTGTTGTTTTCACTTTAACGTTAGTTATCTTAAAAGCATGTTCAGTTTTTAAATGCCATTTCTATTAAAAAAGATTAAGGCTATCGTATGTTTGTGTTAACATATGTGATATTTATACTTTCCTGAAGGCATTAGTATAAAATATATATTATACCTTTTAAGGGTATTTGTTGAAGTTTAAAACATATGTGTACTAAAACCATGTCATTGAAATGTTACGTTATGTAAAGCAACTTGAATAAAAGTGTTAACGTAATAAAACAATGGCCCTGTAAGATTGACAGTGGCTCAGTGGGTATGGCAATAGCTCACTAACCAGGATTTTTTTTTTTGTTAGGAATGGGCCAACTAATATCTAATCATGGAATAAAAAATAAACCAAGCTCCAACTGTGTACACAAGGGCATGCATATAAAAGCACTCTTGATACACAACTGTCCAGGCAAATTTTCCCTAATAGCACACTGCATATATGGCATATGCCTAGTTTGGTGCAGTTAAACCCCATTTTAATTCATAATTACTACTTGTAATTCATTGTGGCAAAATATCGTCCAGTGGTGCAATTTTTGTGTCAAGGTAGCAACATTTCCACATACTCTTCATTGCATTCCAACTGTCAAGGGTTCACTCACACCCATAGACAATTGTGTGTTTGTGGTTGGACCTTGGTATCATGACTGGGCAACACTTTCCATGTCAGGTCCACAAGTGAGAACCAATCTTGAAGAATCTTGAGACACTTCTCAGCCCCCACCGGGATTCACATTTAGGTCATTGTAGTTGAGAGTCTAGTACAGCTTGACTATTGCATCCTTCCCACAACTAAAAAATAATGTTGAACAATGATATTGGTATAACTCATTGTAGTTGAGCATCTAGAACAGCTTGACTATTGCATCCCTCCCACCACTAAAAAATAATGTTGAACAATGATATTGGTATAACTCATTGTAGTTGAGCATCTAGAACAGCTTGACTATTGCATCCCTCCCACCACTAAAAAATAATGTTGAACAATGATACTGGTATAACTCATACTAAACCAAGGGTAGTAGTTCGGCGGAGGATGGTAGAATTATGAGCATTGCTTTAAATATAAAGAAATTAAAGATATCTGGACTACAGGTAGTAATTGTCCAGCCCAAACATATTTATTTATTTAAATTAATGTACTGTGAGTGTAAACTATAGAATTTCATCCTGTATACATGATTTTAACTGGTAAAACATATCATATTACAATGCAACATGCACAGCATGTGTAGTTATTAAAACAAATCTGATAGGATTTATCACTTTAGTGCTTTTTACTTCTGATAGTTCTTTTTGAACTTATTGTGTCAGTTTTACATGTTTTATGCTTATTGTATAGGTTTTGTCCTTATTGTGTAGGTTTCGCCCCTATTGTTTAGATTTTGTCCTTATTGTGCAAGTTTTGTCCTTATTGTTCAGGTTTTATCATATGGATTAATAAGGACAAAGACTGGGAATTGATGCCAGTTGTTTGACATCACTAACCTCTCTATTTGTCTTTTTCTTTTGCATTTCATTTCATTTCTTTATTCTTTGGAATTATTTGAAGTTTAATGTCTCACCATTATACAATACTTTGGTTAATTTGAGATTATTAACACACAGTTATTTTTTTCTTTCATTATGTATACAATGCAAGGAGGAGAGAATTTTGCCCAGACAGCTGAGTTTACACCTACTCTTCATTGTCCTTTAGGTGTATATATACATACACAGGTGACATACACAGGTGGACCTTGATTTTGTGTCCCATCCAAATAACTAACTACCCCTAACAAATGGAAATTGGGCTTAAAACTGCATGAAATTCCTGATGATGCACGCCAGGATTTGCACCTGGGAAATTCTAGTTAAGAATCTGGTTGCCTTACAGCTGAATTACCGCTTCCACCTGGGGTGGGGGAAGAATAGAAAGTAAAGATAGTAGTTAATAGAAAATAAAGATTAAAGATATATGGAAATATATAAGATATATGACTGATCCTTCTTTTTCAGTACAGCCTCAATTCTTGGTGAGGCCAGACGATGTAACAGCCAGTGCTGGAGAAACAGTAACATTACTGTGTCAAGTAACAGGAAATCCCAGACCTGATATAAGTTGGAGTAAAGATGGATTAGTTCTAGCACCAAATGATCGATTTACTCTCCAACCCAGTGGAGCTCTAAAGATCATAGATGTCCGAGAATCTGATCGTGGTGTTTATAGATGTAGAGCAGCGAACAGTATACAAACTATATCAGCGTCAGCAAGAGTTATTGTTCAAGGTAATTTACATATTTTATTTCATTTTTATACGCCCACATTGAAATGTGGTTGTATATTGTCGTCGCCTCCGTCCGTCCACAAGGTCATGAGTCGAAGAAGCCTATTGATTTTCAGCGATTTCCGATAATTACTGACAGAGTTATGGCCCATGATCACTTCAAAAAATCTTGTTGACGCTCTAGAGGCTAAAGTTAATATCTGATTGACTTTAAATTTATACACTGTTTTTAAGGTCGTGAGATGAAGAAGCCTTTTGATTTTCAGCGATTTCCGATAATTACTGCCAGAGTTATGGCCCTTGATCACTTCAAAATATCTTGTGGATGCTCTAGAGGCCAAAGTTATTATCCGATTGACGTTAAATTTATACACAGTGTTTAAGGTCATGAGACGAAGAAGCCTATTGATTTTCAGCGATTTCCGATAATTACTGCCAGAGTTATGGCCCTTGAACACTTTAAAAATTCTTGTGGACGCTCTAGAGACCAAAGTTATTATCCGATTAACGTTAACTTTATACACATTGTTTAAGATCATGAGACAAAGAAGTCTATTGATTTTCAGCGATTTCCGATAATTACTGCCAGAGTTATGGCCCTTGATCACTTCAAAATATCTTGTGGATGCTCTAGACACCAAAATTAATATCCGATTGACTTTAAATTGGTACACAGTGTTTAAGGTCATGCGACGAAGAAGCCTATTGATTTTCAGCGATTTCCGATAATTACTGCCAGAGTTATGGCCCTTGATCACTTCAAAATATCTTGTGGATGCTCTAGAGGCTAAAGTTATCATCTGATTGACTTCAGATTGATACAAGTATATTGATTTTCAATGAATTTTGATAACTTGAACAGCTAAATCCATGATATTAAATGTTTTGTATACTAAACGTTAGCATGGGGCAGAACTTTATAAAGACCAAACAAATTGTATTCATTTTCTAATAATAACTTAATTTGTTGTTTCTCTTGATCAGATTTTAATGTATTATAAATTTTTCATTACCGAAAAAAGTAAAAATATGTGATAACTCTTGTTGACTGCCCGGATGATTTAGCTGCTGTGGGCGTATGTTTCGTTGCCTGGCAACCTATCTTCATACAAGAAATACATACCCAAAATAAGGTCCTTTGGAGGGAGGATTGTAGTGTAGTCTTGTGGAATGCACAGTAGAATTAGATGTTCTTAGTTTTGAATCTCAGTGATTGTCGAGTAGAGCCAATGTAAAAAAGTATAAACTGAAAATTGGTTCATTTTGGTTCATAATTCTCTGTAGAAGTCTTTTGAAATCTGAATTTACTATCTGAAGCGCTTAATAAAAAGTTGAGGGCAAGCACTCTACAGGAAATATGTCACCCATATAAACTGTTATGGCTATTAATATCCAAACGGCTCAATAATTGAGCTGAAACTTGCAAACAATGGGCTATTGTTGCACATTTTGCCAAGCTGCTTTCTCTTCAGTATGATTGTTGGAGGCCCCCTTTTCTTCCTGAGGTCCCATGTTATATATGTCTTGTTATTCTGTTTGCTCATATATACCAAAAGTACATGCACATGATTCCTTGGGATCGAGTACCAATTTTTCCTCCCCACAGATAGAAATTACAAAAGACAGAAACAATATTTACCTTGTCGAGAAATTAAGAACCACTTAGTTATATTTAATGAAGACTGTAAGAAAGGATATTATACTTAGTTTTGTGTTATGTTTTTCTATATTTTAGTTGCACCAACATTTACTGTGACACCTGAAAGTATGTCCATACCTTTATCGGCAACTGTCAACTTTACCTGTGTAGCTTCTGGTGATCCATCTCCAATTATAACCTGGTCTAAAGACAGTAAGTACAGTATTAAATCACAATTATAACCTGGTCTAAAGACAGTAAGTACAGTATTAAATCACAATTATAATCTGGTCTAAAGACATTAAGTACAGTATTAAATCACAATTATAATCTGGTTTACAGATAATAAGTACATTATTAAATCACCATTATAATCTGGCTACAGATATATTAAGTACAGTATTAAATCACAATTATAACCTGGTCTATACAGACAGTAAGTACAGTATTAAATCACACATGTTATAACCTGGTTTAACCTGGAGGAAGTAAACACAGATTGTCCCACAGCACACAGATGTTAGAAATAGCCACTTTATGTTTTTTGCACTTGAGAAGTCGTCTATTCATGGAACAGGCACCATACAATCACTACTGTTGCTCACCTTTAGTTTGAGTTTGTAATTTATGAATTTGTAAGAGCACACAAATGTTGAAATAGTCGTTTTATATATTTTTGCACTTGGGAAAACTTGTTTAATCTGTTGACGGAACAGGCAAAAAAATCTAGCCATTGTGTGAGCTAATCACTACTGTTAGTTACTTTTTGAATAAATTTGTAATTTATACATGTATGTTTGCAGATCTTCCATTACCAAATAATGGTAGATATCAGATAGAGAATAGAGGTCAGATATTAAAGATTTTTAGAACACAGACAGAAGATCAGGGTATATATACTTGTAAAACAGAAAATGCCGCAGGAGAGGTGATTGCTTCAGCTAGATTGGTTATACAATCAAGTGGTAAGAAAAATAATATACACTACTATGATTAATCCATTTAGTGCCCAGTTTTCATTGATTTCTTACAAGTTCAGGTCATATTTGTTGGTCTTGATGCCATAAAATCGGAATTTCGAAGAATTTAACCATCAAACACACTAAATACAGTTAAAGTTTTACTTTTTATATGTAAAAACACTTAAAAATTTATATACAAATTGGGATAATGATATTAATTGTCATATTCATTGAACAAAATATCTTTCTAATCTCAAATAAACTAAATAGATTTCAAAAATTTGAAGTGAAATCCCTTTCACATATTACCATATTGCCCGTACTATCTGTAATCACGAATTTGTTTTAACAATTAAAATAAAATTTCTAAGTTAAGTATGTTTGTTTTATAGTTGCTCCATCATTTAATGAGAGATTACGAACTGTAGAGACTAATACTGGTATAGATTTAACATTACAATGTGAAGCTGAAGGGGATCCACAACCATCATACAAGTGGAATAGAGAAGGTCTACATCTTACTACAGATGCTAAATTTATTGTACAAGGTGGAAGACTTATAATACGTAATATTATATTAGGTGATACAGGACGATATGATTGTATAGCAGAAAATGTAGCTGGTAGATCAACTATGTCTATAAACCTACTTGTTCATGGTAAGTTGTATGTTAAGTGGTTTTTATACACCTGCTTACAAGGGTGTAATGGATGTCGCCCCATTCTTTAGACAATCCTGGTTTTGGTAAAGTATACTGAAAAAAGGATATTTGTTATGCAAGTAATTGATTAATTATGATAGGGATATACAGCTGTTTGAGTGTTACTTAAGTTTTTATTTGTATGTAAACAGTCCCTGGTCAACTTCTCGATAGCCGCTTCTAGACGTGGGAAACAACTAATCTATCAGAAACTTACTTGAATTGAAGAAAGAAAGAGCTTGTGTTTGCTTATATCTACCAAAACATGTAATACCATATTTCATGTTGCATATGTTGGCCAAGTTGATTTGGGATGGGGGGTGAATATATTATGTCTGTAAAGACGGCTCCTATTTATTTTCCCCAAATTGCTTTATGACATATGAATATGTTTAGTTCCAGTGCAGTTTATATTCTGGTAGCCTTATTTATTTTCAGATGTTTTCGTATTATTAATAGATAGTATTTTTATTTATTTTCAGCGGATGAAAGAGAGACAATACAGAGAGACAGAATCCGTAACCGTCCATTAAATCCTGGTAGTATTCAACCAACAAATATCAGACCGTTGTTCCCTGCTGGTCGTGATCTTCAAGATGCCAGACTTACCCGATTATATCAGAGACAGCGCCTTAATCAATTCCCGAGATATACACCCATTAGATCGGGGCATCATGATAACCGATTAACACCTAGAGAAATAGAAAGAGCCATCAGTCAAGCTACAAATCGAGTTAATACTGGAATTAACGATACTATTATGGATTTGTTTAGTAACAACAGAAATCATTCGGTGCATGATTTATTGTCTATATTCCGATATCCAGCACCAGAAGCATTAGAACTAGCCAGAGCCGAAGAAATCTTTGAACAGACGTTAGAAATATTACATACACATATTAATCAGGGACATATGTATAATCTAACCCAACATGGTGAGTAGTGTCAATATCACTCAATCTGATTAAAACACAGATTCTGGACATGGTTAATGTTTTAGCATTAATTTATGCTCCCAGAGATGCATAGGTGTATGGGACCATGCATGATTAGGACATAGGTGTACAGTACCATGCTTGATTAGGACATAGGTGTATTGAACCATGTATGATTAGGACATAGGTATACTATTCAAAAAAAGTAGGGGATATTTGATTTTGGGGGCATAATACTAAAATATGCAAATGACTACGAAAAAAGTCACTATAGAACCTAACAGAAGAAACATTTCCAGTTACATGTGACGCCCAAACGCACCAATAGCTACCGCATGGAATGCATGTGATGCTTGGGATCATCATGGGGGTCCAACCCAAGATTTGCACGACTCTGACTTTGAATGTTACAGTCATTGTGGCATTGAATTCCAGGGTGGAAACATCAGTTTAATTGTTTTAGTGACCAGAAAACAAATTTTGATATGCGTCGGCTTACCCAAAATGAAAGGTTACGTGCCCTTGGCATGCTACAGATCGGCACAACACAGGCGGTTGTGGCGCGGACGATGAATGTTTATCAGTCTGTCATAAGCAGGCTATGGTCCAGATACCGTGATACACAATCTGTACAGGACAGACCACGCTCAGGTCGACCAAGGGCGACAACTCAAGCCCAGGATCGATTTATCCGTACCTTGGCCTTGAGAAATCGTGTCATCAAAGCAAATCAGATCAGCGCTCGTCTTCAAACAGACACTGGTGTGAGAGTGAGTGGCCAGACGATTCGGAATCGACTGCATAGGGGTCACCTTCGCCTCCGACGTCCTCGCGTGATCCCTTGTTTGAGAGATCATCACATTCAGGCAAGACGTCGTTGGTGTAGGGATCGTCAACACTGGGATAATCGACGCTAGAGCAATGTGATGTTTTCAGATGAGTCAAGGCTCACTGTTGATTTTTTGGACAGACGTAGGAGGGTGTGGCGTCGTCGAAACGAGCGCTTCCAAGACGTTAACGTCATCAGACATGATCGATTTGGGGGTGGTTTTGTTATGGTGTGGGGAGGCATCACTGTTGCTGGAAGAACGGCTTTACATGTTGTTGCAGGGCGTGTTACAGGCCAGTACTACCGGGACAACATCTTGGCAGTCCATGTTGTGCCGTTCGCACGACGTCATGGCCGCCGTTTCATCTTCCAGGATGACAACGCAAGATGTCACAGGGCCAGGATCGTTACAGGTTACCTCCAACAACAGAACATCACCACATTACCTTGGCCAGCACTGAGTCCCGACCTCTCCCCCATCGAGCATGTCTGGGACATGCTTGGACAGAGGTTACGTCAACGTCAACAACGTCCTGTCAATGTCCAAGAACTTGCTGCTGCGTTGCAACAGGAATGGGACAATCTGGACCAAAATGACCTTAGACGTCTCATTAGGAGTATGCCACGTCGGATCAATGCTTGTTTGGCAAACAGAGGAGGATTTACCCGTTACTGACTTGGTTGTGATGCTGTGGTAACTTTGCTGTTTGACCCCGGGTATCATTTTACCCTTATAATGGTCAGTCTGTGCCTTACTTAGTCTAAGGATCATTTGGAATAAATCGATGAATGTGAACTTCATTTCATTTTGTCATTTGTTTCTTCGTCAGTTTCATTAGGTGACTTTAATAACACTTAAAAATCAAATATCCCCTACTTTTTTTGAATAGTATATATGGGACTGTGTATGATTAGGCCATAGGTGTATGGGACCGTGTATGGTTAGGACAAAGGTCTATGGGGTCATATACGATTATGACATAGGTCTATGGGACCATCTATGATTAGGACATAGGTGCATGGGACCATGTATGATTAGGACATAGATGTATGGGACCATGTATGGTTAGGACATAGGTGTATGGAACTGTGTATGATTAGGCCATAGGTGTATGGGACTGTGTATGATTAGTACATAGGTGTATGGGACCATTTATGATTAGGCCATATGTCCAGGGAACCCATTAGGACATAGGTGTACGAGGCTTTGTATGATGAGAGGAGAGGGTCTGTAAAGGTGTTTGAAAGGTGTATGGGACCCTGTATGATTAGGACATAGGTGTACGGGACATTGTATGATTCGAGGGCCTGTAAAGGTTTGAAAATACGTTTATGCCTGGAAATGACTCCTTTGTGTGTGAAAATGGTTTTCAGATACATTTATACAGATATCTGTATTTTAATTGGATAGCGATAAAGTCTTATGGGTAGATACAGCCTGACTGATCTTTCAAGCAATATTTTATTGTGACAGTATTGTACTTAATGGAGTTGGGTAAGAGGTCAGTATTATAGAAATCTATTCTATTTTCTCAATATGACAAGTTTATTTCTGTGTTTTTATATTCTAGATGAAACATACAGAGAACTGGTATCACCTGCTCATCTAACTCTTATAGCTAACATGTCTGGTTGTGCTCGACGACCAATGGACATAGATTGTTCCAACATCTGCTTTCACAGGAAATATAGAACCTTAAATGGTATTTGTAATAATTTTAAAAATCCAACATGGGGAACTTCAAATCAAGCTTTCCTCCGACTTCTACCACCTATATATGAAAATGGTTTCAACACACCAGTTGGTAAGTCATTTATTTTACATTGTATTTACTCAATGACTGTCCGTTCCATTGAATTTCATATCTCAAATTTTTTTTGTGCGACAAGATTATGTCTTCGTTCAAAGTTTTATATCAAAAGATACAGCCAATGTTTCGACATAATAACCAGTTGTATTAATTAAATTTATTCCTGTAACTAAGAATACAAATGGCAGACCCCATTACACCCAAGTTACAAAGATCATGTGACAATATGGTAACTTGTACATTTAGACTGACCTTTATATCATGCACATAGAGTCTAAATATATTACAAAGTGTGACCCATCAAGTCAAGTCTTCAGTGGTCTCTTCAAATCTTTTATTAAAAATGTCCCCAAATTATCCATGGATATGTTGTACAGCAGTATGGTAATATTATCATTGTACAGATTTTAATGTTTAATTTATTAGCGTTACTTCATTATTTCTTTTTTACTGTTTTCAGGTTGGAATCGAGGTAAAATGTATAACAATATTCATCTACCTAGTCCACGATTAATCTCATCCTTTATGATGTCCACAGATCATGTGACCATGGATGAAGTTTACAGTCACATGTTAATGCAGTGGGGACAGTTTCTCGACCACGATTTGACTTTATCTCCGCAGTCGATTAGTTTTGCTAGATTTAGTGATGGACAGCGATGTAATGAAACTTGTGAGAATGTTAGTCCCTGTTTTCCTATATCGGTCCCGAATAGCGATCAGAGAATTAGGAGTACGTGTCTTGGTTTCACCAGAAGTAGCGCCACTTGCAACACTGGCACCACATCCTTGTTCTTTAATACAGTGGCGCCACGGCAACAGATAAACGCTTTAACATCCTTTATTGATGCCTCTAATGTGTACGGAAGTGGGCCTGATGAAGCCAATGCTTTGAGAGATTTAACCAATGAACGTGGATTACTGAGAGTGGGTCCATCTATAAATGGAAACCGATTACTTCCCTTTGATGACGATACATTGCATCGCGTCGATTGTCAGTTGGATGCCACCAAACGTCACGTACCATGTTTTAAAGGTGGAGATCACAGAGTTAATGAACAGATAGCTTTAACGGCCATGCATACTTTGATGATGAGAGAACATAATCGTATAGCCACCATATTGGAAGAATTAAACCCACACTGGGATGGCAACAAACTCTATCATGAAACTCGAAAAATTATTGGAGCTGTTATGCAACATATTACGTATAATGGTTGGTTACCGAAGGTAATTGGTTCAAAAGGTATGGCGATGATGGGCGAATATAATGGTTATAATCCTAACGTCGATCCTACCATTGTCAATGAATTTGCCACAGCAGCGTTCAGGTTCGGACATTCATTAGTGCAGCCCGTGATATTTCGATTAAATGAAAGCTATCAACCAATTCCAGAAGGTAATCTGCCCTTACACAAGGCTTTCTTCTCTCCATATCGTATTTTAGAGGAGGGTGGAATCGACCCGCTGTTGCGAGGATTATATGGTGTAGCCGCCAAGAAGAGGATGCCAGGTGAATTATTGAACACAGAACTAACAGAGAAACTCTTTTCCTTAGCTAATTCTGTGGGACAGGATTTAGCTTCTTTAAATATACAGCGCGGTCGCGATCATGGTCTACCATTCTACACATCATATAGAAAATACTGTAATCTATCAGCTGTTAATAGTTTTGAAGATTTAATTCATGAAGTTCAACATGCAGATACGTTGGAAAAACTACGAGCTGTCTACACTCACGTTGGTAAGTGTTGATACTGTATTATATTGAAATTGTGCAAACAGGTCTCATGTTGATTAGTTTAGAAAAGGAAAATATTGATGAAACACTATAAATCATCTGTGTCTGCTGCTTCCCAAAATTGTTTCTTGATGTGAGTGATGCAGGACAGGACCTGGCAAGGAAAAGCATTTAGTTGTTTGGATAACACAAAAAAACATGGTTCCATCATGTAAAGGAATGGTTGACTGTTGGAATCCAATAACGAGAAAGTAAAAAGGGCAAAATTTTGTGTGCTAATCTTCATAAGCCAGAATGATGAAGATAAGTTGGACGTTAAATTCTATTAAAAAAAATTATTTTGTGTCATTTGTGGACTTCTCAGATAAATCAAAAGTGGTTTTAGGTGCTTTAGAAAGTGTACACACATCCCATCATATGAATGACACCCATCAGTAAATATTATATATTTAAACATATTTTTTTTATATTTATTTTGTAGATAATATAGATTTATTTGTTGGTGGTATGAGTGAGACTCCAGCTCCTGGTGCTAAAATAGGACCAACGTTTCTATGTATTATTTCTAATCAGTTCATGAGATTGAGAGATGGAGACAGGTATTTTTTTTATTTTTACACTGATGTTGGGGTGAAACGACCTCACCAGCGCACCTGTATAATAGCATTACCATATCAATATTGATACTGACACCTGCATCACAGTGAGCTTTGCTACACAAGGTCCTGGCAACTATTAATGGTGCACAGTGTGGACTAAATTATGACTTAAAATCAACTAAAATTCTGTTTTCTGGAATTGTTTTCGGTTAAATTTTAAAGTATTTGATTGAAATATAGTACACTGTTGTACATAGTAGTGTTATAGAATTTAAACATATTTTGATAATATATTCACAGTTTTAGACTCTTATAGATACATGCAATACTCTTAGAATGCTTGTTATTTGTAGGATTGAAAAGTTATTAGCCCAGCTTCTTTTAAAATGGCCTTTAGTTTATTTTGCCCGTATTTTGAGGGGGTGGGGCTCAACCCACAGACTAATAAAGTTATGATAAATTGTTACTAAAGATATTTAGAGAAGTAATGCTGAAGTCAGTGTGCAACCAATGGTTTTGTTTGCCAAGTTTCTATAGACATATTTTAATTCTTGATTTCTTCAGTGTATCTAGATATTTCTGAACTGGAAATGTGTTATTAATTTTCCAGATTTTGGTATGAAAATCCGGGTGTATTTACCCCGGAGCAGTTAGATCAGATAAAACAGAGTAGTTTGGCTCGTATTATCTGTGACAATAGTGATGGTATCAGAACATTACAACATGATGCTTTCTTATTTAAAACACAAGAAGAGATGATATCATGTGAGGACATACCAAAACTTGACTTACGTATGTGGACAGACTGCTGTGAAGGTAAGGAGGGTTACTATTAGAGAACTAACATGTCAGAATATAGAATTTAAGGATATACATGATATACACGATATAAAAACCCCACAAAACATTTTGATCTATAATGGATCAATGGATTTATACTAAATTAAAGATCCTGAGAGTGATTTTAATGCTATAGGAATATCTTACAAACAACAATATTGTGAAAAGAGAGAGAGATATTGGGGTGTAATGTCCACTAGACATAAACCAGGTCATTTCGGGGCTACCATATGGTTCACAAGGTTGGACAGGCGACCCTACACCTTGTCATGTACAAGTGGGGAATTGAAACCATGCCACTTGACTCATGACAGATCTTATGATGCAACATGCACACATTAAACATTCGGCTATCCAACTCCCCCACAATATTGTGAATGTTGAATTTCTAATATGAATATCAGTCCAAGAATGGTTCATTTTGTTAAGCATAATACAAAGATATGAAGATGTGAAATTCCATCGATCTATGTTGCTCACTGTGCAGCAAGCCTGCCGCCATTTTTATAGTCCGCAAAAACTTTCTATATGCATATTATTTTAACAAATAAAAAGAAGAAGATAACCATGGCAATTTATCTGCCTGAAGCTAAGTACTTTTATTATAAATCACTGTATTGTTATATTTCAGAATGTAGACGTAACAATTTTGAGAGTTTTACACGTCACTTCAGAAGTCGTAATCAGTTTAGTTTCCCAGATAATCGTCCATTTAATCAGTTTGGTGGTCGTTCATTTCAACAGACCCCTGTTAATACTCGCATCAATTCCTTCCAACAAGATCAACCAATATATGATGATCATTCAGAAGAAGAAATAAAAGAAGATATGACAGCTCTGAATTCACGATTGGAAGGAGTAGAATCTGTTATGGAAGAAATGTCCAAAACTATCAAACATTTGAAGAAAAAGGTAAAATACCTCATTTTAATTGTTGGCGTCTAGTTGTTCGGATGGTATAATAACAAGTACGATCATACTATGACCAGGAACTGAACATATTGTTGGATGAAGTTCAAAAATCTAATTCAACAAATCAATGCAGAATTGTTCATAGAACAAGCATGCCAATTTTCATGTCAATTGCACTTTAATTGTCAGAGTCTTAGGATTTTTCGAAGAGCGTCACCCAAGAACAAGAAGAACAAGATGAGTAGCAGTTAGCGACCAGTTCCTGGTTCAAAACTCAAGGTTCCATAATACACACAAGGAATTACATGTAAAAGTATATTTGGCAGTTGGAATTCAGAGAAAAGCAGGCAGAAATGCTGTTGTTCTTGCTAAATTTCTCTCATCTCTCAAAGCACAATGCATGGCATATGTTTGTCTTCATTAGCCCGCTTGGTGCAGAAAAGCAGCATGTTGAATCCCATTTCATATCCTAAAAATTGAGCCGTGGATCTAAATTGGTTTCTCTGTAGAATTGATGGTAGCACGCCTATTATTCAATAAATGATTTTTTTCTATTAAAAAGGTGAGGTTTTTACAAAAACAAATGAAAGGTGGAAAAAAACAGCATACTTGTATGGATTTTGATAAACAAATACGAAACAATAATGAGAAATGGAATATGAATGAATGCAAGATTTGTATATGTAAAGTAAGTAGTTGTGTATTAAAATTATCATATACAAACTTTTAAGATTCTATCATAGACTCAGATATGGCCAGCAGTAACTCATTTCACTGATGAACGTCATGGTTGTTAGGGTTAGGGAAGATGCAATTGAAATACACTCCACATGAGATCTGCACTGAACCTATGATAAAGGATCATTCTGGGCATAGTCGATGGAAGGTTCTGGAATTGAGTTCTCTTAATTGAAAATTCAAGAGAAAATTAAAATGATACTACCTTCATAGCTTCAGCAGTTGATTATGTCACAATTCAGTTCACATCACGTTTATTTTCATGATTGGCAGAATGCAGTCAGTGTCACTCAATTATTCCGTCAATTCAGAACATTCCAGGCTGATAACAGAGTACCATGTCAGTAAACTACAGAAATTTATTTTTAAACATTGTATATTTCAGAGAGGTAAAATTGAATGTATGAGTGAAACCTGTCCACAAGTGTCCTGTCAATCTCCGATTAAAATGGAAGGAAAATGTTGTCCTGTGTGTTCCTAATCGTAGAAGTAATTCCACCAAAAATATCAGGGATATTAAGTTGTGTTGTAAAAATGCTTCTACCTTTACAGTTTGTGCCAAGTGTTGACTGTTGGACATTATAGTGATTTCAGAGATAAATGGACAATAATTACAATCAGGTTTTTGTTTGCTACGTTATCTCAACTTTATGGTGCTGAATAATACATAAATAAACATGTATATATATGAACTTATTTTGTTTTGTGGAACTCTTATGATAGACAACAATCTATCAATTTTTTTTCTCTTTTGTTTAGTGATTGTCAAGTTTTTAGATGTTAATTGTTATTTAAAAGTTTGCGTAGGTGAATGTTTTTAATTCTATGAATTGTTAGATTCGTTTTGTAAAGAATACAGTGTACAACAGTCAAAGAGCAGGCTCGTGAAATTGACTGAAAAATATCAAAATGTGAGATTTAATTACTTTTTCCACCAGCAGGTTTATTAGATTTTTTTTAGTGCAGAATGGTACAGGCGTTGTGCTAATCATACATTATTTATACAAGGTTGGAAATATTGGACCCACATATTAGAAATAGTGTATAGGTGTTGAATGAGACATTGCATAAAACATTTAGAAAACTTGGCCATACGCTCTGGTGCAGTATCAATATATTACTTAAAATCTCCTTTCTCAACCTTTAAACAACACTTAAAGCACTGTTATTTAAGATATAGGAAGTGCTGTTTTTAAAATATAAAGTTTGTCATATTTGTTTCAAAAAGCACTTCTAATTTGTAAACCTACTGGCAGAGACAGTAAGAAAAGGTGTATCCATAAAACTAGAGTTATCTTTCCTGATTTGTGATATCTATATACTGCCAGTAAAACTATTTTTTAACTATTTAAATCAAATACTTGCTACTAGTTTCATATTGATAAAGATTAGTTGAATATTTTAATCTGCTGATTTTATTGTGGGATTAAATAAGTGCCTTAGTTAAACAATTTGTGTCATTTTATAAAGAATAAGTGCCAGTGTATCTTTTTATTTTTTAACTGCAATTATGATTTTAAAAATTGCCACAGGATGCTAGTGATTGATTCACTCATTGTTGAGTGTATAAATTAAACCTACTTCTCACTTAAAACAGCTGATCTGTATTTGAAAGAAATTAAATTCTTTACATTACTATAATGTGAAAGTTGAGTCTAAAAATAAAAAGAAGAATTTCAGACCAGTTACTTTCAGTATTTACAAAGATATAATAAGTACAATGTGCATTAAGCTGTCAAAATTTTGATCTTGTCCGATCGATAGGGATCGATCAGTGACATTAACTTGACAACCAGCTTTTGGCAAGTCCTTTTTTATCATTTTATTTTACCATATGACTTTTTACTTGCATGTTAATATTTCTATTTTAGATTTCTTGGTTTATTTGGACATTTTATTAATTATACATGTTTTAGCATTATATATACATCTCTTCGTGTAGTTGGTTTATAATTGACTCTGTTAATAATAAACTTTTGTTTTGTAATATGTGTATGCATATCTGTATTACTATTACTGAAGTTAAAAGAACACAACATCTATGATTTGGGTGGGAAATAAGACTTTCGATTTGTTGGTGTGAAATATTTTTCTACAATTAAAATGTGATTTCAAAAGTTTTAACTAAAATAAGTAAAGCAAACGATTTCCACTCACGTTGCAGAAATAATGATGTTAAATAGAGCTTTGCATCTTTACAAATTGACACATCACATCTGAGAGCTTAAAGAATATATTATCTGACCTAAATCAAAAGAGGTCTTTGGTTTTTGTTTTACTTTAAACTTGAAATCTCACTTTGCTGCATAATAAATATACTTTATGCAAAAATTTTGTAATTATTTAATTGACAGTATTCAAGGGTATTTTTATGTTGGTTTTTTTTATACCTCATTTGTAAGACTTTTTAAACATTTTTTGATATTATCTTTAAATATTAATAATTCTCTCTGTCCATAATGCATTTTAATTGGTGTTTTTAGATATTAGTTATAATACTGACAAATTTTTTAAAAAAATGAACATCTTTAAGATTGTATATCCATTTAAAATCAAAGATATCAAAACTTTAAGTTATTTCACAATGATCTCGGTTTTGTAGTCCAGGTAAACATTTATACATAATATTAATTTCCTATATCACTGATCTGATCAAATTGTTAAAAAAGATACAAATATGGAAATACTAGCCAGATTCTTATTGATAAAGATTTTATTCTGATGGCAAACATGCAATAAGGTCAACAATTTAATTTAATTGGATTTTTGGGAATAATTATGATGTTGAGTAATGTAACTGGACGTATATATTAAGATTATGGAATATGAGTGTAATTACAATTCTAGTAGACCCAATCTCCTTATATGGCCTTATCTCCAAGTTGCAAATTCCAAATATTTGTAACATAGGGTGAATTTGAAATCAATATATTAAGAATGAACAATCTTAATAAGAAGTGATACTTAGACAAATTAAAGTAAAGGGAGTTTTTAAAATTTATTATTATTGGTTTTAAGAACAAATGCATTGTGGGCTTGTTATAAAAATGGTGCTAAAAGATCTGAATTTACAGATATTAGCTGTAATGGAACCTTTATGTCTACTTTATTATACAATGTTTTGTGGCTGTATGTATTTATTTTTCATTTTTACTTTTGTACAATAGACAGTCATGTGATACTGGAGATTATATAAAGGTAGAAGAAGTTTGTTAATAATTCTTCCATTGATGTGTGGATTTCGCTGAGAAAATATTGATTATCAGTTACAATGTATGATGTTTTTTATAAAAGGTATTAAAATGCAAATAGTTGGCCAATCAAAATATTTATGCATTAGCACTCAGCAGTCTTATTTTGAGTACTTTGTGAAAATACAATATTTTTTTTTTTTTTTAATTGCATTTTATTTCAATACAAATTTTGAATTTTAGAAATGTACATGTACTATTATTATTTATCTATAAAGTCACTTAAAATACCTTTCGAAAAATACCAAATATGAAATTTAGATAAAACGTTTTCTTTAATTGACTTTTTCATGGTTACTAAATGATTGCTTGTCACATCACCTAATTGTTGTACAAAGACAAGATTTTGATCAATACATAACATAAACTCAGCCATTGAAGTGGGACGTACAAATATGGAAATAACACTTGTGCCACTGAGAAACCTGTCCAATTTGGTGACTATTCCTGTCATTAAAACAAAAAATCTGGAACCGTGAATGAATGAATGAAATGGGGTTTAATTAACATCCTACTCTTCAGCACCTGGAACTGTGAAATAATCACTTGTTTGAAATACTTACCAAGAGTATATGAAAAGAGTTCCAGCACAAGGAAGAAATGCTTTTTTCTACGCCCTTTATTAATACTTCAGGAGTTATATGACTGTCTTGCTCTATAAATGCTATATTGTACATGTATGTACATTTCCCGCTAGTAATTATATCTTCTTGCCTTGGCTTAAATGTAGTCTTACGTGACATAAAAGACATTCCCCCCCCCCTTTTAATAACAGAATGTGCATGATGTTTGTATTAAAACTAGTTTACCAAGGTAAAGTTAACAACATGCAAGTATATATGAGTAAATTACATATAAATAAGCAATTTGATTGGCTTTTGTGTACGTAGATCTGAATAATAAGATTATATTTGATATATATATTTTGTGACATATTTTCAGGCATTATAATAAATGTTTATATATCTAAGTGTCGAATGCCCAACTCTTACTCTAGTTAAAATCTTTCTTAAGAGATTATTAATTTGATAAATGGTGACAAGACCAGCAACATTTGGTATGAAATTCCAGCTGTATTCTACCAAATTCTGTTGTATTTCTGTTTGAGTTTGGACACTTTTTCTTTATATTCATGTCTCCTCTTCTCCCTGCATCCGTTTTATGATGCAGAAGTTACACAGATTCTGCCTGTTCCAGCCTTTTTGACTCATTCAAGGCCATTTTGCCAATCCACACTGTATCCTCAATAGATTATCAATTACTTACTTTGACACTTCATGATGAAATGTTTTGACATTTTTTAATAACAATGTATGAAGGCATTATTTTTTTTATATATATAAATGATACCAGATTTTTAACTTTACTAAAATATTTATTTTTCATAATGTAAGATTTTATCTAAAGTATGATTTGGGCATTCTAACCTTACATAATATTGATCCCTCTGACTGTCTTGTTCTTTTATTATTTATAGTATTTTGTAAATCTCAAACCATCTCTATATAAGTATCATTAGGGTGTACAGTTATCAAAAATGCAATAAATTTATTCTCTTTTTACACATATTTTGTTGGAGTTTATTTATAACTATATGAAGATATAGGTCTGGTTCCTGCTTATTATAGGTAACATGATTAATTGTTTGGATGGGACAAAAAATCTGTTTACAAATTTATTGTGCATGTAAATAAATTGGAGAAGGGCAATTTTCTTAGTCAATTTATAAGCGATTTTAATTGTCTACATATAGCTTGTGTGTGTGTGTGACACTAGAATGTCCTGGTTGAGAACCTTGAGGGATTTTTCAACCCATTTCCCACTTCTCAGGGGTAGCGCAAGTACATGTAGGGATGACAAACAATGTGTTGCCATACTGTGTATGTAAAAGAACCATTGACAGTTGGAATTTGATGACACATTGGTGGAAACGATATATTGCACACGTGGCCATAGAAGAGAGACAGAGAGAATGAAATGAAATGAAATGGGGTTTAACGTCCTACTGTTTTGCTCCTATACTGGGCTAATAAAGACGGGCATACGCCATACAGTGTGCTATGAGGGAAATTTTGCCCGGGCAGCGGCACTATCGCCTACTCTTATATCGAATTCCAACTGCCAAGGGATCTTTTACGTGCATTCCAATGTTTACACTAGACCTCGGTTTTTCGTCTCATCTGAAGGACTAGACAGCTGTCCTTGTCAGGCCCTCCGTCCTGCATCACTGACAAGGGGAAACCACGTCGGAAAATTGGGATGAACTTTCTCGGCCAATGCAGGGATCGAACACCCAACCTCCAGGCTAGCGAGCCGGCGGAGACAGAGAGAAATGGGGTTTAACGTCCACTCCACTCGACACAAACTAAGTCATTTTGGGACGAACACATGGTTCAATTTTATTTCAATAATTCGCTTGCGTGTAGGGGTTTTATCAATGGGAGGACTTGGAGAAAACCCACGAGGTTGGACAGGCAGGCCATAGAAGAAATCAACCATATGTTAGATTTAAAAATGACTAAAGTATTATGTTGAGTGCTTTGACCCCTTTCCATTCCATTTAAGTTATAGAAGTAACAAAACTAAAATGATTTCTACAATTTATATTATCACATATTATCATCTTCAGAATCACTGTCAATATACACTGATAAAAAATCTAAAGATGACGATATTTTCACTTTATCTGTATTGTCTTTAATTAAATTGTCTTCTGTCATTTGATCACAAAGAAAAGAATTCTTTTCTTTATGATTTGTTATATTAACACTCTGATGTCTGTTTTCTGGAATTTCCATGTTGCTAGAGCATGTTCCTACAGTGGATCTAATGTTCTTTTCATCATGATTTGCTGATTGTCTACTGATTTTTGTTGCCCATGTTATTGCTGGCATATTTATTTGATCAAACTGTAAGGGTTCGTCCTGCAAATCAAAATTCACACTAGGAATAATAGTTTTTTGTTCTTGATACCCATATTCTGTTTTATAACTATTATCATTATCTAATACTGGAGTTGGTATTAACAAATCTACAGAAAGTTTGCTTTTCTTCTCATTTGACGATTCGGATAAAACTGTATCTGAAATAAAGAAGAGTTGAGTCATAATTGTCAAAAAATCTGCCATTATCGGAAAACCATTTTGTCTTGGTCACACATTGGGTCTGGGTGGGGTAGGGAGTGAGATACTTGATTGAAGGTTCCATCCATTAATGAGAACTTTGAGCGTCAATTGAAAATGATACTGATTTTTAAAACCAATCACCATGGATGTTAGTCTAATAGATTATTTCCTCCTGACGTTCTTGTCAACTGTCTTACAGCTTCTTCTTCTATTTGTGTTTAACGTCCGCTTCCACCGATACCGATGGTGATATCGCACACAAGTTGTCTTATTATGCTCATTGCACATCCAGTGGTTTTTCCTGTGGAAGGAAACCAGGGTACCCAGAGTAAACCATGAACACCAGCCAATTAGAGCTTGAAGCACGACACTCTAGACCACTAGGTCATCTCAACCCCCTCTTAAAGCTTGTTGGTCCAGGGTCTTTGTAGAGTTTTTTGGTTTGACTCAACAAACAGAAGTATAAGGCCATGACTTATATGTTTGGATCTTGAAAAGGTCTGTGGGAATTATTCATAGACCGTTTGCTGAGATTTCAGTGCTCAGCTAATGAACAGCTTGCATTCTTAAGATATTGTTTGTAGGCCCGGGGATTTGTCCTATTTGTGCTATGCAGAAGTTAACATAAAATATACATTCTCTGTTCTGGTTCATATTCCAAGAATGAAAATGTAAACCCTTAATCTTTGGTTTAAAGCTTATATATCCCATTCTAATAAAACAATACTAAATTCATACAAGAATATAAGTGAGTTTTACCTACCACCAGAATCATTAATTTGATTTGCTGAATTAATTTTGGATCTTTTTGAGCTGTAAGGTCTGTTGGTCCATGGGGTGCTCTTAATATCAGGATCAAGAAAGCGCAATTTGCGAAGGAAGGCTCGATATTCTCCTTGTAATTTATCTATTCTTCTATTAAACTCTTCTATTTGTTTCTGTGGGTAACAAGGTACAGACGATTGCTGAAAAAATAATAAAATACAAGTAGACTATGCAGAAAAAAAACACCAAACTTTTAAACATTAGATCAAGAGCTGACCGTTCTTGCTATAATAGTTCAAAAATAGATAATGAAAAATGAATACATGTATATTGAAAATTTCAAACAAATTACTTTTTTCTATGGAGAGTTATCATGCTTTGAATTGTTTACAATATAGTCTTGATTTTCAAGTACCATTGTTATGATAATTTATTAAATGGTGATCATGGTCTAGAGAGCTGATTTTGGGCTTGTCATGTTAATAAAAGAAAGATGTGCAAATAGGCAGATTTAGCTCTTACATAATGCTTCTTTAAAGTATGCTACAAATGACACAGTTTGTAGAGCTCATATAAATGTTTGAATTTGAATAGTTTTTCATGGTTATTCAAACTGATTACTTAATTACTAGTTGTTATTCTTGTCAATTAAAACTAACTGAGTTTTTTTTATCTTCTATGAAATATTTACTATTATTTATTTAATGGAATCAAACAATGTTAAAAAATGGACCAAAATATATAACTTAATTGAATTAAATGGAACAGAATTTGTATAATGACTTAGAATATTGAAATAGTATTCAATGTGTCCACTAGGTGATAACTGGAGGTATTTGTGCTTGATGGGGAATCCGGCTAGTTATATCAATTATTATTTAGATATTTATTCACATGACAAGCCTATAATCAACTCTCTAGAACATCTAATGGCTGAGATTTAAATGGATTAAACATTCGTCGTTGTTTAATGATTTAATTTTAAAATGGCGAAGCGCGACTAAGTATTAAATAATAAGTAAGTATGGTTGTTACAATAATAATCAATCTATGTCACATCCTGTCAAAACTTCACTCAGAATAAAGAAATTTGAATGAAATTTTCAATATTCATTTTGTATTATTTATTTTTAAAATATTATAGAACGAACAGCAAACTCTTACATAATGCATCTTTAAAGAACAAAGTTTGCATTTATAGTCTTTGAAGTTACTAGGAAAATGGTTACTCTCTTCTTTTGTTAATTTCTGCAATGGGGCTCTGTTACTGAAAGGGGGGAACCTAAGGTAATTTGCATTATGTCTCTTTAATACCCCCCCCCCCATTTAAATCTCTTTAAATCTTACTGCAAGGTAGTAGTTTATGTCTTCTTTAATTGATGGCAGCCATTTCTTTACTTCATCTGCTGAGTAAAGGTCATTCTAAAACAGAAATTTCATAAAATTAAATAAAATAATAACAAAATGTCTGTCAATCTCATGAGAACCTAAATCCCAATAATATGAAATGAGATGGGGTTTCTAACAGCCTACTGTTCTACACAGACTGGGCTAGTGAAGACAGATATATGCCATACAGTGTGCTCTAATGGAAATTTTGCCTGGACAGTGGCACTTATATGGCCTACCCTTTTGTCGAATTCCAACTGTCAAAGGTTATTTTACGCACAGGTTGATGTGTACACAGGAGCTCAGTTGCTTGACTCATCTGAATATAAGTTGTCCATTGCCAGAACCTCCATCCTACACCGCTAGCTGGGGGGGGGGGGGGGAACCATGATGGAAAATCTAGTTGAACTTGCTCGACCAAAGAAGGGATTGAACACAGGAACTCCAGGTTAGGAAACCAAGGTCTTACACTCACTGTGCCACCATGGTTCCCCTAAATAATATGTCAGAGTAAACTAATCATTTGGATTTATGACCAGATCCACACATCATCCATTACTACAACCATAAAATTCACTGAATGAATACCATGTTAAATACCTACATGTACCTTTGTGGTGACGTCAAATTAATGCGATTTATCTTTGAAATTAAATTAAGCATGTTCGTAACAGAGGTTTTTTATAAAATCACAGATTTTAAATTTCTAACATGTAGTCAATGTCAAGTTGCCTCAGATATCTCTAACCTCACATGACTAAGTTTTATTATCAATTTCGGCAATGATTTATGGGATGACAAAAAACATAATATCATAAAGAACAATGATTTGGATTTTAAAAAAATAGCACTCTCATCACAGGTATTTATGCTCAATGTGCCTAATTTAATTCAACCAACATACTTGTTCAGAGAATGTCTGAAGCCTATGAGTCTATGAGAGATATTTTGAACTATGACTCTTATAACTGAAAATTAAAAAAAATAAAATAATTACAAGTTTTGGTCTTGGTGGTTTTTTCTTCAATTGTTCTGAAAAAGAAAGAATACCTATATTGAAGAATTTCCCTCTGGGTTGTGTTATACTATAGCAGAAATAATGATTTTGAAGGAATTTTGTTCATTTGGACTCTAAAATGTGGTAATCTAAATTATTATGTCTATGATTACAAACTATGGGACATGTAATGCTTGTGTGTAATGTGAGGGATGTTAATTTTACTGTTCACCTTTCAAAGGGTTCTTTAATTTGAACCAATACAATGTAGGTACAGGGGTGAACTTTTGTGGAAATTGTATCACCCAAATGCTTTCCTTAATTAATAGATGTCTGCCTCTGTGGCAAGTCTGGTTTAGACTTTAAAATTCAGTGCTTCTCCACATTTCACACTATCAATCCTGGCCAGGATTGGAATATTTTCTCATTTCACGGATGCAGTCTTCTATCAGCATGACACCAGTTCGCAATTTTCAAAAACAATGACTATTTTTAAGGAACTGTAAAGAATTACTGTAAAGAATTAACATTAAAGTCAATGGGGAAATCATTAGTGATCTGTGGCCAATTATAAAAGGAAAAAGGGGAAATAACTCCATTTAGTAGACAAATCTTCCTACGCAAAATCGTCTTTATATGAATATCTAAGGACCATCATAACCTTCCCCCATAAAAAAATCCTATACCATCTTTTTGTTGCTGTAAGTAAAACCTGTTCAATCTTGCTAATTGTTTTTCTTCGTTTCTAGCCATGGCATTATTCCGATTTCTTCTATTTTTACTATCACGATTCAGCGAAAGTTAGCTTTTAATGCTGTGATAGTTTCGTATATAACAAAAACTATTTTTGACAGGTTTCCTTGTAAGTTATTAGGCCTAAGTCTGAGTTTGCTAATTTTTATACTGTAAAGAAACACTTTGAAAGCATAAATTATTCTTTCGTTCCATTACGCATAAAATAATACGAAACAGTATCTTTATACAGAGCTGAACTATCATGGGCACATAACTCTCGATCCATGACCGGCATCGGCAGAAATTTTCAAGATCGCATTAAAAAAATATATTAATATTACGAAAAATAAGAACTTTAAGGATGGCGACTTCTTCGGTAATTGTGAGATAATTGGTCGAAGCTGTGAAATCTACAATAAATAACCCCGTGATCTAATATGACTAGATAAATTACAAATATATTCTTATTAATGAAAACATTCATTATTATGATATTTAAAGAACATGTTGTTTCACTACCAGTCTTTGATAAAATTTATGAAAAGCTTTGATTAAACCCATAAATTAAAGGGCGTATGGCTTTAATTTTTGAACCCTGAAATATACAAAAATGGTTCTAAAGTAAACTGGATGTGGGTCAGTTCATCCCACAACCGTTTCACCCCGGGCTGTTTCATCCCAACCTGATTTTTTATCGGGCTGTTTCATCCCCCTTGTTATTATAATAGCAGTCAATTACCTGAGTTGTACTTATCGTTAAATAAACTGTTAAACACTTACTTATTGTTAAATAAACAATAATGTATGGAATAAATAAGTTTTACTCGTCGATTTTTGTTGATTACCGATCACGGCCGTATTGTTTATTCGTATTGTTAGTTAATTTCCGTTATGATTTTAGATTAGTTCACCAATGGTTTTGTAATAAAGTATACTCGTATTGTTTGTTAGTTTATGATGTCTAACATCATTTATCTTCTTTATAAAAAGGTGTTTTATAATTACATATTGACAGCTGAATCACTCGCCAAAAATATATCATGGACTCTTAGTATTACCAAATAATCAACTAAATTGCGCAGGAGCCCCTTTTAAATAAGACAAATTAGATTGATATTATTTCGAAACCATAATTAATTTCAAAACTGATCATTGATTTAATTTCCGTACACGAAATGAAACTAAACATCTCAAAATATAAGAAATCCGAATAGGAATTCATTTAGAATACCAAAATGCGAATCGTAACACATTGTGGTCTGAACTGTGTGATAAGTTATAAAATGAATCATAAATCAATGGAACCTGTTGTAAGGTGGACACTGCATGCTTTCTTTTAACGTTGGGTTATTTGAGACGCCAGGTAGTCTGAACATCTAAAGATAACACGTGTCGAAATAGTGGCTAAGTGCAATTTTATCCTTTGATCTGTTCTATCACAGGCAATCCTTTTATAGTGAAACCAACATGCATGCAAATGACTATACAGTGTATTACAAGTTGAATGTTTTGCTATGAGCATCGCTCGATTGTAAGCAAATTTTAGTGAACTGTTTCAATGGCATTTAGTAATTGAACTAGAGTATACAGGTCACAATTCTATGGAATACAATTACTGCTTTTTACTGAGCGACGTTTCAACTAGGTTCTAGAAGCCTAGTCGAAACGTCGCTCAGTAAAAAGCAGTAATTGTATTCCATAGAATTGTGACCTGTATAAATTTTAGTGAAATTGGTGTCGAGAATTGGTGTGGATTCGGAAAATAAACTAAAGCGTATACAAAGAAAGAAGTTGGACACTATTCAAATTAAAATTGCATTGACATCGTATAAATAATATATTCGGAAAATAAGCTAAGGCGTATGCAAAAGAAGGAGTCGGACACTATTCATGATAAAATTGCATTGGCATGTTGTTATTTGTATTAATGTATAAATAAAATATTAAAAATTCATGTAATACCAGTTTAAATTTGTGGGATAAAAGGACCCGATATAAGTGGGATGAAATGACCCGTGTAAATTTGGGATGAAACAGCCCGGATGAAACAGCCCGAGATGAACCGGTAGTGGGATGAAACAACCTGCTCCCAAGTAAACTCACATATTAAACATGCATTATGCAAGAGCAAAATCTGCTTATTACAAGTCTTTTTTTAGGCCTAAAATGTTATCTAAATTATCAATTAGACATTAATTAACTTATCCAGACCATAATAAGCTCTCGATGTCAAGGCTAGCCTTCAATGTTGGCTGGATTAGATTCCTATATGCCGCTAATGGCCGTTGATAATTAAATCAGAAAAAGTGGATAATCGAGACTATGCTGTTTATATTAATGATTTTAGTAATGATGACCGAGACTATGCAAAAATTTCACCCTGTTCTTTCTCGGCTCATAGTGGATCAATTTGACTGAAATTTCCAGCAAATTACCTTTACACTATCTAGTTTTTAACTATTATAGCGAGAACTGCCATCTCTTTATCTTGTCTCCCATAATGTATCTTTAATGTAGTATGAAATTATGAATGTAATAAAGTGATTTATCTATATACCATATTCAATTTTTAAAAAAAATATTGTAATTTCTGATCAATTATGTTCAGTGATATATGTGAACAGTTCACATTGACCGGCAGTTGTTTACGCCTGCTTAGTGCATTCTACACATTTTTTAAATTATTATTTTGTCTTATTGTCCCCCGCCTTTCGAAGAAAGCAGGGGACTATTAAAATGGGTTCGTCCGTCTGTCTGTCTGTCCGTCTGTCTGTCCGTCTGTCTGTCCGTCCGTCTGTCTGTCCGTCACACTTTTTGGGACACAATAACTCTCTTCCTAATTGAGCTAGAATGTTCAAACTTGGTGTATGTGTTTATTAGGTCAATGCCTTGATGGAGTTCGAAGATGAGCATTTTCCGCTTAGGGTAAGCAGAGATAAGCAATTTGATTGGTTGATGCTTTGGGACACGATAACTTTTAATTGAGCTAGAATGTTCAAACTTGGTGTATGTGTTTATTAGGTCAATGCCTTGATGGAGTTCGAAGATGAGCATTTTCCGCTTAGGGTAAGCAGAGATAAGCAATTTGATTGGTTGATACTTTGGGGCACGATAACTCTCTTCCTAATTGAGCTAGAATGTTCAAACTTGGTGTATGTGTTGATTAGGTCAATGCCTTGATGGAGTTCGAAGATGAGCATTTTCCGCTTAGGGTAAGCAGAGATAAGCAATTTGATTGGTTGATGCTTTGGGACACGATAACTTTAGTTCTAATTAAGTAAGATTGATGAAACTTGGTGTATAGTTTCATTACAGTAATACCTTGACTAAGTTTGATAATGAGCATTTTCTGCTCAGGGTAAGCAGAGCGATACGCAATTTGATTGGTCGAGACTTTGGAAAACAATAACTCTCCTACTTTGATTGTTAGACTATAAGTAAAGATATACTGTTTGATTGTTCAATACTTTGTAAAAGATAATTTGTGATAAATTTATATGTGTCCTCTAATTATTTTCCTATTTCGGCGGGGGACATCAGCCTCACTGTTGGCTTGTTTGTGAATCAGCCATCAGCCTACTAATTACTTCCACATTGTAGGATATGTGTTTATTTGTTCAGTACATTATGGCACCTGAAACCAGAGGGTACACGACTCGTGTAGTGCATGCGCATTGTATCATTAGATCTTTCATTGAGTCAGCTAGCACAGGTTTGTTACCCTGCTTGTACATGCCAAGGAGTAGGGTCGCCCGTCCAACCTCGTGGGTTTACTCCGGGTCCTCCAGTTTCCTTCCACTGCTAAAGACCCTTACACACAAACAAATTATTGAAATAAAATTGAACCATATGTCAGTCCCGAAATGACCTGGTTTGTGTCGAGTGGACATTAAACCTCATTGGCATTTCATGATAATGCATGGTTCTATTTAACCATTTATAAAATCAGTCATAAATTTATTTCACTAGAATATTTTCATCCCTCAAATCAATTTATCACGTCAACATTTGAAATCGTTTGTATCACTTCAGGGTGCGCCATCAACTAGTGGTAGTAGCAACTCTTCAACACAGGAATATACTGTACGAATTCCAAAGTGAGTAGTCTGCATGAATACATTCAATATTTCCAATGAGATATAGCAGTTAGAAAAACTGTATGTACAAATTCTGAAATGGCTTCCAAATTCTGGACCAAAACTAACTAATGACGAATGTTTGTTAGATCAGGAATTCTTTATCACTAAATTTGTTTGTATTGGTTGTAAATTTTATTTTCTAATTCCATAATTAAAACTATGTTAAATATGTATTTATAATTCTTTTTTTTAGAGATAAACTGAAGAATTTTAGTATGATGAAATTTGGAACTAGTGGTGATTTAGATTTTGCCAAATTAGGAAGTGTAAGTAGCTTGATTAAATACAGAGTTTCACATCCACATCGCACATCAAAAAAGCTCTCTTTGATTTTCAAAATTCAAAATTCCTAAAGATTCTCTCCCAAACTAGGTCATTTTGGGACTAACCTATGGTTTAATTAGATAAGTCGCATGAGCATAGGGGTCTTTCTAGCAGTGGGAGGAGAAAACCCACAAGGTTGGACAGGCAAACCTACTTCTTGTCACGTACAACTGGGGAATCGAAACCACACCAGTTGATTCAATGACAGACCCTATGATACAATGCACACACGCTAACCGTTTGGACAAGCTGAAAGATTTGGTAAATAAGGACTCCTTAAAGGAGGGTTTGTAATAAGGATAGGTGCTTAGAGTACAAGATTTAGAATTTATATAGCTTGAACTTCATTCTATAAGTAGCCTAAAAAATATTATATAGTGGCATTTGAACATTTATCAGCGATATAAAAATAAAATATGGCAGTTGTGGGGCACGATTTTCAACTAACGGTGCTTGATAAGAAAAACCTCTCCTCAATCAAATTTGAGCACAATCAAGCCCCTGCATCTCAATTGTAGTTTATACACACATAAATTCTTTGTTTGAAGTATGTACACCATATAATTATTATGTAAGGTATTGTTTTGTCACTCACTGTATATTCTGTTGTAATCATGTTTTTTCTTAATTTTCAGAGTTCAGTTTCAATTGCTAGAGAAAATAATCTAAGAGAATTTAAAACAGCTAATGATATTGATATGTTGCCTAAATTTGGGGCTGGAAGTGAATTTGGAAGAGAGCAAAAGGAAGAGGCAAGAAGGAAAAAATATGGACGTATGGCAAGGAAGTATAATCCTGACGACCAACCTTGGATGATGAAAATTGGATCAGATAAAAAGGCAAAACGGTTTGTAATCAGTTTTCTGTAAATGTCCCTAATTGATAAGAAAGTACAGAAAACAACCTAAAATCACATTTAATCAAGTTGTATGTTAGTTGGAAAACCCCTTTAGCTACAAGTTATGACAGATAAATTGTTTAAGTGGCATTTCTTTGTTCCATATTTTGTATATATATCTTCATTTGTACTATGGTTGTCATTCTTTGCTTGACAAAGACGGGAGAACCCTCATCGAAACATCGTTGAAATAAATCTTTTAAGTAATACTTGTATTCCATATAATTGTGTCATGTGTTAAGTTATGACAGGTTGTTGAAAAGTAGGACATTAAACCCCCATTTTATTTACTCTTTTTAGAACATCTGATAACACTTCTCATTTATTTTGAGGAGCATTGAATGAATGATAATATCTGTCCTTATCATATTTGTTGTGTGGCTCTGTGAGTAAGACACTGGGTCAATAACTGCTTTCGATCTCACTTTTGACGAAGATAGTGCCCCAGGATTTTCCAAATTTTTGGCATGGTTACATCTTGGCAGTGGTGCTGGATGGAGGGCCAGGTAAGGAACAGCATCTAATCGTTTGAATGGGACAACCCCCCAACCCCGAGGCATGTAAAGGAACCCTTGACAGTTGGAATTCGTTGACGAGAAACACCATTGCCTGTGCAAAATTTTTTTCACAGCACACTACATGGCATATATACACTGGTCTTTATCAGCCCAGTTGATGCAAAAAGTATGAAGTTAAACCCCATTTCATTCCATTTTTGATGTCTAAATATTTCAGATATAAAGGAGTAAGAGAAGGTACCATTACAGAAAATACATCATATTATATATTTACTCAATGTGCTGATGGTGCATTTGAAGCCTATCCTGTGGATGAATGGTACAACTTTACACCAGTCATAAGATATAAATATCTTAATTCAGAGGAAGCAGAGGAACATTTTAACAGGTAATTATCATAGTTCATCTTTATATGTGATTTATAATTAATCATAACAACCCTTTAATAGGTAATTATCACAGTTTCTGGTACATTTTATCCTCCTTCATACTCATACCAACGAGAGGGAGATAAGCTCTTTTTTCTACTAGAGAACCCCTCATCTCAAATTTATTTTTAGAATGTCCATTTCTCATTAGTTTCTGCATGGTTTAACATACAACAGTTTATAATTTGAAAGGTTAAGGTAATGTACTCAAATTGATGTAGCCTGTAAGAGATCTCTTGGCTGTTAGAATTTATAGAATAGGTAGAAATGGTGCTGGCAGGCACCATAGGAAAGATAACCATAGGATATAAAAGTGATTTCAAGTACTGAAGTACTACATGTAATAAGATTAGTTGAATTTTTCTTCTTTAAATTAATAGGTAGAAATGGCACTGTCAGGAAGTACCTAAGTTAACCATAGGATATAAAAATTACTTCAAGTACTGAAGCACTACATTGATTTCTTTCATTTCGTATATCACACATTCGTGTGATACACATGTGACATAAATGTATATCTTAAGTACTTATCTCTTGTGTTACAGGAGAGATAAAACATTGAATTATTTTAATATTATGGTGAAGAAACGTATGAAGGTAGACGATGGTACAGAAGAACAAGAGGAAGAAAAAACTACTGATAAAAAAAAGAAAAAAAAGAAAGATTTTGTAAGTTTTATAACATTGAACATTTGAATATAATCTTTATTTATCGTAAGAGACAATGTATAGTTGTTCGGATAGGACGGAAAACCAAGGTCTTGTGTATACATTGATGTACACATAATTAACATTGACAGTTGGAGTTCAGGCAAAATTTCCCTCATAGCACACTGTATGGCGTATGCCCGTCTTCATTAGCCCAGTTCGGAGTAGGGCGTTAAACCCCATTTCATTTCATTTCTTTATTTATCACTTTGCTCTACTGTGACATTATGGACTTGGGTGGTGGACTACATGCATCTCTTTCAGTTTAACTAAAGCTGATACTTTAGTTTGATGAACATACATGAATAGTTATTGGAGAAACTTAGTTCCTAGGTAGGAACTGTTCCCTAACAGATCATTCAAACTAAAAGAAAGAAAACCAATATTGAGATATGACCAATATTTTACATCAGAAATCAAGTTCCGTGGCATCATCATTGTAATGCTCAGAGTGAAACATGATAAAGATTAAACTCTCTCTCTCTCTCTCTCTCTCTCTCTCTCTCTCTCTCAGGATTTGGATTAATATGATGTAAATATTTTTTTTAAACACAGATGTTAACAGATCATGATGATTATAAAGAACGTTCAGAAGATGAAGAAGGAGATGATGAAGATGATGAAGAAGAAGGAGAAAATGGAGAAAAGAAAGGTTGAGAATTAACGATTTTTGGAGAATAGCAACATTTTTGTTGCCCACTGTTTCTGGGGAAAGCGGCACAATGTTGCTCTGGGTGTGTGCCCCATCGAATAGTATAGTGTAATTTCTATTCCACAAAATTTAATATTTTGCGTGTAGAGTGGGTTTCTGAAATATAGTGGTGTAACCAATTAAAATTTGAACAGACAGAATATGTGACCAGCTCTGGCAACTTTAGATTCTCCAATACCTTATTTGAGATATGTCACCAAATATGTAAAACATTTTAATGTTACTAATCTTTAGTTTCCTGGTAAATGATCTTATTCTTCGGACCCCAAAGCCCAAAGGCCAAAACTTAATGGAAATAAAACAGTTATTTGTTGGCCTGCTATTCTATCTTAATTCTTGTTATCTTTTGTAGCTAAAGCTAAGACAGGAAAGAAAAAGAAAGGTCCTGCGAAAAGAAAGAAAAATGCTAAGATAAATTCTGATGATGAAGCTGTAGAGGAGAGTGATGAGGGTGATTATGATGATAGAGAAGTTGATTATATGTCAGATACTAGTAGGTTAGTATAAGTTAATTATATATTAGATACTAATAGGCTAGTATACTATTCAAAAAAAGAAGGGGATATTTGATTTTTAAGTGTTATTAAAGTCACCTAATGAAACTGACGAAGAAACAAATGACAAAATGAAATGAAGTTCACATTCATCGATTTATTCCAAATGATCGTTAGACTAAGTAAGGCACAGACTGACCATTATAAGGGTAAAATGATACCCGGGGTCAAACAGCAAAGTTACCACAGCATCACAACCAAGTCAGTAACGGGTAAATCCTCCTCTGTTTGCCAAACAAGCATTGATCCGACGTGGCATACTCCTAATGAGACGTCTAAGGTCATTTTGGTCCAGATTGTCCCATTCCTGTTGGAACGCAGCAGCAAGTTCTTGGACATTGGCAGGACGTTGTTGACGTAACCTCTGTCCAAGCATGTCCCAGACATGCTCGATGGGGGAGAGGTCGGGACTCAGTGCTGGCCAAGGTAATGTGGTGATGTTCTGTTGTTGGAGGTAACCTGTAACGATCCTGGCCCTGTGACATCTTGCGTTGTCATCCTGGAAGATGAAACGGCGGCCATGACGTCGTGCGAACGGCACAACATGGACTGCCAAGATGTTGTCCCGGTAGTACTGGCCTGTAACACGCCCTGCAACAACATGTAAAGCCGTTCTTCCAGCAACAGTGATGCCTCCCCACACCATAACAGAACCACCCCCAAATCGATCATGTCTGATGACGTTAACGTCTTGGAAGCGCTCGTTTCGACGACGCCACACCCTCCTACGTCTGTCCAAAAAATCAACAGTGAACCTTGACTCATCTGAAAACATCACATTGCTCCAGCGTCGATTATCCCAGTGTTGACGATCCCTACACCAACGACGTCTTGCCTGAATGTGATGATCTCTCAAACAAGGGATCACGCGAGGACGTCGGGCGCGGAGGTGACCCCTATGCAGTCGATTCCGAATCGTCTGGGCACTCACTCTCACACCAGTGTCTGTTTGAAGACGAGCGCTGATCTGATTTGCTGTGATGACACGATTTCTCAAGGCCAAGGTACGGATAAATCGATCCTGGGCTTGAGTTGTCGCCCTTGGTCGACCTGAGCGTGGTCTGTCCTGTACAGATTGTGTATTAGGGTATCTGGACCATAGCCTACTTATGACAGACTGAGAAACATTCATCGTCCGCGCCACAAGCGCCTGTGTTGTGCCGATCTGTAGCATGCCAAGAGCATGTAACCTTTCATTTTGGGTAAGCCGACGCATATCAAAATTTGTTTTCTGGTCACTAAAACAATTAAACTGATGTTTCCACCCTGGAATTCAATGCCACAATGACTGTAACATTCAAAGTCAGAGTCGTGCAAATCTTGGGTTGGACCCCCATGATGATCCCAAGCATCACCTGCATTCCATGCGGTAGCTATTGGTGCGTTTGGGCGTCACATGTAACTGGAAATGTTTCTTCTGTTAGGTTCTATAGTGACTTTTTTCGTAGTCATTTGCATATTTTAGTATTATGCCCCCAAAATCAAATATCCCCTACTTTTTTTGAATAGTAGTTGATTCTATGTCAGATAATAGTAGGTTAGTATAAGTTGATTATATACTCTTAAAAAAAGTAAGGGATATTGAAATGCAAATACCTATGCAGGTTGTGATATGATAAATAGTTATGGACACTTGACATGCTTTGAGAGTATGTTCACAGATGAAGAACTTATCGCCCCAACAGAACCACTGAGCTGCATGTGTGACACACAATAGTGCCATACCCGTGGGAGGGGTTCATTGTCAAATTTACACGTCAAGGAAGGGTTGAGGAAAACTGCCGCTTGCTGGTTTATCCTATCCATGTTTGCTTTCCTATCGGTTCTTGCATAAGATTTACTGTTTAGCATATCTTTGCTTTAGTGTGTTACGTTTAATTTGACCGGGAGACCTGTTCGTCGACGTCAACGTCAACCGACAACACTGCAAGAATTGACAGTGGCAATGCAAGAGCAGTGGGTCAGATAGCCCCAAATCATGATTGGATGGTTGATTAGGAGCATGCCACAACGAATTTCTGAATGTCTGAGGATTGGTGGAGCAATTACTCATTATTAGAGTGGCCCACAGACTCAATTATCTCTACTATATAAACTGACCTGTTTTAACAGCATGTTGTCACGCGGATCAAAACTTTGTTTATGAGAAAAGTGCTCTCACGGGCTCGCTCGTGCACTGTAAGCAGCAAACAGTCACCCAAAATAGACATTCACGTGACAATATTCATTCACTTATTTATCAATAAAGCCATGTAAAAAATTATTCTTTACTCGTTGTAATTTAAAAATAAGTAGTTAAGAACTAGATTAAAATTTTGGCTAAAACTCAACGATTTAATTTCTAAGTTAGTTGATTGTAACCAATGACGTATATATTGTAACGGTTCTCGGTTCAGAGTCAACTCGTGTAGTTTCGCCCTTTTTCTATCTTTTAAATCCACTCTCGTGGCAACATACCGACACTGCAAGACTGTGAAAGTTACTTTTATTTAACCGCAAAACTCTGTTGTTAGTGGGCGCTTTAGTTACTTTAGAAGTTACATTGTTGCTAGCTCTAAATACGAAGAAAAAATCTGAGACTGGAAATTAAACGAAATTATTTTCCCTAGTCTCGATTAACCAGACGTGTATGATTAAAATAAAATTACGGTACTAGGGTCTGTTTCACAAAATTTTAACTAAGATAAAATCCAAATTTTAGTAATTTCATTGGATAATATTAGACTGATTGTAGTGCTTAGCCAATCAAAATTGAAGTATCTTCTAAAATTTCGTGAAACAGGATCCTGGTCACAAGACTCGGATTCTAATCATTTTAGGGCGCTGCGAATTTGGCCTCCGGTTTTGTGTCAAATTTAATAGGAGGATGTGCCATTATGGCTATGCCATTCGTGTTTAGTATCCTTATGCATTTGCCATTTTTAACATGGTGGTTACAAAACGTTTCAGTTATTATAAATCCAGCAACAACTCATTTTTCTAGAACTGAAATATAACCAAAAAGACACGCATTGACTGTTTCATAATTATTAAAAATATGAAAACGCGACACGATGCGTAAATTGTGCGTCTTACTTTCGAGAACAATAGCTATAAAACAGAAATTTCCAGATTGTTACATAATACGACACAACCAACCATAAGTGGTAATTCAAACACAAAGGATATATTTAAACTTAAATTTCTCTAACATTTCACTAAAAGATCCCTATTGTAGAACTCCCAACTTATTATGTAGTCACTGTCATGCCGATTGTTTTTAATAACAGAATTTTCCAGTCATATAACAGATCAAAGATTTTTTCGTCGACACATTTTCACGTATCGACTTCTATTTTTGGATTATCTGGCGCCACAAATAGCTCAATCATATCAAAAAGCATGCAGTTCCACCTTGAAATGGGTTCAATTGATTTACGGTTTATTCTATAATTTATAACACAGTTTAGAGCGCAATGTGTAGGAGTCGCATTTTTGACTTCTAAGTAGATTCTTATACAGAATTCTGGATGCAATGCTAGACATTTGGACCACTGCTGCAGAACCAATTTGAAAAGGCTTAAGGCTTTTTTTCTTTGCGCATGTCGTGTGCTCCTCTGTTTTTGATGTGTTTGATTTTTATATTTGTGATAATTATTTGAAGCAAAATAGGATTATCATAAAGGATATTTAACATATACAATATGAGTACGGTAAGCACTCTCTACATACTGCGTTTGTAAACCACAAGATTCACCCCTTATTAGAAAGTTTTAACTATAGTCTATTGCATGTAATCAGCTCAAAATACAGACATCTCTCTCTCTCTCTCTCTCTCTCTCTCTCTAACTAAGGGCTGCGCACGCGTACAAATGTTAAATTCAATCGTTAATTGTACGTACGTAAAAAAACGAAGATAGCCGACTGCGTATATTAAAAATTCGTTTTCCAGAGCAAAATTTGAAACTTTGATGTGACCAAGAAACATAACTCTTTTTAATGAAAAAATCTACCGCTGTAACGCTACTTGGGCGATCAACTTTTCCATATAATTAGAAGGTATTTGGCAATTATAGTTTGTTTAATATATAATTATTGGCAATCAAGGAAAAATTCACTGAATAAAAGTGATCATACTTGTCGATACCCTGTAGTTTAAGCATAAACCTGATTCTGATTTTATACTTTTCTTTCTGTTAATATAGTAATATGTCTGAGATAGAAGAGGTAGATAAAGAGAAAGACACAAAAGATGAAGAAAAGGGCGTTGCGGAAGAAGATGGCCTTCGAGTATTGATAGATTCAGAAGCTGAAGAAGAAGAAGAAGAAACAGAACAGAAGGACGAAAATACACAAGATCTAGAAAAAGCTCTAAAAGGAAAAAAAGATGGTAAATCGTTAAGTATAGAAATAAATACAAATCATAGGTTCCCTCTTTCAGGACTTATAGTCGTGCTTGGGACCTTACAATTAATTTACATGTGGCAAAACTGGCATATTTTAGCCAAACCCAAGTACAAACATGGCTACGATCAACTTGCCATTTAAAAATCAACAGTCTGTACAGATTTAATAATAATAATAATAATAATAATAATATCAAATAAGGGTGCCACAGTGACTCGGTAATAAGGTGCAGACTCACTTACTAGGAGTTGGTGGAGAATGTTCCCCTGGACTTTCCAGCATGGTTTCCCCTTTTCAGTGGTTTTTCCCTTTTGTGTTTGTTGTTATATATTAGCTCAGTTGACTTTTAGACAACACAATATTAATTCTTATTTACTTGCAGGATTGTTTGACTAAACAAGTGAGCTAATTAACTTCTTGTACTGTTTAAAGTTTTATGTTCATTAATTGTTATTCCAGATGAAAGTGAAAGTAGTAGTTCTAGTTCGGCAAGTGATTCTGATATAGAAAAAGATGAATCTATTAGCTCAGCATTATTTATGACTGTAAGTACATGTTTAAGTTTCATACAAGAAAATGTTTTGTATTGACAATTGAGCTTTAAATACTAGGGGTTCATCAATTGCTTGTCTTGAAATAATATGTGGTGTGAGCAGAATCGTGACGTAACGTTTCAGCTATGGAGATTGGTCAAGATAGTATCCTATTCATATTCAGTTGGTGCATGCCTTGTCTTCAGAAATTCTTTTGTTTACTCGATTGTACTCCTTTAGACGGATTGAGATAATTCAATTTTGGAATGTTCATTAAGTATTCCCCATGGTATATGACAAAAAAATTATAGACTTGAATCGAGGCATGGATGAAGCGAGATAAACAAATGTTTGGATTTTTTAAAATCTAATTGCAACTGACTGATTCTCTGCAATTAGTTTCTAGATACATATAAAACCTTATAACAAGATACTGAAACATTGCTGATCGTTGTCAGATTGTAGAATGGAGTTGTAGTGTTGAGCTTGTGAGCCTTTATTAGTTTGAAATGGACAAAAAGTGGATTGAACAGCATCAACTGAAAGTTGAACAGAAGCATTAAAAATTACCATATATATAGGTAATGTGTTAAACTGTCTTAAACCCCACCGTGTTGTTTCTATTTTTAGAAAAGTTCAGATAAAAAGAAATCTGACAATCGTCCAGCCACACCTAATAATGATGAAAGAGGTAATTTGTTAATTATACAATCAATTTATGATAAAAGTATGGAACCATCATGTACATGTATCTATTTCATAGGATGTTTAGTTGGCTTGATTGTGAACCCAAAATATAAATATTTCCTAAGCTACACTCTTTGAATCATGAACTACTCTAGCCTATCATGAACTACTCTACCCAACCAGGAACTACTCTACCCTATTATGAACTATTATACTTTATCATGTACTACTGTACCGTACCAACGGCCGACGTGGAACCTATGGTACCAAGTACTACTCTATCCTACCAAGTACTACTCTACCCTATCCTGTACTACTTTACCATACCAACTACTACTCTACCATATCATGAACTACTCTACCCTATCATGAACTACTCTACCCTATCATAAAATAATCTACCCTAACAGAAACTACTCTACCTATTATGAACTACTGTACCTTATGATGGACTACTGTACCCTACCAGGAACTACCTTACTTCATCATGCACTACAATACCCTATCATGAACTACTCTACCCTAACAGAAACTAATCTACCCTATTATAAACTACTGTACCTTATCATGAACTACCTTACCTTATCATGCACTATCCTACCCTATCATGAACTACTGAAGTCCTTATCATGAACTACTGTACCGTACCAGGAACTACCTTACCCTATCATGAACTACTCTACCCTATCATGAACTACTTTACCCTATTATGAACTACCCTACCTTATCATGAACTACTCTACCCTATCATTAACCATTCAACATCACATATATAATTATTTCTTGTTATTTTATAAACAAGGTACAAAGAGAAAATTGGATCCTGAATCAGCATCTGGTAAGAAAGCTAGAACAAACAGTCCAGTACCTACTACGTCATCATCTGCTACATCTTCCTCATCAAATACAGCTTCTAGCAGCAGGTATTGTAGATTTTCTGATCAAGAAATGCATGTGTAATATTGCTATGTACAAGTGATAAAATAACATAATTAACTACTTTTACAATTACATGTATTTATAAAAGCTCTCGATTAAAAAGGGCTTGTTTTGTTTATAAGAATTTAAATGGGTTTTATTGTCTTACTTTTCTTCACCAACCTATGATGGAAATTACATACTACTTATTTTGATATACAACTGTCGGGGGATATAGAGGATATTTAGATTTACAACTGTCGGGGGATCTTTAAGTATCTGAGAAACAATATATGATACCAAGTTCTTAGAGTGTCACCTTGAAAAAACATTCACTTGATTAAAAAAAAAATGTATTTTTATTTTGCTTGTTATATATTCATATATGTATTATTTATTAATGTATTTTGTTATTTTATTTTACAGTGAAGGAATAACAGAGGAAGCCATTAGAAGATATTTAATGCGTAAACCAATGACAACAAAAGATTTATTAACAAAGTTCCGTTCCAAAAAACTGAATATGAACAGTGAACAAATGACTCACACAGTAGCTCAGTTACTAAAGAAAATAAACCCTGAAAAAAGAACAGTTAATAAAGTGTTATATTTATCACTGAAAAAGACAGATTGATTCGATGGTGATTAGGAATGTAAATATTTGTTTTATATTATCAAAAAAAAAATAAATAAAGAGCTGTTGTGTATGGAAGAGATATAAGTCTTCAAATTAAGGAAACGGTGGCAAAAAAAGACGAATGAAGTACCTGTCTATAAATAGATCCATAATTCTCAAGACTAATTGGCTTAATAAAGCCTTAATGTGGGAGATAGTCAGTGATCATTTATGGGATACAATAACTAGAATACATTTTCTATGAGGAACATCTCCAGCTTAGGCTCAGCAGAGATCAGGGCCCTTATTCACGAAAACTTAAACTAAGATACAATCGAAATTTTAAGATATACTGCAATTCGATTGGTTGACCAGTAAAATCAATTTGCATATATCCAATTTGCATATTGGTCAGTCAATCGAATTGCAGTATTTCTTAAAATTTCGATTGTATCTTAGTTTAAGTTTTGTTGAATAAGGGCCCAGGAATTTGATTAGTCGAGATTTAAGGACACAATAACTCTGCTTCTATTTGATGCAGATTCTTCAAATTTGGTGTGGAATAGTTGATGGTCAATAATCATTTTCCTTAAGTGGTGGACACACTAGCCGACTGATTCGGCCGAATCAATCGGTGTCGAAATTCGCCAAGTGTGTCCACTGTCATTCGGCTAAATGATTCGCCCAAATCAAACAAGTTTGATTTATTTTCCTCACATGTCCACTTTGCCGATGCATTCGCCCGTTTGTAGAATTCATTAGCCAATCACCACTCATCATCCAATCATATCGAGAAGTCATATGATTGTTTGAAGACATGGTCGTCGCTATGTTTAATCATGTGATGTGAAAGGTGATGCAAACGTCTGGTGAAAGGATACGCTTAGTGTGTCCACCCATTTGGCAAAATAAATTGGCGCCAAATTTTATTCGGCTGAATGTGTGGACACACTAGGCGAATGATTTGGCTAATGTGCCTTCCGCTTTATTTGAAAAAAGAAATTAAAAACAATCTAAAAATGAAAACAAAAATGTTATGTTCGTGTGTAGAAATGAAAGATTGTTTATAGATAGAAATGAAAGATTGTTTATAGATAGAAATGAAATGATGTTCATAGAAATATTGTTAATGTGTCGGCTAACTATCTTAGAGAAAAAAATGGTGGTATAAAATCGACGAAAATTTAATAAGTTTGATAATGACTACTTTATATTATGTAAATAAACTGAAAATCTTTTGTCTCTTTGTCTGGAATATCATGCCTTGAAATCTAAAATCAGTTCTAGAGGTGAGCTGTATGAAGAGTGACTGTAGATAGATTATTAAAGATTTTACTATTACAATGTTTAACACAAGGAAACAAAAAATCAAAATAGAATTTTAATTCATAGTATGATCTGTCCTGATGATGATGTGGTTTGATATTTAATCAAAAAAAAGAAACTTTTTAAGCTATGGTGGTTGGAGATATTTTTCTTGTTCTTTGTTACCCTGTAAAATTAATTTTCTTCTATACTTTACATTCTTGTTTCCACTAAAAACAAACTGGTTAAAAGACTGTCTGTCTTAATGCAAATAAACTATAAACATACTTATGGAAAACAGCTACTGATTTATTTAGGCGACGTGTCAAAGAGTATACACTTAACGTTTTCAAGCTAAAACGTTGAGAGAATACTCTTCGAAACGTGGCCTAAATAAATCAGTAGCTGTTTTCCATAAGTATGTTTATAGTTTATTTATCTGCCCAGTTACTAAATGCCACTGAAAGACTGTCTTAATGCAAGTTAATCACAGGCTCAGCATCTAACTTCTATATCCAGTGTGTAGAACCATGGTGGCTCAGTGAGAAAGGCATTGTTTGGCTAACCTGGAGGTCCCAGGTTCGATCTCAGTATTGACGAGAAAGTTTCTTACAGTCTTCTGGCCTGGTTTCCCCATTTCAGGACAGAGGACCTGGCAAAATGGTAAATCAAAACCCATTATATATTCATAGCTAGTTAACAAATTGTCCAAATGTGAAAATATTTATCATGAGACTATTTAAGAAATTATTTGTGTGGCTGTTTGCAAGATGTGTGTACACAGACACACATGAAGAGAGAACTCACTATGTATATTGTACAAATAACTTATTTCTTTTTCATTTGTAGATTTTGAACATACCTCATGTAATTGTACAATAATCTATTGATATAAATTGAATAGTATTTGTACAATAATCTATTGATATAAATTGAATAGTATTTGTACAATAATCTATTGATATAAATTGAATAGATGTCACTTTGTAAAATATAAAAATAAAAAAAAACCTGTTCAATATTTGTGGCATTGTTCTTAAATCTTGTTTTTTGGATGACATGAGATGGAATTCTAAGAAGAGGAGACGGAATTATCCAAAATGCTGTTATAATCATTTTTATACGCCTACATTGAAATGTGGTCGTATATTGTCGTCGCCCCCGCCCGTCGGTCTGTCGGCCAAAGTTAATATCCGATTGATTTTCAGCAATTTCCAAAAATAACTGCCAGAGTTTTAGCCCTTGATCACTTCAACCGAGGTCCCGTGTACACATTGGCGTGCACGTAAAAGATCCCTTGACAGTTGGAATTCGATATAAGAGTAGGCCGTAGTGCCGCTGTCCGGGCAAAATTTCCCTCATAGCACACTGTATGGCGTATGCCCGTCTTCATTAGCCCAGGTTAGGAGCAGAACAGTAGGACGTTAAACTCCATTTCATTTCATTTCATTTTGATCACTTCAAAAAATCTTGTGGACGCTCTAGAAGCCAAAGTTAATATCCGATTGACCTTAAATTTATACACAGTGTTTAAGGTCATGAGACAAAGAAGCCTATTGATTTTCAGCGATTTCCAATAATTACTGCCAGAGTTATGGCCCTTGATCACTTTGAAAAATCTTGTGGACGCTCTAGAGGTCAAAGTTAATATCCGATTGACTTTAAATTTATACACAGTGTTTAAGATCATGAGGCGAAAAAGCCTATTGATTTTCAGCGATATTTGATAATTACTGCCACAGTTATGGCCCTTGATCACTTCAAAAAATCTTGTGGACGCTCTAGAGGCCAAAGTTAATATCCGATTGACCATAAATTTATAGTGTTTAAGGTCATGAGACAAAGAAGCCTATTGATTTTCAGCGATTTCCGATAATTACTGCCAGAGTTATGGCCCTTGATCACTTTGAAAAATCTTGTGGACGCTCTAGAGGCTAAAGTTAATATCCAAATGATTTTAAATTTCTACACAGTGTTTGAGGTTATGAGACGAAGAATCCTATTGATTTTCAGCGATTTCTGATAATTACTGCCAGAGTTATGGCCCTTAATCACTTCAAAAAATCTTGTGGACGCTCTAGAGGCCAAAGTTAATATTCGATTGACTTTAAATTTATACACAGTGTTTAAGGTCATGAGACGAAGAAACCTATTGGTTTTCAGCGATTTCCGATAATTACTGCCAGAGTTATGGCCCTTGATTTTCAACAATTTCCGCTCTAAAGGCTAAAGTTATCATCCGATTGACTTCAGATTGATACACAGAGTTTAAGATCTTGAGACGAACAAGTATATTGATTTTCAATGAATTTTTATGACTTGAACAGCTAAATCCATGATATTAAATGTTTTGTATACAAAACGTTAGCATGGGGCAGAACTTTATAAAAACCAAACAAATTCTAATGGTTTTCTGATAATTACTTCATAGAGTTGTTGCTCTTAATCAGATTTTAGTGTATTATAAATGTTTCATTACCGAAAAAAGTAAAAATATGCGACAACTCTTGTTGACTGCCCGGACGATATAGCTGTTGTGGGTGTATGTTTCATTGCCTGGCAACCTATCTTTTTACATCTTGCATCTACAGTATCTCAGAATAATAAAACAGCTTTTATTATATGGCCACATGCTAAGGTGGCTGCCTTGTTTAACTTCTTTGAAAAACATAACATCTTAGTGAGTGACCTCCTGTATCAACTGTCATTCTAAAGATCATGCAGGGGGTGGGGTAGAGACATAACAGGATTCAATAGACACATTGGCCAAAAAACACTTCTGGCAGACACCTGTCTTGTCTTCACACCTGAAACTTCCATGTTGCCTTCATGACTGCAATGGAATGGGGTCTAACCAATTGATACAATAATTCGATATGGTTAATTACATCTCTATGGTTATGTATGCCATACAAGTGGGAGGACTTTCTGCCTAATCTTTTTCAAATTACCAGGGATTCTTTTATGTACGTGGGCAGGCCCTCAGGTTTTAGTCACATCTGAACAAGTCACATCAAGTCACTGCAGGTGGCACCTCATACAAGTGATAGTTCGGTTTAAAAAATTATGAACTCGGAACAGTCTTTGACAAGTTAACAAGTGTGTAATGTTAGTAATTTCTTTAATTATGTATGAAATAAACAATATAGAACACACAGATATAATGACATCAAGGTGAAAAATATAACAATACATTTGGTAACAAGTTTATATAAATGGTAAAAATTTAAAATGTGGAAAATTTAATAATATTTTGGAGATTTTGTTCAGACATTAGCTCAAGTCATAATCCTGACCAGCTAAAGTTCTTGTTCATCCAGTGTCTTGGGTAGATAGCTGGGAATGACTAGAAAGGACTAGAGAAGTTCACACAATACAACTTTACTAATACATCTATATATTATAGTCTATCTCTTTTTATACTAGGTCACACAGAATTTGGTGTATAAAAACCAGTTTTATTTATATAATTTCAATGGGACTGAATTTTATGTATTTGGATGAAAGAAAAATATGAAGTTTGATGAATTATTATTGCTATGCACGAACATGTTGGATTGATATTTAGAAAATCGAAATTATGTGCGAGATCCAAATAATACTATGTCAAAGATATATTTTTGCAAAATTTGTGACACAAAGTATATCCTAAGTATATAACAATCAATATTACGATAAACCTTTGATCTTTGGTGATTCTTTTTAAGAAGTATATTTGATAATCTACAAATTTTAATGTTCGAAATCGCCACTAGATAACTTGCAAAATGATAACAATTCTGTCATGATTAAATTGTATCATTAATTATTAAATTTAAGTCTATACCTCTGTTTTTTTTTTTCAGTCATCACAAATATACTTTTAGATAAAAAAATTAATTACAGTATTATTTGAAACTGATTTAAATCATAATGAACAATTATCAAATAGTTAATAAAACATAATTTAGCCAATATAGTGTAACATGTATCAAAGTTAATAAAACATACCTGCAGAGATAAACCCATACAATTACATGCCATTCATTAAATAAAAGGGAGAGAGAAATGGAGTTAAATGTCCACTAACATATGGTTCAATTTTATTTCAATAATTCGCTTGCTTTTGTGAGTCTTTAGCTGTGGGAGGAAACACGTACAAGCAGGCAATCGAAACCATGCCACTTGAATCAATGATGTCCCTTGTGAATAAACGTGCAAGTGTTAACCCAATCAGCAGCCCCCCCCCCCCCAATATTAAAAGAGATATGACCATTACTTATATATACCATTATAAATAATCAGCTGTTGTGTATTTGTTATCAATGTCATGGCTGACTTATCACAGATGTTTCAAGACAACCCCACTAATTCTATGTAACTCATCGCAAAATCATATGAAACACTATTTTCTATTTCCCCAAACAGCATCGTTTACAAAAAAAATGTCAAATTATGCCAATATGTGAAAATGTGAACTCCAAATAAATTTGAGATTAGAAAATTTGATCTTTTTCACATTATAATTACCAGTTTATTTTTGCTAGAGTTGAAATGAACAAAGCATATTTTATTTGATAATCCTCGTGTGAGGTCATGTATCACCTGTTAGATGTTTGTCTGTGGGCAATCAGATCATAGTCATTTAGCTCTCAAGGTAATCACAATTACTGAATGAACTGTTTACCCTACCAATCATACTCTAGGCAACAGGTTACATGGGAACTTGATATGATTCAGATCAAATTTCTATCCATCTCTTAATTCTTAATTCACAAATCTCTGAGATTTCAGGCTTTAGACCACATGTATAACAACCCAACTCTTTGTTTAACAATTAAATAAGTATCAGCTCCATTTATTTAAGCTCCATGCCTATGTCAATTTATATTTTTTTTTCATGGATACACAAGCTTATTCATTCCCACAACTGATGAACACAATACGTTCTCAAATTCCAGCACTAATCATGTACATGTAGCATATAATAAATTCAATATAACTCATCAATAACTGAACTATTCTAAATTTAACAGTTATTTTATATGCATGTTCAACCATCAACTTAAAAACAACTGAACTATTGTAAAGTGAACAGTTATTTTACATGAGTGTTCAGCCATTTAACTTGAAAATAACTGAATTATTGTAAATTTAACAGTTATTTCACATTATATGTGTTAAATTTAAAAATAACTGAACCGTTATAAATTTAGCAGTTATTTTACATGTGTGTTCAATTTAAAAATAACTGAACTATTATACATTTAACGGTTGTTTCACATTCAACATAAATACATGTATAGTGTAACTGTTCTAAACATAACAGTCATTTTACAATTGACTTCAAAATAACTCAACCATTACATATTTTAACAGTTTTTTTTACACATGTGCTCAACCATTCGGTTTAAAAATAACTGACTGTTCTAAATGTAAGAGTTATTTTACATATGTGCTCAAACATTCAACATAAAAATAACTTAAATGTTCTAAATATAACAGTTTTTTCACATATGGGTATTTACCATTCATTCACAAAATAACAAATAACCTGTTCTAATCTAAACAGTTATAACACATAACATTTTAAATGTGTTAACTATTTTCACAAAATATAACAGATCTGCTCAAAACTAGACAACTGTTTCACAGAAAATATTAAATGTGTTAAACTATATTTCTCACAAAAATAAACAGTTATTTTATAGGAAATTCTATTTAAGTTCAACCATCACTTCCCAAAAACCTGTCCTATATACTTCACAGCTAAATTTTCTGTCTTCAACCATTCACTGTCCTAGGTACAAAACAGTTAATTCACAGGATGGTTCATTTATTTTGGGCATGTTCAACCATCCACTCCATAGCCAGATGTAAACCTTCTAATCCAGTCACAACACAATCATGAACCTGTAATAAACAAATATTGAATGTTTATTATTTAATAATTATCAAAATTCATATCTTAAAAATAATGTACATGTAGGTTTTTCAACTCGTTTGTTTTGCTCTTCCAAGAATATGTAGACTTTCAATATAAAAGAAAAGATGGACTCGTGGATTTTCTCCGGGTCCTCCGGTTTCCTCCCACTGCTAAAGATCACTACATGCAAGCGAATTATTGATATAAAATTGAACCCTGTGTTAGTCCCGAAATGACCTAGCTTGTGTCGAGTGGACGATAAACCCCATCTCTATCTCTCTCTCTCAATACAATAGAATAGATGGACTTTCTTTCAATATAATAGAAATTTCAATACAACAGAAGAGGATTCAATCCAGCAAAGCCACCAATTGATTTGTTTTGTATTTATATTTCTTGGATTGATAAAGCAATTTTTATCCCTTCCTTTTATAGGTATCTAGTGAAAGACCAGAAGACCAAATAAAATCACAGTCCAAATTCATATAAATATCAGAGTATCTTTGGTATTAAAGCATTCACAGACTTGTAATTGAAACATTTTTGTATTCAGCATCATTTACTTCAAATATGGAAAGCTATGTTATATACGCTTGTATATCTCCATAGATGTCTAAATAAAGGAAAATCTTACCAGCCATTTTTTATCGAGATTAACTAGTTCTAGTAATTCGACTATTCTACAGGCTGGTATTTTAGAATGAACATCTGTTTTATCACTGATACAAGACAATATAACAACAGGTACATGTGGTGCTGATGATCTTTCATTTACCATAGCCTTTAATTCCATTAAAGCACTCTTTACTGAAATACATAATTATCAATTATCACATGTAATAATAATAAATGTTGTCTTGAGAAATTTCTTATGGATATTATAGGATTGGATGTTAAGAAAAAGTGAGGTCATGTATGTACATGTTGTAATATTCGTGAAACAACTCATGGAAATGCGGCTGCCCTGGAAAATTTTGCTCATAGCACATAGCATGGTGTATGCCATCTTCATTAGCCTGGTCAGTGCAAAAACTTAGGACATTAAATCCCATTTCTTTTATAACAAGTTGGACACAAAAATAATAATACTGATTTGGATGTTGGTAGAACGTTCAGTTTCTTACCTAATTCTTCTGGTTGAGATGCATCAACAACAAAAATAAAAGCATCTAACGTGTGACACAAGTTTTTAACTGCTGGCTGTAATTCTATTCCTGTATTGTCTTTATCCTGCGTAGAGTTAATAAATAATCGACTATGATTTGCTCGGTTTCGGTGCGATGGTTTTTCTCTCTCTTGCTTTGTCCCAGAATATAAAACTGTTAAATGAAATGTGGATCCAGTTTTCAATTTTAATGTCATACCTGCTCCAACACCTGTAATTCAATTTGGTAATATTAACTACATGTATAATAATTGTACATCAAGATATTAAGTGCCTTAGTTTCCTCAACAAGTTTAAAAATTTGTTTATTATTAACCAGTGACTGGAATAAAACAGTACTAAACTACATATTAGAAACTCAATTTTAGGCTACAATACAGCTAAAAACATTGATGAAGGCTTGTCCCTGCAAATTTCAAGAAATTTCGAGAAATTTGCTTGACTTAAACTTCTGTGTACTATCATTCCCAAAAGTTTCAGTTATCTTGGTCGCTTTGCATAAAAGTCATGTTCTTTCAAAATGTTCGTACACAGGCTGAAGTCTAAGTCTGGCAAATTTCTTGTAATTTGCTGGACCTTTGTAGGATTTAAATTTTTTGGACCGTAGTAGGATTTAAATTGTTTGGATGGGTTCTGTTTTTTGGGGTCACCCTGTATTAAACCTTCTAGATCCCACAGTGGAAATTAGTCTCAAATAATGCCTGACCAAAACAATAACTGTCATTTTAATAAATTTCTATTTATGATGTAGAACTGCTCGCTTTTTCCTTTTGATATCAACCCTGTCCAGAAGTTGAGTAATTCTTAATTTGACTTAAATATTTTTTTACAACCCCCAGGCCTGGTATTTGATGGTCTCAAGATTAATATCATCAAATTAAATAAATGATGATGTGTCTACTGTGTAATTTTATTATGACTAGACTAATCAGAAAGTAACACCAAATGATAACATTTCAGTAATTATCCTGTCGATGACCCAGGATGATATTGATTATATTTATATATACATGAAAGCAAAGATAGATACACATATGGGATTAAGGGCAAAGTTCACTTAGAGGTTATATGTAAGCTTAAACCTTTTTATGAATGAAATATATATATACATATACATACATATATATATATATATATATATACACAGATAGAGAGAGAGAGAGAGAGAGAGAGAGAGAGAGAGAGAGGTGGTTTGACCTCCACTCGACACAAACTAGGTCATTTTTGGACTAACACATGGTTCAATTTTATTTCTATAATTCGCTTGCATGTAGGGGTCTTTAGCAGTGGGAGGAAACCCGAGGACACGGAGAAAACCAATGAGGTTGGACAGGCGACCCTACTCCTTGTCACGTACAACCAGGGATTCGAAACCAAGCCAGTTGACTCAATGAAAGACCTTATGATACAGCACGCACATGCTAACCATTCGACCATCCAACCGCCATGAAATAAGGAAGAAAACAACTCACCATCAAATTGTCCTGGAAACATGGCTATCCGAGAGAATTTGTCATTATCTTCATAGAGTAGTTTGCGTACTAGTTTATGTGTACTGGTTTCTAAACCAGGACCGAACATCGCTACTCGAGGAGCTTTTTTAGGGAAAAAATATTTCAACATATTAGAAACTTGATAAAATGTAGAATTTATTTTTTTCCAGGATCTGTTAGCTTCTGGTGAGCATTTCATATATCTGTAATATAAATAATATTAATTACACTTAAAATGGCAGTGACCCAAAACAAGTCTTCATTTTCCATAATAAAAGAAAAACATAATCCAGCATTTATACAATTGTCAACCATTTGTCCCAACTGCAATTCATTTCAGCGTTAATTAAGAAATTAATGAAGCGGCTAATTTGTACATTACCCGTGCCTGACCGGTGTTCTTACATAACATAATATCTCATGTGTTAATAACCACTTCGATTAAAGATACAATACAAGATAAATTAATAACCTACAAAAGTTCTCCAATGGCTTCAGACCACCACTAATAATCAAATTCACCATTTGTTATTTATTAAAGATTTAGATAGGAAGCAACAATAGTATATTCGACTAAGGGGAAAAAAAAAAAAAAAAATTATATATATATATATATATATATATAACACGTGATTGTCTGCCATATCACCTCGGTGGAAGCGGACGTAAAATACAACTAACTCACACACACAATGAGCTGACAGTTTTCACTATAATGTTTTAAACATAGATAAAGAAAGAGGAATGTAATGAGAATTGCAGTCAAATTCTGGCTATAAAATTGATAATGAAAAGGGAAAATTTCAGTCAAATTACTTTATTGTAAGTGAAGTTATGAATGTTGAAAGTTTTTCATTGCTACTATTGTTACTATAATAAACAAAGTTTTGTTTGTCCATTTTTAAATTGAATTATTAATTGGGGATCGTGTTTCAGTCCATTAAAAATCACGACCATCCATGTTCTAGAGAGTTGAATATGGACTGGTCATGTGGATAAATGTGTAATTAATATTTTATATAACATTTGAGGCTAAAAGAAAGACCTGCAATAGACTGACTTAGCTCTTACATAAAGCATCTTTATGGGAAACTGATTCAATGCCATTTAATACTTAAACTGGATATATAACACAGAACACAAAGAAAGTATATCCAGTTCAATTACAAAATACCATTGATACAGTTAAATAGATATGTTGATGTGGCACTCATGTATCATGATTTAGGTAACCTTCATGGTAATTAGTGGCATATCTCTCAATATTCTTTAATCATTAAGTTCTGTTTTTGGGGGGCGTGTGTGTGTGTGTGTGTGGGGGGGGTCTAGATAAATATATTGGGTTTTTTTAGATAGTAATATTTGCTTCCTAAGGACTAGAGAATCATCGTATAAAAGTTGGTAGAAATAAACAGTACATGTACTTATATTCTATATAAATGTGTCCCTAAATACCCACTTAAATACATTGATGTTTAAATTCTAATATTTACATTTCATGATAAAATATGGTTATTTATATCATTTGCATTAATTTTATGAAATATTTATTTCCTTTGACAGCCTTTTATTATCAACAAAGCTTTAAAAAATAAACATACATCTACATGTATCTTTAAAACATCTCCTTCAACAATTGTGTAATATCACAGACAATAACTTTACATCATACTTACATTTCTTTGTATGACCATTCTGAATTAACTTCCTGATACATTTTTGGATTGGTAGTGAATGATAAGACTTCCCACTTTGGTAAATCCCAATCTAGACGTTGATGCCAGAGTAAATCATCTGTCGCTAATAGATTCCATTCATGACAAACAGAGGTGATGTTGATTAAGTCTTTAGTTGGTAAGTATGAAAATATATTCAATTTAACATTCACCTACAAAAGAAAATATATTACTATCATATATAAGTCTTAATTAATGTTTCCTGATAAAGAAAAAGTCCAGCCATTGCATTTATTAATAATTTCATTGATTGTCTCGTCTGGTTTTAATTCCGTGTAAACTATACGCAATCTGGAGTACAAATTGTGTTGGATTCCTGGTGTGAATTAGTCCAATTGAGAAATTTACAAAGAGGTACTAGATACAATCATAGTTCCTCATTGGGTTTAAGTATATCTTAATTAGGACTCATTGGTCGGATCAAATTTTGAATACTAATTATTATGTAATAAGCTTAAGCTTTGTTCATTTGTAATTAGATTTTATCTTTATCTAAATCTTGCGATTCTTTTGATTATATTAATACATTTGAAGGATAAGATGACTGCATTTACATGTAAATACTACATTGCAACATGTCACATCGATTAATAAACAAAAACCCAAGCATAGGCCTATGCATTTCTTAATTTAAACTCCATGAAATGGACTGACTTGAAAGTAAAAAACATCTATATCCCAGTGATGACTCTGCAGATATGTTTCAGATTTTGCATGCACTCTTAATTTAATTACCCTGCCCCTGGTGTAACCAAATAATCACATCATGTAAAATCAAAAACTACTATAGTGAAAATCGCATAAGCAAAATGTTGCTAGTTTTTAACTTAAACTTGTATTCCATATCAATGTGTCATGTTTATACATTTTATTTGACTGAATAAAAAACATGATGTATGAGATGATAATATGAAACAAGATATGTATCAGTCTAGATATGTGCCACATATTGTCATTTTGCGATAATATCTAATCATAAATGTTACTTACGGGCATACAATCAAAATATGATACCATTTCACTGTTTTTGTCTTTATTTACGCCATCTGAAACTGCTATTGAGCACGAATTGTTATTCTTCTTGAAGTGAAGCTGAGGGTCTGGTGTTTCTTTTTTCCGACTTCTTCCTCTCATTTTTCTGATGAGAAATTGTTGTAAGCCACCAGACACTACTTTGGATTCTGATGTTTTACTATACATGATATATTTCTTCATCAAATCTTTTACAGAGTGGAAAACAATATTGATTTCTTCATCAAGATCTATTTCAAAGTTACTATTATTATTCCCAATAATCCTGATATTTTCAGATTCACAGTTCACAGGGAATTTTTGGAACTCCATTTTTACCTAAATATCTCGCAACTTTGTCAAGCGAACTGGTGTATTTGGTATGTTGGCAAGCCATAGTACCCATTTCTTTTATAAAGAAAAAATAACATCCGGTAATACGTCACAAATATAGTAATTTTACATAGTTTGTCAATTTCTCCACGTGTATTTGGACAGCCAAATGTTGACAACAGTCACGTGGTCGGTCACGTGCCAAGAGATATTATACTTCCGGGGCATTGCGAAATCAAATCGAGGCATTGACCTCTTTTACTCGTCGCTGGATCGGAAATGGTTGGTCTCAATATTTATCAGCCAAAATATCGGCCTCCATCTGCTACAAATATTGCTCAATGAACTATATTTTTAGATTAAAACATTAACCCACCATTTGTCTTTATAATTAAATCATTTTATTTGGTGTTACAACAAAATGTAAACCAAATTAATGTATTTTTATAAGTGTGGTATCCAGTGATCATGTCTTTAAACATGCTGATGTACTGTGGAAATTTGTCGATTGACTGAGTGATTTTTGGTCTCCTCACCCTTTGCTCCACGGTTGCCTTAAAGAAAAAAAACCCCATTCTAACCGGGTACAAGTAAGCTACCCACGACGTCCATCGGAACCCCAATTGGGCACTGAAACTTGACGGTTCCAATCTTGAATCTAAAAACACTCACGAGTCATCTCGTATCACATTCTTTCTTGTACAGGTGTAATTTTTTTTATAATATTAATATTGCTTCTGGCTTTTCCTAGGATATGTTATAAATCTTTTTAAAAAATATGCAAATAAAAAGAATTCCTGCGCTCACATGTAATTGTAACTGTAATCGTACGGTACTCTGATATAGAAAAGCATACTGGAGTGGAAGGGGGTTCACCATGTCCATTATGATTACCATCATGTCATGACAATGTTGTAAATGTGAATCAGAAATTTTTCATAGGGAATAAAAAACGGTTTAAATTGAAACCGTTGAGCCAAACACCGTGGCCCTCGTCAGTAATAATACATTGAATTACATGAATTGGTAATTTTGAGTATTCTTTTCTTTCTTTGTAGACGAAGGGTACATCCAGCTTTGGGCGGCGGCACATTAAAACACATGTGCAGTGCCGCCGATGTGGACGCCGTTCATTTCATGCACAGAAAAAATTATGTTCATCATGTGGATATCCTTACCCCAGAAAACGAAAATGTAAGTAATGATATACAAAGCCTTGGATAAAAGTAAAGATTATGCTTTATGTCATAGGTCTAGATTGCTATATAGTCTGGAGGAGCCGCGGTGACTCAATAAGACGCTGGCTCATTATCTAGCCAACTTGGTCTTTGGTTTGATTGCGGTGTTGGCTGAGAAAGTGCCTGCAGATTTTCTGGTGCGGTTTCCCCCCTTATCAGTGGTGCAAGGATAGTGTGTACACATTGGTGTGCTTGTAAAAGAACCCATGACAGTTTGTGCCACTGTCTGTGCAAAATTTCACTCAAATAGTAAGTGCAGGAGGACTACACGCAAAACAAAAATCTACAAGATAAACCTGTGGACAAGACAGAAAATAGACATTGCAGTATTTGCACCAAATAAACAAATATCAAATCAAGTGAATGTGACACAGACTTCCCTCAAATTTGAAAACAATCAAGAATACAAAATAGACGTAACGGAAATAATGCGACCAATCTTGACAGTGGGCGTCTCCTCAGTGGTGATAGTCTGCCAGTTGACGTCATGAGTTAAAACGTCAATTTTAACAATAAGGGCGATATTCCGGATAGAATCTCGGAAAAAGCTAAAAAAATAAGTGTAGTGAGCATTCAGAAGCAAAACCCGACGAGAACATTCTGCAGTACAAAGGGTTAAAACTCTACTCTAATAGTCCGTGTCACCGAATGGCGTCTGCCCTTCATAAGCCCAGTTGGTGTTAAACACCATTTCATTTCAAACTCGTATCATATACCCCATCAAGCCTTGGCATGAAATTTCCAAACATCAATCCTTGAAGTCAGTGCATGGCAGAAAAATTGATCTGATTTTGTGTTATTTCTCATGAAGTACCAGTAATAAATAAAAAAAATATTGTAAAATCATTATGTAAATGCCCCTTTACTCTTGATTTTATGGTTATTCACATAGTGTTTTAAGAACTGCAGAGAAATTTTAAAATGTTCTGCTTTTCATCCTGAATGGTTGATTTTTCAGTCGGATATTGTATAAGCTATATAACAGGAGTCTCATTTGGCCATACTAGTTGAAATAATGATTTCTTTTATTGAAATAAACCATGGTTGGGTAATATTTATATTTGTAATTTTTTTAAACAGATAACTGGAGTGAAAAGGCCAAAAGACGAAGGGCACAGGGAACAGGAAGAATGAGTCACATGAAGAAAATTTTCAAGAGATTTAAGTAAGTATAAATTGATTTTAGGAGTTAAGATTGTTTTATCTCTAAGTATACGCTCAACTCCCTATTACATGCTACTTGTAAATATACAACCATATTTTCATTGATTTCTGAGCTATAGAACAATCATACTCCTCGCAGTGTTTCGTTTGATTCGACCTAACCTCACCCAAACACTGCCATAATCACTGCTAATTTCTGTCCCAAATTATGACGGTCAACAGTCGTGTCAACTACAATACATTACATCGTAACAAAATCGATCGAGATTAACCAGATCTCTAAATATGTTGACTTAAAAGTATGACAGTTGCGGCGGCAACATTACGTCATGTGTGCGAAATTTTAATGCTAAATTAACCAGTGCATACATAATTGAATATTGCAGAAAAACTTATTGTGACAAACAAGGCTATCCAAAATAGCTACAAACGTAAACATTCGTTCATTGCCACATGTAGAATCGTTTTATCCTCTATTGGACAGCACAGCAGATGAAAACAAATATTTTCACCATCTTTTAATACATTTAATCAAAACCCCAATTTTTCACTCTCTGTACAGCAATGGCTATAGGGGGATTTCTCAGGCCAGTGCTTTAGGAATGTAAACAATCAACTAATCAATCACAAATTTAACTGTAAGGCTGTTTGTTTATGTATGCATTTTTTTACCTGCGAAAAAGTCGGTCAAATGCAAATGTACAGGGATCAGTTCCATGTAACCATCAAAAATGTGTATATGGAAAATTTGATTTACTGTACAGGCATTCCTAAGTATGCCCTGTTTTGACAACCTTTTGACTAGATTGGATGGAAAGTTATTTTGAGACTTGCTGATGAGAACTCTTGACAGGATTGTTTGGAAAATCGCTTTGAAAAGTCTACACTGACAGTTGAAGGGAAGTTGACAGTACACTAAATTTAAGATTTTTTCCCATCTTTTTCAGGAATGGTTTCCGTGAAGGTCAACCTAAGGCAAAGAAAGCAAAGGCTCCAGAGTCTTAAACATTTAAATCTCTGTAAATAATTAAAAAAAATAGCAAATAGAAATTTGTTTATTAGTTACTAAGATATAACAATATGCTCCCACGATTATCATTGCATGACTTGCAATTCTCAGCACACGGCTTCAGGTCAGAATCCTTAAGTGGACGAAGATCCTTTTAAATTGATCAATTATGGATCAAATTAGATCTGTGGAGACTGAAAATGGATCAGTATTGAGGTGTTGGCATTGAAGGAAAATAACAAGGTTGTGTTACTCAATAGCAATGTACTGACACACTAAAATTACAGCAAAATACAGACCAACCATTGCACAGCTTTTCTCTTGTCCTGCTGGTCTGTAATAATTCACCACAATCCATCGTCGCCAACGGACCACTAGAATGATTGCTTATGTTCCTAATTCCTCACACAAAGCCCACCAAACTTAGTTTTGCTAAGTCAGGTACATTCAACCGAATCAAATTAGTCTTTCATCTGACTAGGATAGAAATTGTGGCTTAGGTCTGTTGCACACCAAAATCGAACTCGTCTAAGATCTTTTGATCCTTAAAATATATTTTATGTTCACAAACTTGGTGTATGTATTACATAATTGTGTGAAGAGGAAGGACAATTTTAATCAAACTCTTCCGCATTTATTGTCAAATATATTCAAACATCAATAAAAATCGAAGCCATTCGCAACCTTTGGGATGTAAACATTTTAAATCGGATAAATATTGTGACCGTGATATTTCTTACAATCGGGAGCAATAATCCAAGAAGTTATGGCCCAATCCAAGAAGTTATGGTCTGATGGGTGCAAGAATTGAACCCATCGGAAATCTTTGGGATATATTATAAATTTTGGAAGCCCTGTTTACACTTGGCTGCAATAAGCGTACCAGGCCGCGATAAATTTCAAGAAATTGATCGGTTTACATTACTCTCAAATAACTAGTCTTGGAACCACGCCAAATGTGAAACTCTCACAGAAAAGTTCATTTCAGGCCCTATTCAAATTACCCCGATAAAAACAATTGTGGTTGAATTAGTTTAGGCAGCCATTTTGACAAAACTGTCAAAGTTCATTTGGCGCATACGCAGTAGTCCGTACTGAGAACCGTTGTCAGACCCAATGGCGTTTACCGTACGGCACATTTATTTTTGATCTGTTTACCCTACAAAAAAATTAACCTGTTACGCTTAAAATTTGTAAACCGGGTTCATTAACTATTTAGGTAGTTTTCGTACAATTGGGGGCAATAATCCAAGAAGTTAGTCCGACATCAAATCAGACGCATTCAAGATCTTGCTGATATAAACATTTTAAGTTTCACCAATATCCGATCAAATTTTTTACCAGGGGCGATGACAAATGTCCACATGATGTGGACCTATTAAAAAAAAATCATAACAACCAATTTAATATTTATTTCTGTTTTAAAAATCCAATGACATATACCTAAAACAATTTTGACCATATCCTGTTTGTTTTGTTGGCAGAAAATGCCGAATATTGTGAAAAGTTTAATTCATCACATCTCAACACCATTTTTGGAAGGATATTCCTTTTAGAGATGCAACTTTCACAATGACAGACTTTAATAAGTTCTATTTTAATCTCAAATTTGCCCCTTTAGATACTCTACCCAATCAAATTTAGGTTACATCTATCATACAGTTCAGTAGATAAATGCACAAAATTGTCTAGATTGATCCCATTAAAGAGCACCTGCCCTGCCACTATCTACCATATTTAGTTGAAATCCATTGAGCGGTTCTGCAGAGGTACTGTTCGAAAAAATGTTTCAAAATACATGGATCCAAATTTGAGCTGCCTCCATATGGTTGATCAACTTGATTTAAACAAATCTCAATAAGCACTACCTCCAAGCAACAAACCCTAACAAATTTTAATCAGGATGATCCATGTAATATATCGACCAAATATATTTAAAATCCGTAGAGTGGTTCAGGAGAAATTCAAAATTACAATGGTATTGGACGCCAACGGTCAGAGTGAAAATGTTCAACAATTTCAAATAATCACAAGCTTATATCAATTATCCACTGTAGGATATAAAGCAATATAACTACAACACAAAATTTAATAAATTTTGTATAAAGTGGGAGCCATGTGTAATCAACTGGTCATTGCAAAATGTCAATAAAATCCACTGTGCTATGAAGAGTTTTCAATTTTTGCTAAACCATCTGCATATTGGAATTGATTACTGTTTTCATATTCACTCATATCAAGTGCCACAAAACAACTTTCTTTAACAACCCTTTCATTATCTTTTGCATATTGCTGTAGAATCTCTGTGCACTGTTCAGTGGCTATTGCCCCAAGAGCTTCAGCACATTCATGTCGCACCATAGGGTTTTCATTTTTATCACACAGATTTGAAGATAATTGTTCGATACAAACACTACTTTGAATTTGACCCAAGACATAAGCTATTTCATGTCGAAATAATGCACTTTTACATTTCAACCCTGAAAAATTTAAATCGGTAATTAGAAATATGAAAAACATAAATCAATAATTACAAATATATCAGAACTTCTAATAACACCTAAGGTAGCCAATACTCAATAATTGAATGCTGTGTCAGTAATTTATAAATCCCCCTTTATCCCAACTGAAATACATGTACTTTAAATTAAAGTATTGGTACATTACATTTATATACATTCATTTCCAAGACCCCTCCCCACTCTCCTTTCTCAAGTGATGATGAACATGTGACAGAAGATATGTCTCTATCCAGTGAGCAATAACATCAATATTATTATGACTAATAATTCTGTATGGCTTGCCCGGTATATTTCACAATGCTATACCGGCAATGACAATCAAATGATTATGAATTCTTTTTACCTTCTGCTAATGCAAGCACAGCTTTATCAGATCCATTATTTCTCAATGTAAACATGGCTCTGTAGCGTTGAAATAATGGAAGAGACTCATCCAATAAAATCTGTTGTAAGGAAAATACATCAGACTCTCTTGCTGGAGGAGCCGGATCAACGGATTTGTAAGGATTTACAGAAAGTGTTTCAATGTCTTTCTGTGATTCTTTCATCCATTTTATTCTCTGCAATGCTAACTGACAGGTTTCAGCTACCTGAAATACAAAATAATTTAATTTAACGAAATCATGTATGTAGCATATTCTGTGCTGGTTGTCAACTAGCAATAATATCATAACTTCTTTTAGTTTAATTGTTGACATTTGAAGCAGCAACAAATACATGTTCTACAGTAGCCATGACATTATTATGGTATCAGTTTATATACATGTACCGGTAGTACATTTTTTTTGTACTAAGTAGAATACTATTAATCAAACCTCTATAACTGGATCGTGTGAATATTTTAAGAGTATATCAGCAACTTCTGGATGACCAATAGCACCAAGAGCCTCTCCTGAAAAATAAAAATATCCATTTATTATTAGCTTATATTTTACAGTGAGGGGCTCAAAACAAAGCAACTTTAACCTTGATATTTTCAGTACAATTATACAAATACCAACGTGAATTGTTTCAATGGCATTTGGTAATTGAACTGGAATATACATGGAATTTGAAATGACGTTACATGTAGGTTACATACCAGCCTCGTGTCGTACCATTGGTTCCTGGCTTGTATCTTCTAACACCTTGACTAATGACGGAATGGCATACTCGTCCTGCATCTGTCCCATACAGTATGCGAGTTCATGTTTCAGAAGTGCTGATTCGTCATCAAAACAACTTGAAATTATGTCCAAAGCTTCCTTGCCACCGAGGTTTCTTAATGTAAATAGTGCTCTAAATCTATCTTTCAGTGGTTTACTTTTGTCTGTCAATACCTCACCAACTTCAGAAATTTTTTTGGGATCAATGATGCTTGTCATTCTGTGACAAAATAGTAAACAAAACAATATATTTATGCACGTGTTAAAAGTTATTACACAACTGCGACCATGTTACCGGAAGTCATGGAGTAATCATTTATTGAATAGTCTAATTGAATCCTGAATTTATATTCAATATATAAAGCATCCTTGATACGATTCAGATATATTTCATGAATATTTGACATACTCATACAAATCTTTCGAGTATCATTGCGATTCCAAAATGTTATTTTCTAGATATATAGAAAATATTAATGTGAGCGCTCCCTGCATTGGGCCAAAATAATCTTCTTGACAGAAGACCGTTGACTGAAAGGGTGTACAAATTTATTCCAGAAAAGAAATGCATACTACATGTTAATGCATGACATGAACTGATAATCAAATACCAATTACGATAACCTGATAAAACGATGTAAGCAAAAGTGTTTTGGTGATTAGATTTGCAGTCATGAGATGTACAAAATTACAATGGCCAATGTTCATCATTCAGTTCATTATATTATACAATTATACACATCATAATCATGTTCGGAAGTGAATATTCAATCCCCAAACCAAAGTGTCTGGCTGATTCTTTCCTCAGCATATGTGATAGCTGTACTGATTGTTGACAACGAAGGGTCAGAAAGTGTGACATATTTTTCCATGATAAGAAGTTATCAGATGAGATTGTTACTTCTCACATTTTCAAACCAGTTTGAGGTTTTTTTCTTTTTTTTAGTGTGGTAATTTTTCTTTTTTTCTACATTTCAGAGATATACTGTTTTACTGTGTGTATGAAAATTAGAGGAAAACTGCTAATCACATTGTTTGGTTTAGACTTTAAGATAATGAAGTGACTGTTGCCACTTATATGAGATGAGGGCAGATTGGGGCACCCAAGTTGTAAATAGGGAGGCGCTGGTGTTCCTTTGTATCAACTATGCATTTTTCTCTGTGGTGTTGTTATCCTTTATATTATTCTTAGTGATCTTAACAAATACGTCATCAACACAAGAAGATTTGATCACTTCCCTATCTATCATGGCCTCATGTTTTGTATTTGTTGATCTCATTGTGGCTAATTTCTTGGTTCAAACAGTCAACATGAACACAGAAATAAGGTTATTACTTTAAAAGACAACAATTTAGAGGAATGATCGAACAAACTTGAATTACAGATTTGCTCAGATAAAATGATTATACTGTAAAATAAACAATGTGATATTTATTTACAAACTCGTGCTTTTAATCACATCTATATTTCATTCTTCACCTCACCTGTGCACATTCTATGAATTCTATTACTTACACTGTGATATTTGTATTCTAACTAAAATTGTCTCGGCTGTCAAAATGGATAACAGTAAGAGTTCCAGACGTCTCCGACTGACTTCCAGAAATGACCAAGTCGGAATCATGAAATTTTCTTCGGAAACCATTACATGTCAGAATCCGGGTTCAAACGATTCGACGCCTCTGAGCCCTAGTTCGATGTTCACATCTACAGAACTGAAATACATCAAACACAGTTTTATTAATGCCATCTTGTTGTGTCACTGGGATAATATTTTAGGACCAAGACTATATCATTTGTGGAAAATACAAAATGTGTCTCCTCCTCCTGTTGGTGTTCTGAGATTTTTAACTGGGCAGATTTTAAGTGGTGAAATATGTAAAGAATTAGACAGCAACTCTATAGATTTTAAATTTTATGACATGCCTGATAAACTTATTTTAGTTGCAGCTTTTGTATTTTCTGGACAGCTTGATCGTGATGTAGCCATACAATCTGTAGGTTTTGTGATTCCTAATTCTGAGTTGAATCTTTATCTAAAATATCACAATCTGTTACAGCTGTGTTTTAGAAGATTAATCTCTAAATTTAGAATTTTGTTGAATAAGGTAAAATTTTATATTCAGATTTATAAGTTATTGTTAAAACGGCTGATCATCATTTGACAGATTTTGAATACCTTGCAAACTACAATATTGTGAAAGTTGAATCTCTAAAAGGAACATCAGTCCAAAAATGGTTCAGTTCCATTTAGTATTCATAAAGATACAGTGAATTGAATATTCCACAACAATACGAACAAACAAAAGCCAGTTTTGAGTAAAATCCGTTGATGGGCATATTTTCAATCTGATAAAATGTTAAATAATTGATTTGCACACATTTTAGTGTGGATTAAGATATGAAAAATTAGATATTTTCTGAAAAAATGCCAGTGCACACTTTTCATTGTGAAGAGAATGACAATGTACTGCAGAATAATATTAGAATATATATAACCTTTATGTTGTCTAGTCATTCGGCTGAGATGTAAAACCAAGGTGAATCCATTTGTTTGTTGGCAGAAACGTAAAAGAACCATAGACAGTTAAAATTCAATGAAAATTTGACTGAAAAGCTGTTATCTGGCAAAATTCTAAAACAAACCAACAGACCAATATTACAATATTGAATTGACAAATTTTGAAATAAGTATTGTTTAATGGTCGAGAGCGAGACATTAAGTAATATATTGTAACAACATGAGGGCCGTGAGGCCCGAATGTTTTTACAATATATTACGCAATGTCTTAAGCTCGAGACCATTAAGCAACTTAAAATACAGACACTTGCACGTGCTTTGCAATGAAATACGTCACTCGAGTTCAATATTTTACCAAGTTACGCTTGGCACATTGCCCGTACGATTATTTGAAATAATGGTACTCAAACATCAAAGGGTGACGTCACATCTGTATTTTAAGTAATGATATTGTTCACAAAAGCATTCTTAACAAAAAAAATATTTGTTGATTTTTTTTTAATTTGAAGGTATCTCGACCTGAAGATGTTTTAAATAAGTTTTCATCATGGTTAACAATATGTCTAGAAATGTTTTCCTCTCTTACCGAAGCTGGCCTTCCACAACAACCCAGGGTAAGTACAAATCATTTCTAACAGATTAACAAACTGGGTGGGATGTTATGAACGTAAGTTTTATCTCCACTTTCAACAAAGCAGTGCACTTGCTAGTATGAGAGTATGTTTTATCACCTTTCTCAACCTGAAATGAAATGAAATGGGGTTTAACATCCTACTGCTCTGAAACGACTGGGCTAATGAAGACGTGCATACGCCATACAGTGTGCTGTTGTGGAAATTTTGCCCGGACAGCAGCACTGCAGTCTACTCTTACATGTATATCTAATTCCAACTGTCAAGGATTTTCTTATGAGCACATCAATGTGTACATGGGACCTTGTATTATAATATGGGGGGTTGGATGGCCGAATGGTTAGCACATGCGTGCTGTATGATAAGGTCTATCATTGAGTCAACTGGCGTGGTTTCGATTTCCCGGTTATACATGACAAGGAGTTGGGTTGTATGTCCAACGTTGTTGGTTTTCTCCAGGTCCTCTGGTTTCCTCCCACTGCTAAAGACCCCTATGTGCAAGCGGATTATTGAAATAAGATTGAACCATGTGTTAGTCCCGAAATGACCTGGTTTGTGTCGAGTGGACATTAAACCTCATTGCTCTCTCTCTCTCTCGTACTATAACATGAGGGCATGGTTTTGTTTATCAATAGGGACCGACAGACCCAAGCCAGCATCTTGATTTGTTAACTCAACAGGAAATTTGTTGTACATGGACACTTGGTCCTGCATTGAGGAAACTGTTTAAATACTAGGAAGCAAATAAAATATAAAGAATTTGGAACTGTTGGACATGTAAAACTTGTTAATGGACCTGTTAATGTTGAATTCATATCATTTTAGCTATAATTTTTGTTCTAGTTGTCTGAAACAGCCTTCTGTCCACATCACAACTTAGAACCAGATTTTCTCTATAGATGTATAACTTCTCACTTAATGACGTTTGGTAGAAGTTTAGTTGTAGGTAAATTAGCCGAGAGAGTCAATCTTGTAAGTTTGATTTTATTTTTTTTCTCATGGTCCAATAGTGCTCACACAAATATATGAACATTTTCATCGCTATTCGAACTCAATGACTGGCATTCATTATTTGATGTCAGTTAAAACTATGAAATTTAATAAGTTTTTTGTCTGCAAATGGAAATGTTTAATATATTAATTCAATGAAATCAACTAATATTCGAAAATAAATAAACAGATAAGGAAAGTCATTGATATTTGAAAATGCAACAAGTAGAATCTAACATTTATCAGATGGAAGAATGATGTATTTGATGTGATCACTACAGTCCATATCACTTCTATATTGCTACGTTGTAATATTACAAGTTCAGGTACAGATCTTCGGTAAATAACTTGTATAGGAATGGTCGTGGATTTGACGACATGACTGGGTTAATGAAGACGGGCATACACCATGCAGTGTCAATTTGGCTAGACAGCGTCACTACAGCCTACTCTTATTTTAAATTCCAACTGTCAATGTGTACACAGGACCTTTATTTACTACATGTATGTCCCATCCGAACAACTATATGTTGTCCCCTGCAAACCCTCTGTCCCATGCCACTAACCAAGGAGAACCACGTCGGAAAATCCAGATGAACTTATTGGATAAAACTGGGATCAAACACTGGACTTCCCGGTTAGCGAGCCACCGTCTTACTTATTGGAAGATTGTACGTAGATTACGGTCGCCTACTTCAAGTGTCCGCTTCATTTTCTTCTTATTGCTAAAGAGTCCTGGATGGAAGCAAAATAATGATATCAAAATTTACCATAAATTTAGTCTACAATATTGAGCTATGGTTGTATTAAGTGTATGTTAATCCACATTTGTCTCACTGTAAACAAAATTTTCTTTATTTAGTAAGAAAAATTTTGAATTTATTTTCTAGGTGATATCCACATTAGCATTATTTAATACTGACAATGAAAGAGCCACTTCTAGATTAGTAGATGATGATAAACCATGGTCATATCATCATGATCTGTGTGTACAGGGTTTACTCAAGGTAAGTATCAGTTAATATGACGGCACGTCACGCAGGATTTCTCTTGTGAGTCACACCTATTTCCTGTCGTTACTCGATTTCACCGAATTTATGTTTGATTACAAGTTAGGATCAATTGTGCTTCATTTAATTTGTGAAATATTTATATTCTTTTCATTTCATTTAAGTTTATCACACTTTTATACCATGTTTAAGACTGTACTTTTTGCACAGTGGTGGGGTGTTCCATCATGATTAGTTTGAAACGATACTGTTGGTATCACTTGGTATCACTGAAAGAAGGCAAGAAACCGTTGCTTAGTGAAATAGTCTTTCTTAACTGGGTTAAATTGGCAGGTAACTTCAATCCTTGAGGAAGATTCTTCTGAAGATTTGATTTCTGCACAGTCAGTCCAGTCTATGAAAATAAGAAAAAAACAAATTCCATTTAGAAGGAACATTTACGATTTGGGGGCTACTGATTGAACATGTTAAAATGAACCTATAACCAAATTACTGGTTCATTAAAATACTTCAAATTGCAATAAACTTTAGCCCTTTGAATAACTGACTTTATTTCTGCTCCCTTGGTCCATTCTATGAAAACAATGAGTACAATATTATGAGATAACTAGTAGCAACATTCACCAATCATGGGCTGCTCCTTGAACATTCGATCCCTGCATTGGCCGAGAAAGTTCATCCAGATTTTCCGGCGTGGTTTCCCTTTGTCAGTGATGCAGGACGGAGGGCCTGACAAGGACAGCTGTCTAGTCGTTCGGATGGGATGAAAAACCTAGGTCCCGTAAAAGATCCCTTGTCAGTTGGAATTTGATATAAGAGTAGGCCGTAGAGCCGCTGCCCGGGCAAAATTTCCCTCATAGCACACTGTATGGCGTATGCCCGTCTTCATTAGCCCAGTTTATGAGCAGAACAGTAGGATGTTAAACCTCATTTCATTTCCTTGAACATGATAAGATGAACCTTATAATAACCAAATTATGGATATTGTAAAACACTCCAAATTATTTCAGAGTCACCACGGTGCTATAACACTTCCTATACGAGAAATATTATGTAGTCGTTATCCTACTACTATAATAGATGTACAGAATCGAGACGTTAAACATTCACCATACTGTTACGGACATGATGTTAAAAACTTTCAAGTTTTACGAGATGAACTATTATATTTACATCAAAATAACATGGATGAACCTGATATGAGCAACAGGTATGTAAAGTTATTAAATTGTTGTTCTCTGTTGTCCAGGGCTAGAATAAAGACATCACACATCAAAAGCCATAAATTTTGTTATCGAAATAAATTGTCTGTTAAAAAACCCTTGCTTTGAAACTTTTTCATAAGGATTTTAAAGGTACTTTTCCACGTACTGTGTGATTTGATGATATATCTGGACTAAAAACATATTCAAACTAATTAATCTATCAAAAATTTGCGTCCAATCCCTCTCAAACCTTTGTATACGCGGGGAGATTCCTCAATCTATAAATCGCGGGGAGATTCCTCAAGCTATAAATAAACTGATGTTAGAGGCCATGTCTGTCATCTTGCTGCTTTGAGTGTGGGCCCATTTTTCATAATGTATTTTTCAGTACTTTCTGACCATTTACCATACATATTGAGGCCTAAGTAAATTCCTAATTATTTTCTGTCAACTTCTTTTCCCGCCGTTTAATTGCAGAGTCTTTTGCACATTGACACCCCTAAATGTTCCCAAAACCTAACCATTTGATCAAGAAATAACAACTGCTACTTCAGTCAAGTTAGCAGACAATAAGCTGGCAGACAACAGTCGGGTTGCCAGTTAGTGATTCCCTGACATTTTTGACCAGTGCTTGCCCCATGGGTGTTTTTCGGGTAATCCAGTATTTTTCTAGTAAGACTGAGTGTCTTTACCTTCCATATAATATACCGGTACTAAATTTGCCTTTTACTGGAAATAACCACCCAATAAATTTGTGTTCTACACTTTATGTTTCAGCGTGTTTCAGAAAGTTCATCACAGCTCATATTTAGTTTCAACTCTTATAGATGAAGTAAGTTTAAACAGACAATATGTTAGATGGACAAAATCAAATATCATTATTTAAACGACAGACAAAATAAATATTATTATATTGCAGTTATGGTGCAATCTCAGTGATAGCATCTCATATATATGCAGGACAAAGTATCTAGACCAATGTCATTAATTGAGTGTTGATATCACTTTGATACTCAAGAATTAAGCTTTTCAACTTAATATGGCGATTCTTGAAATGCAATAATTTTACTTCCAATGCAAAGATATTCACTAAATGTTGACTTCTATCCTTATATTCTTAAAGATGCATTATGTAAGAGCTAAAAGTTCCTATTGCAGATCTTTATTTTGGCTTCAATTGTTATATAAACTATTATTTAGTCATTTATTAACATGGCAAACCAATAATCAACCCTCTAGGGCATCGGGTGGCAGAGATTTAAATGGATAAGAGCGAAGTAAGACTTGAAAATTTAATCATAAAGTGGATATTCGAGACTTAGTCTTGCTTGTCCAGTACTGTTGCTATGATAATAAACAATCAATGCAACATCTACTAACACTCATTACTTCACTCAGAATAAAGTAATTTGAATGAAATTTTCAATATATTCATTTTTCATTATCTATTTTTGAACTGTTATAGCATGAACGTCCGGCTCTTTATCTAAATCTTACTTAATGCATCTTTAATAAGTGTCTGCCCTTACATTAATGCTGTCTGTGCATATTTTATTAAATGCAATCTGTTTGGTTGATCATTTAATTTGCAATAACTGGTTGAGTGATTTTGATAAAAACTACACTACATGAGTCTCCCACATAAATGCCATTTGTGCATATTTCATTGCCCTATCTGTTTGGGAAGGGTGTTACATTCACTGATATCTATCCATCCTCTGAAAATCCTATTTCTGATGCCTCAGTGACTCACTAACCATAAGATAGCAGGTTTGATTCCAGTTTTGGCCGAGAAACAATCTAATTAAAATATAGATCTATATTTCGTTTCGTTTCGTTTTTTATACCTTCGATCGCCTACACTACATGTAGATCTAACAAGTTATAGTGGGAGTTCACGTTCTATGAAGTCAGGTACCAAGCAAGCGACATTTGACCCAATTACGTCAGTCATTCGATTAACCAATGAGCGACCGCCATGTATTTTTTATCTACTTTTGCTTTGTTTTGATTTCTATTGTCGCTAATGTCTACCCACAGTTCCGCGCAAAAAAGGTCAAACGCTCGATTCGACAGACCATTTGATTGGCTGACCCCTCATTTCAAGCAGAACACGAGTTAAATAACAACGCTTCCAGATCCAAGTGTAGTAAAGACAAGTAAAAACGAAATTTTGAACTATAAAAACGAAATGTAATTGGATCTGTGTTTTAATCAGATTGGCCGAGAAAGTTCCTCAGAATTTTCCAGTTGATTTTCCTTTCATCTTAGTGGTGCAGACAGAGGGCCCTCTAAGGAACAGTGCCTATTTGTTCAAATGTGACGAAAAGCCAAGATACTGTGTACACTTTGGTTTGCACGTAAAAGAACCCTTGGCAGTTGGATCCAATAAAGAGTAGATGAAAACGTGGCTGTCCAGAACAAAATTTCATTTCATTTACCTATTAACTGCTAAAATATTGGGTAGTTATCATAGATAGCTGATTTTGTATTTTGTAGATTTCGAAGTTATCTGCAGATTGTGGTATCCGTGTGGCACATGTTCAACAGTTTATGCGACTGTTAAATAGAAGAGCCTTTTCTCTAATTAATTATGTGGAGACAGAAACGTAAGAAATATTCTGAGTTATTTACAGATAAGTCACAGATAAGCAAATTAAAATCCTCATTTGTGATGTAGGATCAAAAAATCCTGAGCACCTGTAATAACAGGTCCTAGTAAATAATATCCCTCAGCAGTTTGAATTTGATGAAGAATAGACAGTAGGATTGCTGCCTGGGCAAACTTTTCCTTCCATCTCAGAAAAAAAGAAAATTCATACCCCTTGGTCCAATTCTTAATATTAAGATATTAAACACAATTTTATATTGAATATCAAAAGAAACTATACCATAAATTTGTGTCTTGAAAAAAATTAATGTAATTGGGTGCCAAATTGTTTAGAAACGGATTTACCTATAGGCTTGGCAGACTGAGGCCTAGGGCCTAAAGGGCCTCTGGCCAATGTGTCTTAACATATTTTACACTGATCTAAGCCTTTCATAAACATTCATCCTCATCGATTTGGCTCAATTGTGTTTAGAACACCCTTTCATCATCCTATAGTTGTAAAGGTGGGGAAGTGGGTGGGGCCTCATAAGTGGAGTAGTCTAGGGCCACTCTTTATTAAATTCGACACTGAGTGAAAAACTTAACAAAAATCCAAACACTGACCTACTTATGGTGTTCGCTAAACTGCTTATAAAGCACTAAACGATTTGTACAACTTGTTTGTCTAATATTGACTCAGTCAAATTTGATATTGTAATTGGCAATGACTAGTGTTTGTAATTACATTATATGCCAATTGTTCAGTACACACAGGAGATCAAACATCTAGCTTGTAAACTGTTTCAATGGCATTTAGTAATTGAACTGGAGTATACAGTTCACAATTCTATGGAATACAATTACTGCTTATTACTGAGCTACGTTTCGACTAGGCTTCTCTAGTCATTATCAAGCAATGATAAAATATAAAATTATTAGCTTGTAATATTAAATGTACTATTAACACCAGAACACTTTTCATTTTCACTTACCCTTAATTTTGATTATCAGTTTCTGATTATAATATATGGTTTAGAGTTTGTTGTTTACATATATTAAATATTAGTAATTATTTATTATCTAGAGTTGTTGTTTACATATATTATATATATATATATATATATATATTATTTTTAGGTTAAAGGGATCCATATCACTTAAAGGTGGTCTGAAGAAATTACGTCAGGATTTATCACTTATTAAAGATGGAGATTTTAGGATTATTCTTGCCACAGCTGAAAAATGTAAACCAGGCATTTATCATTTCTTACTTGGTGAAGGCAAACATGTTGATTTTGTTGCGCCTATGGGTGAGATTATATGAACTTGACAGTTCCTTACAATTGCTTTGTTTCTGTTTAGTTTAATGGTTTAATTTTGTTTTTAGAGTTGTCATTATATAATTAACACATGTACATGTATGTACAGCGGACTGTAATCGAAAAAGTGAAACGTTTATGTTTTCAGATGTCTCTAACTATATTATTATTACATTTATTTGGAATATTTAATTTTCTTCAAGTAAAGAAGCTATTGCAAACTGAAACAAGTCAACATGGATGTATGTTGAAACGTGGGATTTCAGTCTACAAAACATGTCTCGACGGCATAACAAAATATCTCGACCACAACCATGACAGTTGAAACATATTCGTTGTGCTTAATTAAAGATATATTATGTAAGATTTAGATAAAGAGCTGACAAGTCTTGCTATAATAGCTCAAACATTTCATTCAAATTACTTCATTCAGAGCCAAGTTATAACTGCTTGTAATTTTCACAAGATGTGTGCATTGTGGTAACCAGGGCACTAGTATATTCGAGACTTAGCCTCGCTTTCCCATTTTTAAATTAAATTTTTAAATGGCGAACCGTTCTAATCTAGTTAAATTCTCGAGTATCCGTATCTGATGCCATCGAGAGTTGATTATGGTCTTGTGTTGTTAATAAATGTCTAATTAATAGTTTATATAACATTTCAGGCCTAAAGAAAGACCTGCAATAGACAGATTTAGCTCTTGCATAATGTATGCTTAATCACAATTCTACTCAAACTACCTGGGTAGTCGAGACTGACAGAACTGTGAAGGGACTGACAGAACTGTGACATGACTGGATTCCCCGTCACTCGTTTGCAATTCTGTCAGTTAGAGTAGTTCTGGACTGACAAACAAACATTCCCTTGGAGAACAAAAGTGTATTAAATTAATGTGTTTGGTAGATTTCATTTTGACAGGTATTTCTCAATTGACAGATTGAATGCTCACTTCCTAATAAAAATGAGTTTATTTATTTATTGCACCTAATGGCCATCTTGGGCAACATATTTATTTAGGAGAAATAGTATTATTATATGGATAAATGACAGTGTATATCAAACTTTCAAAATAAGGTCATATAAAAAAAATATTCTGTTTCTCAGATAAAAAACGCCAAAAAAAACACAAAAATAAAAGCCTTCCTCCTGCATTAGATTTTTGGTACGGATTGTCTGAAAACCAGAATATTATTTTTGCATGGCTTAACCTTTAAAAATGTCCTTCTTCAGGTTGACCCCTTTCAGAGTTACTTTCGTTTTTGGTTGACTTGGCAGCCAAATTTATTTTTTATCTTAATTTCAAATCAAACATTTATTTGTTTGAAAACAGGGTTACATAACCCATTTAATTAATTTTATTCTTCCGTTATTAGAGTGACTTGATAATCGAGATGATCACATACCCCTACAACTTTGGCAAGTGTATAAATATGGTTATCCAGGCACTTACACATACTGGAATTTGGTAACTCATAGCCAAACCTACAAGTAAACTGAAAGTTTGCATTTCTTCGAATTAGTATCACTGAGCTTTAGATATACTATTCAAAAAAAGTAGGGGATATTTGATTTTGGGGGCATAATACTAAAATATGCAAATGACTACGAAAAAAGTCACTATAGAACCTAACAGAAGAAACATTTCCAGTTACATGTGACGCCCAAACGCACCAATAGCTACCGCATGGAATGCAGGTGATGCTTGGGATCATCATGGGGGTCCAACCCAAGATTTGCACGACTCTGACTTTGAATGTTACAGTCATTGTGGCATTGAATTCCAGGGTGGAAACATCAGTTTAATTGTTTTAGTGACCAGAAAACAAATTTTGATATGCGTCGGCTTACCCAAAATGAAAGGTTACGTGCCCTTGGCATGCTACAGATCGGCACAACACAGGCGGTTGTGGCGCGGACGATGAATGTTTCTCAGTCTATCATAAGCAGGCTATGGTCCAGATACCGTGATACAGAATCTGTACAGGACAGACCACGCTCAGGTCAACCAAGGGCGACAACTCAAGCCCAGGATCGATTTATCCGTACCTTGGCCTTGAGAAATCGTGTCATCACAGCAAATCAGATCAGCGCTCGTCTTCAAACAGACACTGGTGTGAGAGTGAGTGGCCAGACGATTCGGAATCGACTGCATAGGGGTCACCTTCGCGCCCGACGTCCTCGCGTGATCCCTTGTTTGAGAGATCATCACATTCAGGCAAGACGTCGTTGGTGTAGGGATCGTCAACACTGGGATAATCGACGCTGGAGCAATGTGATGTTTTCAGATGAGTTAAGGTTCACTGTTGATTTTTTGGACAGACGTAGGAGGGTGTGGCGTCGTCGAAACGAGCGCTTCCAAGACGTTAACGTCATCAGACATGATCGATTTGGGGGTGGTTCTGTTATGGTGTGGGGAGGCATCACTGTTGCTGGAAGAACGGCTTTACATGTTGTTGCAGGGCGTGTTACAGGCCAGTACTACCGGGACAACATCTTGGCAGTCCATGTTGTGCCGTTCGCACGACATCATGGCCGCCGTTTCATTTTCCAGGATGACAACGCAAGATGTCACAGGGCCAGGATCGTTACAGGTTACCTCCAACAACAGAACATCACCACATTACCTTGGCCAGCACTGAGTCCCGACCTCTCCCCCATCGAGCATGTCTGGGACATGCTTGGACAGAGGTTACGTCAACGTCAACAACGTCCTGCCAATGTCCAAGAACTTGCTGCTGCGTTGCAACAGGAATGGGACAATCTGGACCAAAATGACCATAGACGTCTCATTAGGAGTATGCCACGTCGGATCAATGCTTGTTTGGCAAACAGAGGAGGATTTACCCGTTACTGACTTGGTTGTGATGCTGTGGTAACTTTGCTGTTTGACCCCGGGTATCATTTTACCCTTATAATGGTCAGTCTGTGCCTTACTTAGTCTAACGATCATTTGGAATAAATCGATGAATGTGAACTTCATTTCATTTTGTCATTTGTTTCTTCGTCAGTTTCATTAGGTGACTTTAATAACACTTAAAAATCAAATATCCCCTACTTTTTTTGAATAGTATAGTTGTGCAGGACCTGGGATAAAGGTTTGAATATCTGGGATCGCTCCTTTATAAATGTTAAGTATTTTTTTGTTAACTACCTTGCACAGAAAACACTAATTGATTTACACATCCTACTTGATTTTAGTTATTTTGAATTGTATATTTATTTATGGTATAGTTGAGTTGACTTTGTTTTAAATATAATTAAATGTAACATTATTATGAATTTCTCTACTTCCATATTGTTTCAATGGTATGTAGTATTTGAACTGAAACTGAGTTATTTTTCAACTAAAATTCTTAAGTCTCTATTAAATAATCCTGCAATGGCATTTAGTAATTGAACTGAAAATATATAGGAAACAATCCCATGGAATACAATTGCTGTTTACTATTGAGATAGGATTCTGTAGTCTTTATTAACCAATGCTGTAATAGCATTTAGTAAAATAGAAATACACAGGACACAATCCTATGGAATACAATTACTATAGATGCTAAAGGATTCAATTAGGATTCTCTTGTCTTTATTAAGCAATGCAGTAATGGCATTTACAATGTAGTACAATAAAAATACACAGGACACAATTCTATGGAATACAATTACTATTTACTACAATAGGATTCAATTACCAAAGGATTCAACTAGGACACAATTCTATGGAATACAATTACTATTGACTACTAAAGGATTCAACTAGGACACAATTCTATGGAATACAATTACTATTGACTACTAAAGGATTCAACCAGGATTCTCTACTCTTTATTAAACATTGCTGCAATGACATTTAGTAAAACAGAATTACATAGGGCACAATTTCATGGAATACAATTACTGTTTACTACTGATTTAACAAGGATTTTCTAGTCTTGATCAATCTTTGCTGCAATGACATTTAGTAATTGATCGAACTGGAAATACATAATACATTATTATTTTCTATAGAATTGTGTCCATGTATAATATACATCTGCTGTTAAAAGACTATTTTAAGATGTATGAAAGAATAGTGGGTGATCTCACTGAATAGCTAAAAGCTTTTTTTAACAACTTGCCAGAGAAATTTAATGTAGAAGTTTAATATGGTTGAGATTGGTATTGAGTATTTATTGTGATTTGTATAAATGACGATTATTTATAAAAATATGAAGTGTAATGAATCCGTATATAATAAACTATGTCATTTAATGATACATGTATATATTCAGTTCGTTATATTTACGATAACCTTGCCCTAGTGGGATAACCTTGCCATAGTAGTGTACGAACTGTACGGACATTCATTATTTAAAGCTTCTTCAGTCTTACAGAAATTAATAGTGATGTTGGAACTGAATTATTTTATTTTTGGTTGGCATTTCTCTTCCCAAATTCCTGTTTTGGGTGATAATAAAGTAATAAGTAGTGATAATACTAAAGGCTATTGGTCTGTTGGCATTCTGTTACACTTGTATTAAACTTGTATTACACTTATTGTAATACTAAAATATCATTGCCAGTTTTGAAAAACACAATTTCACCTGTTTCAAGGGGATCCGTACATTATACTGTACACAGAGCCAGAAATAGCCCGAAGTCCACTGGCTGCATCACTCCAAGATGGCAGCTGATCAATTGTATTTGGACAATTCAGAACAAGCATCATCTGTAACTGGTACTCGGTGGAATTTCTCTAGGTCATTACACAGTCACGGTGACAAATTAATTAGATTGCAATATTAACTTTTTATTCTGTTTGAATTAAATTTCTAAACAATTTCTTCAATTCATTAAGAAATAGATTAATAGTATATGGCCACAAAAACTGTTTGAAAATAAAATAAGTGTGTATGCAGGGGCGGATCGGGCGATCATCGCCCGAAGGGCCGGTCGGACAAAAAATGAAAAAAAAGAAAACTTTGTCCAATTCGTCTAAAAAACCTTTTCTGCTAAACATTATATGCGGGGGGGGGGGGGGGGGTATTGGACCGGCCATGGAGCGATGATGATCATGTTGTATGTGGCCGATGGCTTTAACGGGCCGCGACGCCATCACTGGAGTCTGGAATGGGTTGGTATAATAGACTTTCTGGGCTGGATGTGGGCCGGAATGGTCAAAATTTTCTCAACTACATGTAGTCCCATTTTTTAACCAGTTAAATACTCTTGACTCTTGACGATACTGGGGGGTTGGATGGCCGAATGGTTAGCACGTGCGTGCTGTATCATACGGCCTGTCATTGAGTCAACTGGCGTGGTTTCGAATCCCCGGTTGTACGTGACAAGGAGTAGGGTCGCCTGTCCAATCTCGTGGGTTTTCTCCGGTTTCCTCCCACTGCTAAAGACCTCTACGCGCAAGCGAATTATTGAAATAAAATCAAACCATATGTTAGTCCCGAAATGACCTAGTTTGTGTCGAGTGGACGTTAAACCCCATTTCTCTCTCTCTCTCTCTCTCTCTCTCTTGACGATACAATGATAATACCACACTGATCCGCAGTGAATATTTGCTTGGCCGCGACAATCACTGATAAGGATGACATTGATGCGGCTTAATGAGCTAGAAATATTAACTTTTTTCCTGCGACAAATTAAATTCTAAAACATTTTTTGTATATATTGGAAAAATAAATAAAGGCGTTTGACGTATTTGTAGTTAAAAATTATTTCCGATTTAGTGTAAATGGGTATTAAAATGACTAAAATGCAGCATTCTCTCCGAAGCAGTTATGTCTTATGTAAACAATGCACGCGCCATTCAGCCAATGATTCACACCGCGTGCTGTGACAGCACGTGTTAAGGCAGTCATCTATGACAGAGATATTATACGAGACTCGTAATTCTCTGTGAAACAGATTGTGATAATACGTTAATTAATAATATGACGATATGATAATTTGACAGGTTGATGGTTGTAAATTATTTGCAGGTCGGGGTTTTGGCCTAAATTAATCGATTTATGAGATATATTATTTGGCAGAGATTATAATCAGATATGCCACCAAATCGCATATTTGGGGTTCATTTTTCAAAATTTTCCCGGGGGAGAGCCGCAGGACCCCCCGTCCGGGCTCAGCGGTCAGTAAAAGGGGCCGCTCCGACACGGGAGCCCGGGCCGGTTCCCGGCCCCAATCCGTCCCTGTGTGTATGTCGGAATTTGATCCAATTCCAATGTCCATAACATTTTGAGTTGCATACATTTGGATAGATAATCTGTCGTACAACAGAAATGATGCTGAAGTAAATTTGGGCTATCAAATGAATCAGCATTTTACCATATTAATTGTTGAAAAGGTGTATTAATATAGTCATGGTAAGTGTGAGCACAAGTTAACACCGCTATATAGAATGATATAAAATACTTTCCTCGTTGAAAGACATTATGACATTCAATAATTAGGTTAGACAGTTTAAAAAGGTCTTCAGTGAAAACCCCGGATAGCTTTTATATTAAAGATTAGACAGCGGATTATATTTCTATAGGTATAATAATATCAGGAGTTACGAATAAAGGGAGTAGAAGCTAGGTCTTGGTTCTTGCATTTATCTCTTTCAGAAGACCCACTCATCTCTTTTTGAACTCCAAACTATTTACTTTCCATTTCAACATGGCGAAAGTGTAGCTATGTATTGACCCGTAGCCCTAATATATCGAGCCCTTTAATAGTTCCAAAGTTTGATACCTTACGATTTTCTAGCTAGGTTTCCCCTTGTCGGTGGCGAATGACGGAGGGTCTGACAAGAAAAAGCGTCTAGTAGATTGAATGGGATTTAAATCCGAGACTCCGTGTTCACGTTGGCGTGCACGTAAAAGAATCCTTGACATTTGATATTCTTTGAAGAGTGGACGGAAAAGCCGCTGTCCAGGCAAAATTTCTCATCTTCATTCTCCAGATTGGTGAAAAACAGTAGGACGTTAAATCCAAGAAGTTTCTTGGTTAAATCCTATTTCATTTCATTCCATTTGATAGTCTGATGTCGGCAATTTAAATATCAAAGACCACATTTCGGGGGATAATTTTGATCATCAAGTTACAGCATATTTTACATATTTGGCTTTATTATTTATACAGACAATAAATCGTATATATGACTATTATCAATTATTAAAGGTGGACTTCGGTGATTTAATGAATATGGCGTTGCCTAGCTCTCCCTTGTCAGTGGTACAGGGGGGTAAAAAAAAAGGCGTCTAATCTATCGGATGGGACAACAAACTGAGGTTCACCCATGTATAATCCTTGACAGAATTTGAAGAGTAGGCGAAAACGCCACTGTCTGGGCCAAATGTCCCTCACACCACACTAAATGGTCGTTTGCCCGGGGTCTTCATTAGCCCGTTTGGTGCAGAAAAGTAAGACGTTAAACCCCTTTAATTTCAACCCCCAAGCTCTACTTAGTGGATGCCTAGTTATTGGCAAACATAACATTATATACATATAAAATATATGTATACGATATGTATGATCATTTATAGGTATAATAGCATAATTGTATAGCATATTATATAGCTGTAAAACTTATTCTAATACCCAATTATTTGTAGATTATTGACATTATTCACCCTGTACTTGAGTGAATTGAAAAGGACATTGACAACCCTTCTATTGTGAGCACGTGAGAGTAAACAGAATGACATTAGTTTGATAGTGGTCAGCTACCTTATCAATGGAAAACAAATCCAGCCTTTTATATGTCGGACCAGTGATTTTTACATTAAAATATATGAAAAAATAACAAATTATTTATAGATTTATGGATATGTATAACTTATGTATTGTTGATAAGTAATTAATGCTACTTTCTGTGTATGTTGTATTAACATTCATGTTGAAACATGCGATTAATATCAAAATAAGTGCTATGGTGTCTGTATAAGAATATTATATGATACTGAATGGAGATAGTAACAGCCAGCATAAGAGTGTTGATTTTATATACTGGTCACATGACTGATTGACTACCTTTCCTTTCCATTCAGCCCGGTTGTATGTATCACGGTCTTGTAAAAGTCGGGATTTTAATCACTCGGTTGTTGCTAATCGCGCCTAGGGTTATCTTTAATTCTAACAACACATGTCATAAGGATATTAAACTTTATATCGGGTCACAAGTTAGCAATGTTGCTCCTGTAATGGAAGGATAATAACTTTATATCTGATTTCACCAATGAAAAGACAGGAAACATTACAGAGATTTGTGAGACGTGTAGACTATACTGAATTAATTTTAATGTCTTCGTGAGATAGGGATTTATTTATTTATACTGTGTGTAAAGTGGACTTGGATCACCATGAGGCCCAGTACAGCATTTTCTGTCAGGAGACCAGCAATGGCCCTGTGTGATGTCATCAGATGTGGATATTTTCAACAAGTTCGAACACTCGTTGATGTGGGGCTCGATGTAGACAAACCTGACGCTGAGGGAAAAACCCCTTTAATATTGTGTGCTTTTATAGAACCCGAAAGCTGGGGTGTCGGGATAGCCCGAATATTAATAGAAAATGGCGCGAATGTTTCTACCCAGGATCGATATGGTTTAAATGCTTTTCATTATGTTTGTATATACGGACGCTTTCAGTTGGCGAGAATCCTTTTAAATGCGATAGATTTTGATCTTAATCAAATAGACCGGTTTGGTAACACCGCCCTGCATTACGCCGTGAGAGCCGGGAATTCCATGATCACCAAGCTTATCGTTCAATGTTTAAAACGATATAATTTACCTTTCGATACACCAAATAAACAAGACCACACGGCTCTGCAAGAAGCTTATAAATTGAAGTTTTTAAGTTGTGTTAAACTTCTGGAAGATGATGACACGTTCGAGATACCGTGTGATGACACTAACCTTATATTAGGGTTTGAAAACATCGAACCCAAAAACAAACCTAAAAGATGTCTACGCGAATGCTGTAGGAATGTCACGTTACCGGGTCGTTATGAGAGACCAGAAAGTACTGCAAAAGCTCCCAAACCCAACAAGAAGAACCCCGAAAGGATCATCAAGTGTGCGAGTCCTAAAGACTTCAGAAATACCAAAGAAAATATTTTCAAACTGACGGCTTTACCTTTCGATGATTTGAACTCCAGTGAAGAATCTCTACCAACTATCACTCGACCAAAATCCGCTTTCATCAGCAGACGTGATTCAGAATCAAGCAGTGATTCGTCTTGCTGCAGCTGGCGAGATGAACTCAGAACCTTATACCAAAACTTTGAGTTTCAGTGCTCGCGATCTTGGAGGAGACCCGTCAAACGACTTGAGATTAAAATAGAGGCACCAACCATCGATGAGGAAGCTGAGAAACTAAAAGATAAAAGGTGCAGACGACCAAGCTATTCCAGATTAGGTCTCAGTCTAGATCTCCATGGCCAAAGGCGCCGATCGTCTTTCTCGCCAAAAATATCACGAAAAGGGTCGACGTCTGATAAACGTTCGCCTTCTGGGGACAATATATCTTTAGGTTCAAGTACTGATTCAGTATCAAGTGTAACACCAAGATCCAAGAACAACCTCAGTCCGAGAAGTACAAACCAATAGAAATTGACCAAGTTAGTTTACAGTCAGTACACGCGACTCAATTCTATGGAATACAATTAATGTTTATTACTGGGCGACTTTTCCACTAAATGACTCCCCAGTGATTAGAGAATGTTACAGTTAAAACAAATATAAACTACAATAAAAGTAACTTAAAGATACATTATGTAACATTTAGTTAAAGAGCTTGCCATTCTTGTTATAATAGTTTAAAAATAGATAATGCAAAATGAATATGGTGAAATTTAATCTTTGAGAGTTTGTCGAGATGTATGTATTAATTGCAACCACCGTACTGTTTGTTCGAAGCTAAGCCTCGCTTCTCCATTTTTAAATTAAATCAAATATGGCTGAACCGTTCTTATCTACTTAATATTGGAGATATCCGATGGCATCGAGAGTTGATTGGGGTCTGGATAAGTTAATTAATGTCTGAATGATAATATAACATTTCAGGTCTAAAGAAAGACCTACAATAGAAAGGTTTAGCTCTTGAATAATGGGGGATCACGGTGGATAAGTGGGTAAGACGCTGGCTCGCTAGCCTGGAGGTCGGGTGTTCGATCCCTGCATTGGCCGAGAAAGTTCATCCAGATTTTCCGGCGCGGTTCTCCCTTCTCTGTGATGCTGGACTGAGGTCTCTGTACACATTGACGTGCACATAAGAGTAGGCCGTAGTGCCGCTGTCCGGTCAAAATTTCCCCCATAGCACACTGTATGGCGTATGCCCATCTTCATTAGCCCAGTTCGGAGCAGAGCAGTAGGACGTTAAACCCCATTTCATTTCAATTCATTTCTTGAATAATGTGGATAATAATGATCAAATTGTAACGATTACATCCAATATAACACTAGCGAATGAAAAATATAAACTGTAATATTTGTATTCTGCGTATTGCCAGTTGAATTACTAATTGAAATAATGCATTTAGCAAAGTAAAGAGAAATTTATCTTTGGTACTAATTGTGATGAATATGAATAAAATACAATAAATGTTATAAACTATTTTATATGACAAGGCAGTTTATGAGTTCATTAAAATAATAAAAGTAAGAAATATGACCGCTATTCTTTTCATGTGTGAAAAGAGGGATAGCAATTAATGGAATACAACGACTAGATAATGTCATTTTGGGACTAACATGTGGTTTCCTGTACTTCGGCGTTTCGCGATCTGTCTGCTGCTCTCTAAATTGCTATTGTGAAAGGAGTGGGTTAAAGGGACATTGGCGCTTTGGAGTTAAGATCATTTCGTTTCGTCGTGATTTGACTACAAAGTTAAAGTTAAACAAATTGTATGCATGCATACTTTGATACAGATTTGTTTACCCATGTTTATAGTGGTTTTTATGGAGTTCAGCTTGTGTAAAATGCAATGTCCATATTTGGAATATGGGTAACAGTATATTTTTTGAAAATGATAACCCCCTTTAATGTATATAAGTTTAAGATTCTTTAGTCGAGCAAATTATTCCTATAGCGGTTTTCATGAAGTTCAGTTGATGTAAAATGTTTTACTCCGATTATTGGTTACATTACATTAATGCCGATTTAATATAATATCCAAATTATTATACAGCCATAAAATCTGTGTAATTGTTAAGAAACTATTGCGTAATATGACATATTGATATATTGAACAGTTCTACCGGTATAGATCAATACAGGCTTTATCTTATTGTTCTTTAATATAAAATATACCTCAAGTATTTCCTGATTGATATCAATAATCAATAAATGTGTTACAAATATAGAAATTTATTGCTTTTATATGAAGTATACACTATTGATCTCATAATGCATTAGGGGGTTGTGGTAGTCGAGTGGTCAGGGTAATAAACTCTCGGACAGAATGCCCCAGGTTCGAGTCCCGGCGTGGGCCGATACGAACCTCGGGATTTTCAAATCAAGTTTTTGAGCCTGCGGAGCTGACATGTAAAGTATTGTCCAGTCGTTTGAATAGCAAGACAACAGGATGTTCACCCGTGTAGGCTACACTTTCATTGGCGTGCAGTAAAAGACCCCCCCCCCCCACCGACGATAGCAAAAATCGATGATTAGGTTGTTTGTGACCACCTCTACATTCGGCGACGTTCATATAATCGCCCATTAAAATTCTTGGGCCCGCCCATGAAAAGCCACAAAATCATAGTTGACATACAAATAACACAGGACTACTAATGTTATTATGCCATAAATAAAATTGAAGTATTGATAGATAAAGTCATGAAATAGATAAAAGAAAAAAGTTGAATAAGCCGTCTGTTATACCATGGTATTAACACATACAATACCCTATTAACTATACATTATCACATTCTATGCCAGCATTTCAATTGATTATTTGTCTGCATTGAATAAAACGTGAATAATATATAATACATATGTTAATATACTACTTATATATTATCATTATAGTCTTTTTCTCACCGCCTTTCAATTAGGATTACTTTTGCCTTAAAGTACTTTTTAGGGTAATTTATTAGGGTAAAAATCTCGCTAGTCTACATGCTGACATGATATGTCTGCACCAGAAACACGTAATATTTTAATATAAAATGGCATTAATTCGGTAAGAGAGGGAGACCACGAGGTTGGGCAGACGACCTTACTCCTTGTCACGTACAAGCATGGGATGGAAATCAGGCAACTTAACTCAATGACAGACCTTATGATCTAAAGAGCAAGCGTTGAGCCAATCGCCCCACGCCACCGCCACCAAACCACTTATATACTTACTCATACATTACAGACACAAAATAATGAGCTATATGTATATAAATCAGAGGTGGTATCGGCTGTTCTAGAAGATGGAATCGACTGAAAGAGATCTGGAATTCCCACACGCCGAGTTAGGGTCAGGTAACCTTAATACTAAACCAGAATTCCTGACTAGAGATGAAATAGACAACACCAATTAACAAGCGTGGTTTGAACGAAGATTGTTTTTTAAAACCCAGACGCTACTTAATACAAATACCATCCTATATCAACCATACATACTTATAGATACTAACAATTTATCACTCAATTTATAAAGATAAGATTATTTAAACAAGTACTACTTGTTGTTACAGGTCGAAGGTCCGGTAACTGAAATAAGCTAATCTGTCATATTGTACGTGCTAAAATTTGAATTTATTTTGACAATATTTTAATCCAGTTGGGTGACAACTTTATAAACAAAATTTATAATGTTAATAGAGCATTATGTCAGGGAATAAAGGAACGTGGGTAGTTGGTTTGTAAAATTGTGACTACAATTCGCCGCTTTAAGTCATATTGCTGTAGGCCCCTTTAGTTCAACGAGAAATGAAAGCTTAATAATAAAATGAACCAAGTAAAACTAAAAGCGACTTGTTCATATTTCAGAACAATATGACTCGGTGTGTGGGTCTGGAATACAGTATACAGTGGCATCCAGTCTATGGAAATACTAGTTATCTCATGTTACTGTATTAATTTGACCAGATCGCGAGGAGGCAGAAATCGAATCGACGCCCCCCCCCCCCCCGCCTCCCAACACACACACTGCACAAAAAAAAGAAGTTCACTAGTCCGCGGGTGCACTATTCCGCCGCTATAAGAAATACTTTAAATTTGGGTATCAATAAACCTAACCCTAACCCTAACCCTAATAATAGATATCGGTGGACTAATGAACCCTAGCCCTAACCCAACCCTAACCCTAATAATGGATATCGACAAATGAACCCGCGGACTAGTGAGCATTCCCCGTTCCTAAACTGAACATCTACATGTACTAGATAATTATAGAATTAACCGGGAAATAAATACTTAACAACAATGAAGGGTGTAGGTATCTCAAGTATATTTGAACTAGGCAACGCATGGTGGGGGGTATAAATATAATCGCATTCCCCTACTTTTCAACACCGAGGTGCCGTTACCTTACACTGTCCTCCATTCCTATTCAGCATACCTTACCTGTAACATTACACAAATTCGAACTACAAAGCGAAAGGTTGAATGTGTATGTGTGTGTGTGCGGGGGGGGGGGGGGTCTACAAAAATCATTTAATTTACACTTTTGAAAGGTCGGGAGGTTAACAGCCTAAAGATGCCTTAAGGTTATCGACGCTTGCGATATGTTGGGCTCTTTTTCTGTATAAAGATTGTGATCAAGGAAATAACTAAAAACAACTATTCAAAGAAATGGTTGGTATAGAAGAGGGCTTGAATTGACATTTTCTTCCCGTGAATTTTCACGGTTGAGAGGTGGAAGTATAGGAACCATTATAGTCAATTAGAGAATATTTGGTGGCCTGCCTCCATCGGTCTAACAAGAGTTATCTCCCGGTAATTGTTATTCACGTTAACTGGCGAATCGTGGAGAGGACGGTAAATTTAAACGCTATCAGTCACCCCATGTTCTAAATCTTGAACTTTGATTACAAGGTTTCCATGACAAAGGCAATGACTCCAAATTTAAACTTAGATAGGTTCATCACTAAACCTAGCCAAGCAATCACCGACTAAAATTGCTAAACCTCCGAAAATGAATTGAAACCCATGAAATAGTGTAGACATCACTATAATTTATTGATTTGGGGATGCTTTTAATCTGAGTACATTATAGTATGTAAAATTAGATATTGTCCTAAGAGTGCCAGCGACGATCATTTCTAAGAGAAACGAAGCAAAGAATGTATAGCTCCCCATCCCAGTCCCGCCTTAGTAATTGCTTCCCTTGATTCATCCCACCCCCTCCTCCTTTTGCGTGACAGTTTTTTTTTCATAACGTTTTGGTCTAGAATTGGACAACACCGTTTGAATTTACATTTTCTGGTGAATAATCATGGTTGTGGGGCATACATGAAAAAGGCAAATCACGTACATAACTGACGCCAGGGACTATTATATTCCTTTGATCGGGCGTAGCAAAAATCGAGATGGTCAACACCCTTTAAAATGTTTATCAGATGATTGTGACGTGTTCGTTATAAAGGTTAAGATCATCGAAATGTTCAACAAAATGTTACAGACCAAGGGATGTTATGGATTTAACATTGAAGTCAATGGGGGAAATTATTACTAGTCCAATTCATGCTAACATAACCGTAACTGTAAAGTCATTCCGCTACCTTTTAACACTAACGTTCTAAAACTTTCTATTTTTAAACTATTTACATACTACTCAGGATGGCGACAAGCTTATGAAACGATTTTTCCTCATGTTAATTAAAATAATCAGTGTTGAAGAACTGTTGGTGAAGTGTAACGTGTGTTTATCACAGATGAAGAATATTGGTCAATGGGATGAATAAATCAGAGATAATAAAGATGATTACACGCCGTTCTACACATTAACGTTAAATCAACAAAAAAACATCAATAGCTAGAGATACTTATTAAACAGACATGGCGGAAGCAACTTCAATAAACAGAATGGCGAATCAACGCAAATCAGATAAGAAGTCGAAATCAAGTTTTTCCCATGGCGATTATTGTCTCACGTAGATTTACTGTAGACGTGGGTGTAGGTAAATGTCATCTCGTTATTTTGTTTCGGTTTGAATTTTTAATTGGCCTGCACTAGATGTTGAGCAAACCATGTCCTTATTGGTTCGATATTAAGTACTGTGATTGGTTTTAAAAAACATTTTTGCCCAAGTAAAAGATGTTTTCATTGTTTAGCTGGGCCGGTGGAGTCTGCTGAACACAAACTTCATAGTTTAACTGTAATTATAATAAAATCAAAAAAGATGGTCTAGACTGTCCTGAAACGGAACTGAAAAGAAATAGGCTTTAATTAAAGAACCTAGATATTGACTCAAATGGTCGCAACGCATATAATAATGTATTATGAATGTATATAAACTGATTTACATTCAACCGTTTCTGTTATTAACTTAAATTGTTAATCAGTTATGTTCGACGAAATACGCCAGAAGTCTCAATCGAATGTCAATTTCTAGCGTCTGGTTATTCCAGTCTAAACCGATAGTATTTATTGCGTATGCTCACCGTTTGACATCACT